ACAAACATGAGGGGAGAGAAGCCCATTCAGAGGCGAGAAAAGTCCATTCAGACGCAATGAAACTATGCAATGAAACAAAAGACCAAGGTTACCGCCTCATTCCTACAACTGAACAACACAGCGATGGATACGGAAACTGGCAAATGACCGATGGTAATAACATTCACAGTAAGAGAAAATTTCCTGCAAGGAATTAGCGACGCAACTGATAGGGGACGACACTTGGGCGAGGCTAGCTGAAGCAGCATCAGCACCACTATGAACAGCATGAACAACAACAGCATGAACACGATATGAACAACTGGATGAGCAATATGAATGGCAGCATGAACAGCAATATGCAATTGCCGCAAAAATCAACGTATGCACTGAATCAACACAAAGAATAAAATCCCCATGTTTCCAGTGGTGTTGGATTATTTCATGACACAAACATTATGACTGATTTTAGTAGCTGTGATGTGGTACGTACTGCAATTATATTACTTAGATCGGCGCAACATAGCATAAGCTCCAATCAAGAAGAAGATTTGGAACAGAACCAAGACCCCAACATTGAACCAGTAATTAGCAAAGATATCTTGAATTCCAACACTCTCGTATACCAATTCTCCTGGCAACGGGCATTCCGAAGAACCCCCAATGGCAATGGGAACTTCGCTGTCGACCGCGCATGGTATAACCCGTCCGTCAAACTCGTTCACCATAAGGGCAGCATAGCCATATCTCGCGAAGCTTATGTAACTGGCCCATTGAATGCCAACATGCAGGTTGGCGAGAGGAATGTAGAAACCACCCAGAATGAATTGAAATAGTGTTACAGCAGGTGCCAGTAGTAACGCCATGCCCATGTGCGGGATCAAAATTCCCATAAACAATCCCATGCTTTGCGCACTGCTCAAGGTCAGGTAATACGCCAGAAGATACTTTAGAAACGGGGCAACTCCCGTTCGAAGTCCACAAGTCCAGTAAACTACGGCTCCGTAACAGAATGGAAGTACAATGTTGTTGGTCATATCACTGGCAGTCTTTGCCAGAAAGTAAGGTAGAACACCATACATCTTCTTTGCCCGATCCCGGTGCAAGAGTGCACGATCTCTTTGAAAGACAGTAATACTACCAGTGACAATACTGTTTCCTTGGGCAATTAAAATGAAGAAGAGTAATGAATTGCGTTCAAAGATATACGCAGTGGTATCGGGAAGTCTCCACCAAAAGAGAGCCGTGAAGAAGAGGTAAGTGAGCGTCAAGAGGACAGAGACTCGTGTAATTTTTTCCATCCGGCGTTGTTTGATAGTTCGTTGTGCCAATAGCCTGAGTTGCATCGCAAAGCCTGCCTCAAATTTCACGGTAGTATTGTGCAGGTCGGTCAAGGTGGACATTTCGCGTCGTAATTCCTTGCCACTATTGATGTCCTTTCCATTGCTCGCACTATCATTCGCACAGTCGTCCACATCATATGCAGCCTCGAATTGAGCGGTTGCCCAATGTTCCGCCAACTTTCCAATCTTCATGGTTCCGTCTTTCTGAAGCGAATTTCTTTCATCCGCAATGATGGTATCAGAAATCCAATCGGCAATACCAGTTTCAACTGGGAGAGGTTCTATGCCGGGACAGCTCTCCAAGTAGGATCTAGCAGCACATGCTTGGCCATCATAAACGACATGACCTTTGCTCAATAGAAGCAAATGATCGAGCATTCGGAAGATATCAGTACGAGGCTGATGAATGACAACCGCAATGGCGTGTCCCAAGCTAGCCAAACCCTTCAAGGTGGACATGAGTGACATGGCTGTGGTTGCATCCAGCCCGGATGTGGGTTCGTCCAACAGCAACAGGGATGGTCGGATGACCAATTCCGATGCCACAGCGGTACGTTTGCGTTCCCCTCCACTAATACCTCGTTGATTCGAAACTGGCGAACCGATTAAATTGTGACGAATGTGCAAGAGTCCAAGCTCCTTCATTGTTTCTTCCACCACGAGTTGGACGTCCGCTTCCGACATTTCGGCTGGAGATTTCAGTCGAGCCGCGAAGTAAATTGTCTCTTCCACCGTCAGGTTGCTTAGTAAAAGATCATCTTGCCATACCACACCAACTAGTTTCTTTGGTAACCGTCCTTCTTCTCCATTTACCATAATGGATCCACCAGTAATAGAAGATGGGTCCACCAATCCAGCGACAACTGACACTAAGGATGTCTGCATAAAGTGAATTTGAAAGGCAATTTGTTAGTGAATACAGATAGGTATATGGTAAAAAAACAAGTTTTGTGAGGTACCAGACTGCCCGTTTCAAAACTATCCAACAACATTAAAAATGACGTACCTTTCCACTTCCCGATGGACCCATCCATGCCGTCAGTTTGTAGGGGGAAATCTTGGTAGTAACTTTGTCCAAAACCGTTGTTCGATTGACTTCATCTTTGGTTTTGATTTGCTTCTCAGATAGAGTGGATGTCACTGGTTCGTAGGAAACTTCCTCGAGAGTCAACTCCACTATGGGAATCTTCTTGTTGGAATTCGAGAACAAGGAAGACGCCTTGTTGTTATTTTTGTCCTCAGGATGAGACTTGATGTCTGATGTTGGCACTGACGTATTTTCCGTAACTTCACACATTATGTTATAATCGTCAAAGACGTCTTGCTATGAGACTCAAATCAGAAGCCTTTTTGGTGATGAAGGATCCTGTGGCTGAATGACAATACAGTCGTTGTTCTGAAAGAATGATGAGCCTTTGGTATCACCTCTATATTTTTGATGGGTGCTGAAAAGAACAAAATCGAACTGAGCATCAGAAAATCAGAAAATGCTCATCGGTGGCCACGTGGTGCATGACAAAGGCGAAAGAAGTTGATGAGTCCGTCAGGTCGGTCAGGTCAGTCACGCGGACTTCCAGTCACACCCAATGAAGATCAATTGAAGCCCAACAAGTTTTCTCCTCAGTTTCCCATTCCCTTCCGATAAATACGTACTGGATTTGATTCCATTCACCTGAAAAGACACACGAAACGAATTCGCCATTGAGAATTTATGTAGCGCTCATAAAAGTGTTTCAAGAAGCAGAGTACCGGTCGATAAATGCGGGTGAGAAAGAGTGGAAAAGAATGAGTGGGGCAAGATTGAAAGTTCGCGTCAAATGGTCCCGTCGCGAAAACCACTGTCACAAACTCCCATAAAATATAAAATCACAAGAAAGAACGCATCAAAAACACCAATTCACTCCATCAAGTATGATTGAAAGCAACACCAATCCAGAAAATAAGAGCCACTCGGCTCTCCAAGACTTTATGACCAACGTACTCCAAGTGCAAAAGCACCCGCAACTCAGCGTAGTGGAAGACAACGCCAAGAGTCCGACCAGAAGGAAACAAGGCAACAAGAAGGCAGCACCAATTCTTCAATTCACAACCGATCTCAAAGAAAGTCAGCTCCGATGGCCCGTTGACCACAAAGCAAGCGCTAGCATCAAATCCAAAAAGGAGATGGATCGCTGGGGAGACATGCACTTTGAACCGCTCCAAAGAAAATTGAGAGAAGAGCAACAAACCAAACGCAACGAAACATGCAAAGTTGCGAGTAATCACAGATTCAACGCGTCACGATTCAATGATAGGCCCTTGCCTTCATCAGTCATTGGCAATGGTCATGTTGCCTTGTTGCGCCAAAACAGTCTAGAACGACACTTTCTTGCCGTGGCCGCCGAAGAGGAGCGAGAACAAGAGGAAGAAGATGAAGCTGAGGAGGAGCACTTGCCAACGGTACCCGAGGATGAAAGCGTGCATGCTCCTCATGTTGTATTGACTTCTCCAAAGCGAAAACGTCAAAGACATCACATGCAGAAAAAGATTACCCACAAGATGGAGACCGAGTCGAAAGCAGATGTCCAAGACAAGGCAAGCAAAGGAACACCAAAGCCACACAAAAGTGACGCAGCAAAGAAACAAAGTAAGCCTCGTACGGAATAAACACAAGGCACCATGTATTGGCAGACATAGAAATTGATACAACCATTAGAATAATAGAACCAAGCAATAGATTAAACATAATTACATTCCAACGCTCAAGAAAGTTTCAAGCTTTGTTTAATTTCTCCCCTAAAACCACGGCTATTGGTTGCACCTGGTACTCAGGAGATCACAATACGACTCGCAATTGTTGGCCACCAAAAGCGTTGCGCTTCTCGGCCAAAGCTTCTTTGACAGCTTTTTGCCTTCTTCTCGGAGTCAAAATGAAACCGCAAAACACCAATGCCCCTTTCAAGTGATAGCTCTCAAAGCCCAATTGCGCCGAACGATATGTGACAAAGATGAAATTGAGATCGACACTTCGCTCTCAACGCGCTTTGGCACTGTACTGGACGCTTCGACAACTGCTGCGACTATATTATTTGTTCCCTACTCTCGAGGACAGCGTTGTATTCTTGCAATACGCAGTTTTGCCTTTTTAGCTCTCCCTAGTACTTCCTCTTAGATTCGAACAACTGATGTTCTCATTCACTTTAACCTCTTCTTCATTGTACCCTTAACCAATCTGTGAATATTTTCGTTCGCCCATCAAGGGCAGCGTTGTATCCTTTCAATGCGCGATTTTGCCGTTTTAGCTCTCCTTTCGTCCTCTCAAACTTTAGCCATTCCTTCTTGATGTTCTTATTCACCTTATAACCTCTTCAGTATGAGATTTCTCTCTGAGGCTTTGCAAAGCTTCTTCGGCATAATCCTTTTGGTCAAATGCCTTGAGCAAATTTTGGTGTGTTTGATACATATTCTCTTTCAATTTGTTGATCTCAGCTTGAGCTATTGCAAGTGGCGGCTGCTGTCGTTCAACAATAGCAGAGAGGACTCGATCATAGCTTGATCCGAGACGTCGTTTTGTAGCTCTTCGATGGACCGTGGACGCTCGCATGGCCAACGATGATTGTCCAAGAGATGCTGTCGTAGTTGATGTCGAAGTGGCCGCATCGGCACCATTGTATATTGGATAGTTCCTGCCAATGTTGTTTGTGTCTGATGCATTCTCAGGAGTCGTCATCGGGTTCTTGTTCGCTTGGGTCCTTACTTCTCTGTTATTATTTGCGGATCCAGTCGGCCTTGATTCAGTGATATATGGGACGGGACTCACTTGATCGGCATTGTAGTTTGGGAGTGGTTCAGGAACTTCTTTCTTCATGCCATCATCATGATGTAAATTATGGATATATATATACCGCCGAATATCTCATTGCGTGGCATACATACCGGTATGTATTATTTATACCGCTCCGAAGATTACTGATGCGGGCTGAGTTAGTGTCAAATGATTTCAGTAATATTGTTCCTGGAATATTATTATACCGTACGACAGGAGTCAGAGCACAGTAATATTGCATAGTGAAAGTTGATTCTATTTTATATGTGTGTCCGGAATGGAATCCACAGCAGATCATCAAGCTGTTATTCTTTGCTCAGAGGCATCCACGACGAAGCCCCAGCCATTTCCCTGCCTGTGATGTTTACATAGTTTGTTTTTCAGCAGCCTTGCGATAAGTGACAAAGTCTTCAACCATGGATTCAGTATCAGCCTTACCAGTGGCGGTTTCATCTGGTAGATAAGTTTCGTATCCCTCCATTAAAAAGTCGCCAATCTTAGATTCCTTGATCACATGGACCTTCTTGCGAAAATCTGGAGACAACATGGGCTTCATAATCTTCCAAATCATTCCAAACCAAGAAGGTGGCTGATAGGAGGAAGGCGAAAGTTAATAATCTTTATCCAAAATGTCATTCGCATACGACCATCGACTCCTTCTAGCGATAGGTAGACGAACTTACATTGACAATGAGAAACATGCGGACACGGACAGGAACTCTTCCCTGCAACATCATCATGAACTGATAGCAGTAGTCAATTGAAAAGTTCGACATCTTCCAGTCGTTCATGTATGCCATAAAGCCAATACCTTCCGATGATGCCTTTTCCATTTCGCACATGGTGTTCATGCAGTAACCAAGATTGTCAATAATTTCTTCCGTAGTAGTCTCCTTGGGGAAATATCGAGCCGGGTACATGTAGAAGATGTCATGGCCTTCATTAGTCTTGAGTCCTGGAACAGGAAAGAGAGTCTTGCTCAACAATTGCTTCTCAATTTCTTCTGCGGTCAATGTCAAGAAACGAGGATCAAATTTCTTCATGACCTTCCACGAAGCTGTTTCTTCAAACTTGTTGCGGCCTGGACTGCAGCGAGCAAAGCGCAAGATCATTTCATCCGAATAAGAATGAGTTGGTGTCTTTTCCTTTTCCTTGTTTTCTTCAATGTGTTTGTTCCATTTCTCCTTTAGATTGTGAAAGCACTGTTTTTCGGTTGGCGACAATGACTCCATTTGTGCTTGAAAGCTGCGCTCCTCTTTGGGAGCAAAGCGCATAGGACCGGGTCCAAGCTCTTTTTCCAAGGTAATAAGGTCAAGCATGGTGATTTGATAGGTGTTATTGTTTGGTTGTAGATTTGGTTTTTATAAAAACAAAAGGATTTCAGTTGTGGAAATTATGCGACACTGATTTTTTCGTATACCGCTTATTTTCTTCCACCATGGAGTGTTGACGTTTCGATGTACCGGTATAAAAATAATAAATCAAAAAAATCGAGACCACTTTACTTAGGAAAAGTGTTTTTTAATAATAATGACCGCTAATTCTAAAATAATAATCCTGCGTGCATCCCACCATCCATTGGCGCATGACCCGCAAAGACTGCACAGGGATGATAATGACCTCGACGTAACTATAGTACCTACTGTACTGTACCTTAGCATGGTAGAGATCTTGTGCTGGTAAAACATACAGGAAAACGACCAATAACGAAACGCTTCCCACAGGTGATTGATTGATTCAATTGTCTATGTTATGCCCACAACCCCCTATTGCTGGTTCCCCTATATAGTACCGACCGTTTCAATATCAGTGTATACACACAGTCTTGTGTCTAATGTGCGTGAGTGTATCCAAGTTACCGATTGTATTTCCCATCTCCTCCACATGAAATAGTAATAGACAGACCTTACCTGCTTTACCCAAGTTCCCAATGCGAGTCCAAAGCGAACTCTTGTGTGGCACTGAGTTGTTCCGAAAGACGTTTGGACTGTTGAATCTGTTCGTTCAAATCAAAGACTTTGGGGCCAGAAGACGTCGCTTCTTCTTCAACAACAGACTCCTTTCTTTCTGGTGGTGGCTGCTGGACTGTAATTCGCAAGGCTTTGATATCTTCCAATCGATACGAAAAATGCTCATGACTGTCCACGTCGTCGTTCCCAGAATTACTCCCCATTCCACATGGCATTGGCATGATAGATTGTGCCAATTCGTGCACTTGTTTGTGAACTCGAGTCGGGTCCGTTTTTTGAATGACAACATTGGGCAAGGCCTTTTGTAACTCTAGTTGAAAGACTTGGAACCATCCCTTGCGTGGGAACTGGACAATCCAAATGACAGCCTGTGGATTCAATTCCAAAATCTTGGCCACTTGCATGGCACAACAATTGTTGGACGTATAGGCCAATTCGGCACCGACCACAAAATCGATCTTGTGATGGACCAAAACCTCTTGATCGATTGCGTGATCGTCCCAATCCAAGACTTTGGTCTGAATGCTTGGCAACGACAGGAATGGAAGCATTTCTTGGTCGGCGGATACTACTGGTGAAGGTGACAGCCATTGTCCTTCCTGCTCTTTGCTATCTTCGTTATTATTGATTCCATCCTTGTGCATGCCGGAATTGAATTCGAGTAGTGATTGCAACACAGAAGTGACATTGCACTGAAGTTGTGTCAAACATTCGACATCATTGTCGGTCAAAATGACCTTGCTTTCGTCATCATTATTGTCACCCATCAGTTCGATATCCAAGTAGTCGTCATTCTTTTCTTCCACATCACTATTAGCCTCGGCATTAATGGTAGTAGCACAATCGTCACCATTCAATTGGTGTTTGTGCGATAGGATCCAAGCCATGGTCATTCCCACCAGACCCAAGGCTCCAGCCCCAATTTCCAAAATGGTTGGATTCTTTTGGTTTTGAGTAGACTGTTGTTTCATTAGATTGATCATGTCTTGCCGCAACAAGTCTCCCATCATACTGCTCCTTGTATTACCATTATTATCATTGTTATCATTGTTATCATTATTATCGTTGTCAGGAGCGTCTTCATTACTTGATGATGATGATGATGGCGGCGTTGATGAGAGTAGCAATAACAAGGCAGACAAGACAGCCGAATTGTACCATCCCCTGGCACCCACTCCAGTCTGCACCCCATCGTCATGAATCATGGGCAACCCTTGAAGATGAAAGGTGATTCCTTTCTCCCAATACTTGGCTTGCTCTGGATCCTGATGGACAAACCCTGGAAGGCTGTATTTGGTGCCATCGTCCGTTCTCATTGTACAGTATAATTGTTTGGACTGTGTTTGGAAGAAAGGACGCCGTATTCAATGTAATACAAAGAATGTCGTCAAGCTGGACAATAATGGATGGAATTGAAAATCTTATTACGTGTACCTATACCTAGCTATTATAGGTGTTTTATGTTTACGACGTGTAATCTTCTCACTTTTGTGAAAATGAGAAACATCTGGTTTTTATCATATTTCGTGTGACAAGGATTTCCGACAGACGTTTCTACGTTGATTTGCAGTAAGAAGACACAAGACCTTAAGTAAATATTTTAATGTGACAAGAACACGACACTATAAATACCAGTGTGGCCTTCCAAAGTGTTCCATATATATGGTGTCGTACACTGTACCGGTACCAAAGGATATGATAAAGGTCGTACGAGCTCCAGACTCTCTTTTGAAGGATATTCACTCAAGCCACCCATTCGATAAAAAATTCAATCGTTCCAATTCTAAATCACACGACAGTATAACTTCAGATTGTTAGAAAGAAGCTTGCTACCGGTATACCTTATTAGTAGTAACAAATCCATCGGATGATAACTAATCTTGGGATTATATTTATTATTTATGTACAATTACAAAATCCTAGTGTGTGTATTGTTCTCAAAAAAAAGTCGTACAAAATTTCATTGTTCTGCGTTGTCGCCTCACTTCATTCGTCCACCTTGCAATTGTTCGTAATGGCTTGTGCGTGTGTGTTTGTGTCCGTGCAATGTGGTGGTCTTTGAAGCTTCCTAAAGTACTGAGAATGTATGACATGGTCGTTCCTCATTCATTCGTACTCATTATTGTTATTATTGACGAAGTAGAGTTCCAAACCATTCATAGGCCGAAAAGGCAGCAGCACCTGGAAGAAAGGCTCGAGTCATGCGTGCACGCGTAAGAAGAGCTTCACTCGTCTCGGCAGCAGCAGTAGTGGTAGCATATCGGGTTGCGGCCGCATCCGATGCAAACTCCAAAGTAGAATTACTACTGTTGCTACTAGTACCACCAGCACGCATGTAAATCTTTCGAAAGTCAATGATCCAGGCTTGGGTCATGCCGGCACATCCACCGGCAAGTGCCACCGTCATGGGTGTGGGTGCTGTGGTTGTTGTTGTTTTTGTTGCAGCGCTTGATTCTTGGTCTTGCTTTATTTGCAACAATACGGACGACAAAACGTCGCTGTAGACATCGTATCCACCAAAGAGAGCGGCAAAACTCAACATGTGGGTTGATGTCATGGCTCGCGTCTTGGGCTTGTATTGCAACAAGGAGGTAGCGAGAGAGTACGAGAGCCCCGCAGTAGCTCCGGCCACAATTTGCAATTCGTAATTGACAAAATTCTCAAAGTAGCCAAAGGAATTGTCCGTTCTTACAAAGGAGGAGTCACGAGTGGGACGTTCTTCGTGAAAGACGCCCTTGTATAGAAAGTGAGACATGAGATGATGGGTTTCAAAGGCCAAAAACCCAGGCACGAGGATTCGTCCCAGGGTGGACGCAGTGCCTTTTGGTTTGCTTGTGGCATGATTATTGCCACCAGCCATAAGAGTGCTGCCCATTCCATAACAGATTCCTCCCAAGAAGGAATACTTCAGATTGCCGTACGAATAAGTGCCATCAGGCTGCTCATCTTCAACTGCAATAACTTCAGCATTATTATTGTCAAAGTAGGTCGTCACCATCTTCTTGAGACGGACATCAAAGGTCATGAATTTGCCATCCTCACCGTCATTATCATCATCATTGGAAGATGAAGATGACGAAGAAGAAGAAGCAGGTGGAAAGATCATATTTTTTCTGTTTCGTTTCGTTTCGCGCACTGCTGCTGTGATTGTTTCGTGTGAAGAATGCTCTTTGCTGTGGTTGCTGTGATTGCTGTGGTTGTTAGTGTGCTGTAATGTCAACACTTACCAACAGAATGAATCAACGAATGAGTGAATGATTGGATGTAGGTATGTATGTGTCGTGTAATTAGATGAACTTTTCTATTGTGGTAGCAGCCGTGAGAGAATCTGTTTCATACACGCAGCGCTACAGAAATCGTATCTTCTGTGAATTATCATCAGCAAGCAAGCATGCCATAGGTACTGTACCATCCATGTAAAAATAAAAAAAGAGTTCTAAATTCTCAAGAATTGTTGGCATTTCTGTGACACGTGAAAGATGGCTTCTTCGCCAAAAATAAGGACATCAAACAACCGACGCGTCATGGTACTGTAGGGGAGGGGTCTTGTTTTGTCCCTCTAAATAAACGGGGATTATGATGGCCCCTTATTCCTGCAAAATTCCATGAATTCATCGGAGAGAGATTCAAATTCTCATTCATGAAACGCTGTCGTGACGGACAACTTTTTCAGGGTGACGTTCCTGATGGTACAGCTAACCAGTTTTATGGATGTCTGCTGTGGATATACACATATCCCATTGATTGTGGCGCCGTAAGTAGGCTTTTTGATGATGGCATTGTGATGAATTTCCAAACATCATCCAAATACACGGCAGTCATGCATGTCCCGATCAGAACATACCGGATATACGTTTTGAAGGATTCCGTATGCTTTACATGATACATGATATATGCTTGTACTTCTGATCTGAATAAAGTCAGTCACATTATTCTCATCACGGTATTTTTTTTTCCTTTCATTCAATAGCAGCCTAATACGTACTCGTACTCGTACTCGCTCACATCATAAAATTAAGTCGTTGAGGAATCAAATCAACAACAATCCATAAAATGACTGTAAGCACGGCAGATATCATGTTTACATATGTCGTTCCATTTTTGGGAACCATCACAGCAAACCTAATGAATGCAGGTGAGAGAAATACTAGTACAGTACCGGATCGCTCGTCTTGCTTCTGTGAAGTCATCGTCAGCATATTTTAGATGAAATGATGGAATGCGAATTTTGAGACGAGCCCTATTCTCACTTGATGATCAATCCTATTGCGTACCTCTTCTCTATACCTCTTCTCTATTCATACTACTATGTTCCCAATGCAGCACCCATCGCAGGCTTGAGAGAGGCGCTTGCCGCAGGAACTCTGGGCGATTTGAATCCATTGCCATGGGTCATCATGACGGGAAATTGCTTTGGATGGTGTGCCTATGCCTATTACATGAACGATCCCTATATATTGGCTTCCAACTTGCCCGGATTACTCATTAGTGTGTGGTTGAATCAAGGGGCCATTAAACTCCAATACTATCATTTGAGAAGAGTACGGTGTGATAGTCTACTAATGATGACCAAGAATGCTGACATTAACAAAGTCAAGAACATCAACAAGAACCGCAGCAACAGTAATAGTACTCTCTTGAATGAAGACGAAGATCAAGCTCTGTTGGACTACAACAATGGTGAATATTCCACTGCTACTGAAGAAATGAGCACTGAATTACAACCACTACAACCAAAATCACGAGACCCTGACAGTGAACGAACCGAACGAACCGAACCCATGTCGGAGTCATCGGAACTTTTATTGCCACCCTACGAAATGATCTTTGTGTCACAAGAAATCAAATGGTATCAAATGCTGGTTGTTTGGTCCAGTGTTTTAGTGTGGTTGGGTTGGATCAGTCCACTACTAGCTGACAAAAATTCTCAGTACATGTTTTTGACGTCCCATTCCTTGTCCAGCACGGAAGTGATTGGATTCCTCGTCAATATCAATCTTATCTTTTTCTATGGGGCACCATTGACGTCGATCGTGGAGGTATGGCAGACCAAAAAGTCAACGAGCATTCATCGGCCTTCCATGTACATGGCATTGATGAATGCAACCTTGTGGGCTACCTATGGTACGTGTTTTTGTGACTGGCTGGCTAGCTGACTGGCTGACTGTGTGTGTGTGTCTCTGTGTGTGTGTGTGTGTGTCAATGGGAATGATTGATACATTCTAACATTCATTCATTCATTCTAACATTCTAACATTATCTGCTATTCCACACAACACAGGTTTTACTCAAAATGATATGGTAATCATGCTTCCTAATTTGATTGGAATGTCACTGGGAATTATGGAGTTTGTTTTGAGTCAAGCATATCCAGGAAAGGAACATTTGGATGGTGGTGACATTAATATTCATAATATCACTACTGCAAGAACAATGCGGCGACAGGTAGTAGATGACAGCACAATTGATTCGGAATCCTCTCCGTGCATAGCGACTGGTCACACCTTAGTGTATGGTTCTTCCGATTGAAGAGGATGAGTCAGTCAGTCAGTCAGTCAGTCAGTCAGTCGAATCTATACGAATACAGGATAGTGCCAGGGAAAGGAAGGATCAAGAAGAAGGTTTTGTGTATGATGCCATCATATATCATATGACAAGGGTTTGCTGGTAAACACTATTATCAGCGCTTAGAATGGTAGTTCTCTTCTTTTGCTTTGAGCAGTTGATAGTTAGTTGGTTAGTTGGTACTTGGTACACTAACAACATTATATACAGTACATGCGGAGAGAGTAGGGACGATATGATTCATTCATTCATTCATTCATTCTCCAATCAATATTTTCTAAAATGAATACAATAAATTATCTATTATAATATATATATAAAATTGATTATTCTTTGTCTGAATATGAAATGTCAAATGGGGGACAATAATGCAAATGATGATGATCAAATACAAAATGCCCCCCAAATTGAAAATATGCTAGCAACAAATTCAAATAACAAGTAATATATAATACGAAGTATACACATGAATAACAACGACGATGAACATGGAAGACATAATATTGGAATATGTTTGCCCATCAATGGGATGTATAATGGCAAACGCCATGAATGCAGGTGAGAGAAATTTATAGATAGAGTCATAGTTGGCATGCATATTAGGGCCTAGGTCAACGTGCGATCAAAAGGGAAAAAGTATAGTAATGCTGCAATGATGATGATGATGATGATGATGATGACCTTGTTTCTTTTTTGTTTTCAAATGATACATGATTGTCGTCTTCTTCAGTCATTTTACTCAATGCATGTTTATATTTCTTTTACCTGCAGCACCGATATCCGATTTGAGACAAGCACTTACGGTTGGGACATTGGGTGATTTGAATCCATCTCCTTGGGTGTTCATGACAGGAAATTGTCTTGGGCTGTGCGCGTATTCGTATTACACTAACGATCCATTTATATTGGCAGCCAACTTACCAGGATTACTACTAAGCCTATGGTTGAATCACGGAGCCATCAAGCTGCAATATTTGGAGTTGAGAACAAGAGCAGGTGGTGGCGGTGGCGGTGATAATCTACTAAACAACCACAACAATAACAACATAGGTGGGGATGATGAAGAAGCCTTGGACTTGCAGGACGATTCCATAATACACGGCGTTTCGACCAGTAACAATCAAAGAACAATGGACGAACAACGGCTGATACCACCAGAAGCAATGATATTCGTGTCACAAGAAGTCAAACTCTATCGAATACTGCTGGTCTGGTCCAGTGTTCTGATATGGGTCGGTTGGATCAGTCCACTGCTAAGAACCATCAATTCCTCTATCTTTCTGACAAGAATCTCGTCCGGCACCGCTCCCGAGATTGTGGGACTCGGCGTCAATATGAATCTAATCTTTTTCTATGGTGCCCCATTGACATCGATATTCCAAGTGGTCAAGACGAGACGGTCGAGTAGCATTCATCGTCCTACCATGTACATGAGTTTTATGAATGCAACATTCTGGACTGGTTATGGTACGAAGTGTTGATGTGTATTTTTTTAAACAAGATGCTACTGGTCTTGTGGATTCATTCCATCTCACGATTATCATTTCCCCCCAACTGTTTCTACACGTAGGTTTTGCTCGAATGGATCCATTTATCATTGTCCCCAATGGAGTTGGAATGATACTTGGGATTGTTCAGTTCACCTTGTGTAGAATGTTTCCAAAGGGAGAAGGAGATAGAATACCGATTCGTGGGGAATCCTTTGATGACGATGGACTCATGATGACTAAAGTGAATACCGGCCATGATGATTATAATGACAATGATTCAAAAGATAATCAAACGGGGGGCGATGTCGAACTAGACGATGATGATCTTGAGTTTCTATAGTAGAATAGCATCATAATGAAACAACCATGCGCTAAAATCAATTTCAAGTGGTCCAGTATATCTATAGCATATTATACATTCTGCTTCCAACCCCGTGCATGACTAGTGGTCATGCTCTATTCTATGTGTTTCTATCTTTCTTTTAATGTGTTTGCTGGAACACGATTACCAGCATTGGATGGTGTCTCTTGTCTCAGACATCTGTTCACCTATGGATTCAATCGATAGGTCTTGTCTTGGTCGAGTAAGGAAGGTAGTTTCTTCCACGTACACATACAGCAATGACATCATTATGCCATTGTTGCTAAACTTGTACAGGGATATATGGCATTTCGTCCCGATCAGTAGCCCTGAGGAGCTGCTTCCGCCTCTTCTTCTTTTCTACTGATACGTCTGATTTCTTTTCTCGTAAAGGTGTTTCCATCCTGTCCGATCTGCTGATTTTCTTCCTTTTACTAGTAGTGCGCAGTGACTGCAGTTCTTGACTCACTCGCATGGCGTCAATCTTATCGCCAGTAGCTGATGGAGTTTCCAAATGTCTTTCAGTGTTTTCGTCTCTTCCATCGTAGTGAAGTGGCATTTCGCATTCACTGTCTAATATATCACTATCGTCATCTTCACCTTTGCAGTCGTAGGTGAACAAACGCAAGTCATCATACAACCAGGAATCATCCTGGATTTCTTTGTAGACTATTCGGCTCTCGTAAGCGACTTTGTCTTCTCCAAAGTAATCCGACACGCTTCGTTTTGTAGCGTTTCCCATTGACGATTTCGTCGAAGATGTCGGCTTATCGGAACAAGTAGAGGATACTCCAACGACAACAGTTCTTTCTTCCGCGACTGTTTCTGCAAACATTTCTGCCAAAGCGAGATCTTCGCCACAGCTGCAAAATCTTAGCATTTTTATACGTTAGTTGAGAAATTCGGTGCTATGACTTCATGTGTTGGTCGGTGTTGTATTATTGTGAGAAGAATGTGTGTTGTTGCTCTTCAGTTTCGGGTTTTTTGTTGGAAGCAAATTACCTCAGATGAATTCGCCCAAAAGATGGAGGACATAGATGAGATCGACGGTTGGAACGCACGACAAAGCGTTGAATCTTTGGTCGCGACGCGAACACAAATTGAAAATGTCACACAACCAAAACAAATTGAAAATGTTCATGAATTTGAAATTTGCGTTTGCACCAAGAGATCTGTGTGAAACCATCAGGTATCTAAAAGTAGTTCGTATGTTTGAGAATCCTATAGCTGTTTATTAAATAGATAATGGCAGGAGTTAATTCATAGGACACATGTGAATAGTGCCGAGAATATCCACATGTTCATTGTTTAGTAGTAGTCGTCCTCTCCTGGAAGTCCAACTCCATTTTGGGATACCTGGAGCATACCAATGGTTGCCGCAGCAATAGAAGCAGCAACAGAGCAAGTCGTCTTCTTGGCGGCTTTTTCGGCGGTTACGAGAGTCGGGGCCGGTTCGATCGAGACTTCAGCAGATGTGCCAGTTTCAAACACCATTTGTGCAATCGCTGCTCTGCCACCACTGCCTTCACAAAGGACAGGCCAAAAAAAGTAAGCAACCGCCCCCACCACGATGACAACAGCTCCGCCCTTGAGAATTTGGGTTCGGTACGTCTCCCATAAACTTATTGGCGCGACAGCAATGCTGCTGGCAACACTCCCACCTGAACCTCTCGACGATTTTCCCACCAGGAGGGACCTTAGGTCTTCATTGTCCATCTGGAGAGCTTGAACAAGGTTATTCAATCTTTCAATTTGAAAGCTTAGCAGCTCTTCCCGGTCGGCAGGTCGAAATACTTCTACATCCACAATGTCAGGAACAGGGGCGGCGCTGGGAACGTCGGAAGTTTGCAAAATAGCTCTAAACGCTTGCTGTAAATCAGCCATTTCGGATCGTAATTTGTCATTCTCCAAGTGTAGTCTCTCAATTTCACGGCGAGTGCTAGAGCGACTGCTGGAGCGAGTGCTATTCGAACCAATGTCACTATCATTGCTGCGTCCCTTGTTTGCTTTCTTCAGTTGCTCATTGAAGACTTTCAGCTGTTCGTTCGCCAATCGTAGACGTTCATTTTCTCGACGGGTTCTAGACGTTGTACTCTTGGATGACACGGAACTATTTTCAATGATCTCTGAGATCGTGAATTCGCCAGATGCATCAGTCTCGTCATCACTGGGTCCCTCCTCGTGACTTTGCGATTCGTCTTCATGGTTCTGATATGATCATCAATATAACCGCATTTTGTCGTCAGTATAGTTACTTCGGTTGAATAACAGTGGCAGAACATATTTTTTCATCTTACCTCAGTCATTTTGAAAATCAAAACAAAGCCAACGATGAGGGTTCAAAAAGTATCTTCTCAGATTACCAGTACTATGAGCGTGAAACCTCAGACACGTCGCAAAAGATCACGATCGTGGAGACTCCGCCGCCCAGCCAATTGCAATCGAGACAACCAGTACGTTACATCATTTGATTGTAAGCACGATTCTTCATCGTAATCATTACTTGTCCGTCCGTTGAGAAGCAAACAGTCCAAATGTGCATAGAGCCTACGAAGTCCTATGAAGTAAAGCACATATACAGTACACGAGACTCACTCTATTTGAAGGTGGCAATTAAAAAAAATGCATTACTACTGTACACGGGTACGTATGTTATTCTACACGTAACATAATAATGCGTTTTGTGTTACAGCGGTACGATTCCGTACGACGTACTTGACGAGGAGTGCTCGATCGGACTAATTTCTACTGGCACACACATGTTATTTTGAAAAAGGTGGCAGCTGGTTCGGAATAATTTTTACGAAAACAATGCGTGGTTTTGCTTCGTTTTGGTAACGCGCACGGCGTCTCGGTGCGATGCTTCTTATTGACATCGTCCGATGACTCTCAAATTGCCTGCAGTATAGCCCCCATATGTTGTGATAATGTCAGTATCATCGCCAAGCATCCAATTCGAGCCGCAACAACGGTTCTTATCGACATGCTTCAAATACCTCTGTATCTGTGGTGTGTTCTACCTTTTCGAAATGCGCCATAACTGGCTACATGTATCAGATGAAGATGTGGGATACCCCAAAAAGTCAACAACAACAAGAACAACAACAACAACAACGACAAGTAAAGCACGTTCATGTTTTCAAGAACTTCAGAATCCGCGAAACCAAGAGGTGCAATGGGAACCAAGCGATGGGACTAGCCTGGGGAACATTTCTACGAAATGCCCGTCTCTCTCGTGGACGCATGAAGTAGTATTAGCGAATGATAACAATTCAGCATGTTCGGTCAGTCCATTTGATCCGATGGAATTTGTTTCTATTTTTCGAGGTCGAACGCTGCTATTCGCTGGCGACAGCTTGTCGTCAATGTCATGTAAGCATCTACAAGATGTCTTGCGAGATTCAGGCAATGCCGTGAACACATCAGGCAGCAGCTACGGGGGTTCAGATCCTTTCAGACTGCGGATGGCATTTGGCTGCGAAGAATTTTCCAATGGGATACTTATATGTTGCGGTTGGTTGGCATTTTCCAATGCGAGAAATGAACGAAAAATAGCCAACCAAGATTTGTTCACAACGAACAATAGTATTGCTGTAAATGTGCTGCAGCCATGTGATCTTATGATTTGGAATTCAGGAGTGCATCATACTCGCGTTTTTGGTGGATCGCCTGAGGACTTGATCCCTCTAATAAACAACACGTTGACTTCTTGGAACAACATGAAAGACAAGTCACCTGTGCCATCTATATGGTGGAAGGAAAGCTATGCCCAGCATTTCAGGAGTGGCCATTGGATGTCACGAAAAGAGAAAGTTTGTAAAGATATAGCACAGATGCCAGGAGAAAATGAAACAGGGATATTCAACAACGTCACAGAACCTCGAATACTTGATTTCAACATCCCCATATTTCGGGTCTACAGAGCATCGGTTCCGTTATATTTCGCGCACTATACAGTCGGAGATTGTACGCACTTTTGCAACGGAGATAAAGGACCTATGGATCATGACAATGCACTACTACTGGCACTATTGAAAAATGCTATCGAAGGGAATTTGCTTCCCCCGCTCCCCGATGAGCGCAATTCTAGCAGCGGATACAGCATTGAAAAGCGATGGGAAATGTTGATGGAACATCCCACCGATTCGCTAATGGCCAAACTGGATGTATGTGCTCCAATGCATGATTCCAGCAAGCACCATAATTGGGAGGTCGATAAGCATGGCCCAATCCCAGAGGTCTTGGAAGAGTGTTTGCGACGATCAGAAGCGATTCACTCTTCACGCTAATCACCAACTATCTCGATCATGCAGTTCACAAAGAACAGTCTTGACATCAAGAAAGAATACGACACGCGCACAGTCATTATTATTATTTTATAAAAATGCGACGAAAAACTGCGACATTTGTTGTTTATTTTCGAACTGCGGATTTGTCACTCTCGGCATCCAAGAATAGCATTCAATATTAGGTACGACGAACCATATATTCATGGAAACTACAGTAAAAAGCAGTAATAAGCAAAGTTGTCACAGTTATTGGCGGATTGAAATAGCGCAATAATTAATAGTAGACTCATTCCAGCCCTAAAGTGGGGGGAGTTTCGAGCGTAATGCCACTGTCAAAAACCCAAGCAGCAATGTTGTGACATCTAAATTTCCCAGGACATTCCCTACCCAGCCATTTCTATTATCAGAGCCTCCTACGGGAGGAGATGGATCGTCCGAAAACCCAAAGCCCGGGCCGTCGTCATTGTAATCGCCGACAGACCCAGGAGGAATCGCATTCAACAACCCTGGAATATATTCGCATTGGACACTCAATAGGTGGGCCCTCTCCGCCGACAATACTTCATTCTCTGCACGCAGACGTTCGTTCTCGCGCAATTCACTAGAAGTTGTGCTTGCCGAAGAGACCTGAGAATGATTACTGGTCGTTTCATCGTCGTCATCGTCATCGTCATCTTCGTTATCGTCCTCATGATTTTCGGGTTGCTCCAAATTCACAATTTGCCGCTGCAAATGGGCAAGCTCGTCGTACAACTCCAAGAGCTCGGAGGGATCGGTGTTGACAGCTCCGCCCAACAAAATTTCCGTCAATCGTTGCTCCAGCTCGGAGAGACGGAGCAGATTGGGAAAGTCGTTGTCGGAGGCTTCTGAAGACGACGAAGTCGAGGTCGACGAGGAGGAAGATGTTGATGGTGTTGACATGTTAAGGATGTCGTTCCAGCTGTTGATACTCTGAAAATTGTCATTCGGACACAATACTTCATTCTCTGCACGCAGACGTTCGTTCTCGCGCAATTCACTAGAAGTTGTGCTTGCCGAAGAGACCTGAGAATGATTACTGCTCGTTTCATCGTCGTCATCGTCATCGTCATCTTCGTTATCGTCCTCATGATTTTCGGGTTGCTCCAAATTCACAATTTGCCGCTGCAAATGGGCAAGCTCGTCGTACAACTCCAAGAGCTCGGAGGGATCGGTGTTGACAGCTCCGCCCAACAAAATTTCCGTCAATCGTTGCTCCAGCTCGGAGAGACGGAGCAGATTGGGAAAGTCGTTGTCGGAGGCTTCTGAAGACGACGAAGTCGAGGTCGACGAGGAGGAAGATGTTGATGGTGTTGACATGTTAAGGATGTCGTTCCAGCTGTTGATACTCTGAAAATTGTCATTCGGACACGTGAGTCTTTGTCAAATACATACAATTAAAGCACTCTAGTTGATGAGAGACAGCAGCAGTGTGATTGCGGCCTTACCTCGGTCATCGTCCAATGCCCAATGCAAAAAAATATAAGGACCAAGCCAAACTATGGATCCAACCAGGCATTGCGCTCTGTACTTCGTGGATTCTCACGGTGGCTGCGTCCCCGTGGAATGGAGACTTTCGTTGCGGCATTCAACCGTGGCGTGTTTCTTCTCTACATGCGTCGTGCTATATACGGTACATATTCAATATACTGGCATATGAAACACGGCGGTGTTGGAAGTCAAAGTGATCGATCCTCTTGATGGAAATCATGACCGGATGATTGCTGCGTCGAATATGTCTCTCGATAATGCTGTCGCGATGTTTTGATGGAATGAGATCGAGATGCATATTATAATTTCAAATTGATGATATGTTTATTATGTGACGATGATCGAGACGATGATCTATGCGATGGAGATCGAGCACAGCATATTGAATATATTTTATTGCGATGCGCGTCATCAATCAATCACAAATTGTAACGTTTTACATATTGTCTGTCCTCCGCGTTTCTGACCGAAATCTGGAGAATTTATTTACACTCATCAGCATAATAAAAAAGCATCGCACGCACATCTTTTGCCAAGACATGCAGCCGCAGATGTGAAGGGCACGTTTCAAACAGTTGCATATTAATCAGTAGGTAGTTGTTTCAGTGGTAAATTGAAACTACTGACTGTCGATGAGCCACAACTTCGACACCACCAGAATTGGAAAAAAATCTCGATTCTCGGATTTAGCGATAAACTCTAACTTCCTTCGTCCGAAGTAAAACTCGACACTCATCTTTTTGCACTTCTCGACATTGCGCTACGCCAGAAGAATACGATTGAAATATCCAACTGAGTAGAATCGTCGAAAGAGGATGCTACAATAAGAGGCCGATGAACGCTTCCTCTTTCTTTAAAAACTGCGCAGCACACTATCTTTTAGGCTGGGTACAAAATATGTCGCTATGGATCCATTCCCCTCTCCGATTTCTCCGGCTCCTCCTCTTCGTTATCTTCGTTCTCATCGTTCCCCTCATTCTCTTCACCTTCGTCGCCTTCCGCAACGTCTTCACTTTCATCTTCGCTCTTTTTCTTTTTCTTCTGTGAATGTGAATGTGAATGCAAAATTGAGTCAAAAGGAAGAAATTCAGGGCCCACTTGGCTCTGTTACCGTACCTTTTTCTTTTTTTTCTTCGTAGTCACTGTCTCCTCTTCCCCGTCGATATTTTCATCGTCCTGTTCAGCGTCTTCATCTCCATCCACGGGCTTCTTTTTCTTCTGTGAAACGCAATGTAAGTAAATCTGAAAATGATCAAAGAGAGACGGCGAGACAGTGCCATTATCGTACCTTTTTCTTTTTCTTCTTGGACGTCACAGTTCCCTCCTCCTCTTCCTCGTCGCCATCCTCTACAGGCTTTTTCTTCTTTTTTTTCTTCTTCTTCTTTGTACTTGTGCCGTCGTCTAGATTACCACTGGCATCAAAGCTTGTGGATTCCTCCAAAAAACCTTCACTGGCATCCTGGCTATGATCAAAGGCACCGCTCTTCTCAAAGGCGTTGCTACTCTTTTCAAAGGCGCTGCTGCTCTTTTCAAAGGCGTCACTCTTCATTGAATCGTTCATCATTTGTTCCTCCAATCTCTTTTCCGCCTTTTTCCGCTCTTCCATTTCATATTTCTGGGCAATCTTTTTCTCTTCTTTCAGTCGTTCTTGTTCTCGTTTCTTTTCCTCCTTCTCGGCCTTTTTCTTTTCCTCCTCTCGCTTCTTTTCTTCCTTCTTCAAGTCTCGCATTTCCACCTTTCTCGTGATTTTAAGATTCAAGTCTTTTGGAAGATTTTTGGTTTCTTCCTTCTCCACTATTGATGTCTTGGTATCAAGATCGACAGAACCGTCCAATCGCTTGACTTTGGTGATCGTCTTCACTTCATAAAGTCCATCCTTCTTTTCGATGGTAGTCTTCGTAGAAATACTCGTGACGGCCAGTGGGTCTGTATTGTCCAGCAGCGGTTTGGCCTCAATTTCAATGGCCTTTTTGAAGAAACCTGATTTGCCTTCCTCTTCAAGATATTCAGCACCAAAGTGTCGATTCACCAGCCGCTCGTAGGCTACCAGTGGAGGGTGGCACTTCTTCTGGACTTGACTGCCCTCGGGACGTTTTCGACCACCTCGCGCTACTCGTGATTCCAATTTTTCAGCTCCCTTTCGACCGGCAACAGGAGATGCTGAGGAACCTCTTCGGCCTCCCGCACTTCTCGAAGACCCGACGGAATGGTCATCATCATCCAGTGACGGTGCTCCTGGCATTCTTCCTCTCGTTGCTGCTGATGGCCTCACCGGCGTTCTTCGTGATGAGAGGGATCCAGGTGATGCCCGGACTGGAGATTTCGCTCGGTTGTTGTTTGGATTGGACAAGACTCGATTTGGCTGCTGCGTAGCATGGGGCCTGCCTCTTCCAGTGAGATCTCGTTGGCTACCACCAATAACTCGTCGTTGGCCGGTTCCATGCATGGAGTGCCGAAGATCGTTTGACGGAATTCCTCTGAAACTGGCACTGCCTCCTCTCGCAGGCATTCGTCCTGCTCTCCCTGGCGCAGGTCCTGGTCCTCTTCCCCTGCCAGGTGCGGGAGCTCTACCAGGCATGGGCCCCCTTCCTCTTGCTGCAGGTGGCGGCGGTGCGTTAGCCCTTGCAGTCCTTGGGGCTCGGCCAGGCATTGGAGACTTGCCAACCACACTACTTCTCGGTCTCTGTGCAGGACTCGGTCGAGCCATTCCGGCTGTAGTCCTTCTTTGTCCCACAGGTGACGCAAAAGAGGCGGGGCGCGGAGCTGGAGCTGCTGATGATCGTCGTACAGAAGAGGCTGACGATGTCGTTGTTGATGGGGTGCTAGAAGTTGTTGTAGATGAGGATGATGAACCTCCGCCCTTTATCTTGTGTTCATTTGCTGATTTCCAGTCGTATCGTTTGACTGGATCTGTCAATATCGTATATGCTCCTGATATCTTTGAAAATACATCATGAGCATTCTGTTTATCTTCTTCTGTATTCTGACGATCAGGGTGATACTTCAGGGCAGCCTTGCGATAAGCTTTCTTAATGTCTCCTTCAGATGCATCATATGGCACACCCAAGACCTCATACGGATCGTCTTCTTTTTCCATTTTGAACGGCTGTCTTTTGCTTTGACGATTGTATCAATGCTATAGCAAAAGTAGTTCCAAAATTCGAGCAAAAAGGGTTGTTGTTTGGGAGCTTCAAACAAGCTCAACTTCCATGTTTGTGGATGATGACATAGACACACTTGAAGCCTGAATTTGGCGGGAATGTTTCACCGGTCACAGGACGGACACATAGAGCTTTTTCCAGACTTGCCATGACCAATAAGAAAGAAATGTCTCGCAATCTTTAGAATTCTTTATGCCTACGCGAAATCTAATTAATCAGAGATTTTTTGGTCGACAAATTAGGCCATTTTCAAAAAATATAGGACATTACTATCACTTTCGTATGACTTTGGATCGAAATTGGAAATCGTAAGCTAAAAACCGGTACTGGAAGTTGAAGAAGGGGCAATGACTGACGAGAGAATGTTATTTTTTTCAAAAATGTGTAAGAGGCAGATCAATATCTGATGTACGACACTATAGATTTTTAACCGTAACCCAGTTGTGGTGATGAGAGCTGAGACAAGTTTCTTGCAGGATCAATGAATCCTCATAACTCTAGAAGTAGGGGAAATAGCATTGGTCGGGTTCCACATTTTCGGTTCCTTCAAAGTTGCAAATGATGCATCGGTCGCTAAAATCATTCACATCCCCACATTTGTTACATCTTGACTTTTGATCTGAGTTAAAAATGTCCAAACCACCTCCAGCCCCGCCCACCAAACAAAGACCTCCACCACGGGCGACAAAAATAATCAACAACAAGGTAATGGATACCAGAGCAGCGTTCACAGCTGCGCCAATAAAGTGATACCGAAGCTTCTTCTCGGAGTCGGATACGACGAGCCGTGTCTCGCGACGCTCTCGTAGAAAGGCTGTCTTTCGGTAGCCATGAGAATACTTTTCATTCGCAATATCGCTCTCTAATTCTTCCAATCTCTGGACTTTGCGATTGTGCAAATGCTTTAGCATTCGAAAGGTGACCAACTCCAAAATGACTGAAGCCATTTCCATGATCCAAATGGTGATTGCTTCTCCTTTACTATCATCTACAAAGACAGCGAAACTAATCAAGAAACCAAAGGATGGGTTCAACAAGTTCCATGGAATAGGACCCTCGCGCACCACTGGGTGGATTTCCAAAAAGATACCAATGAGGTAAATCCAGGTAACGACTTGCATGAATAGATCCCAATTTACTCCTGGAATCCCTGCAGCCATGACAGCAGTACCACAGCAGGAGGTAACTCCATCTCCAAATGTCGCAATGGAGACAATGGCCACCAAGACATCCAAAATAAGGGTCGTCCAAATCACATAACGCAATTTCTTTTTGACTTCGTCTTCTTGTGGATGAGGAGATAGAATTCGAAAGTGTCGTAGACACTTATGATACCATTTATCATTTGGGAATTCACCTCGTTCGGAATCTTCCTTGGCCAACTTGATTTTTGGAGGAGGCCGTAGCTTGTCTCGGTTGTAGCCATCATCATAGTACTCACCGTTGTTTTGTTCCATAGGAACCAAGGCACCATTGTAAGCATCACCGGCATAGTCCTGATCTGGTATGTCGCCATGAAAACTTTCAAAGGCATCACTTTCTTCATAGGGAATAATGGCTCCACCCTCATCGCTCGAATGATTGGACCGAGCTCCGCGACTGTGTTCGGATCGAAAGGCGGGATTGTTTCGAATGGTAGCCCCACGGGCCCGATCACGAATTGTGGCACCGGAAATGTTGGAACGATTCGAGTTGTTACCCCCACCTCGAGAATGGTCGCTACGACCTCGGCTTGTGCTGGGAGAGGCTACAGAGGAAGGAGGCAATCCTTCTTCATCGAACTCGTCACTCGAAGACGATTCATCAGACGAAAGTTCATCATCACTGCTAGTTCGACTTTTGGAGGATGGTGGTGCCTCTTCTCTTGTTCGACCTCCGCGATTAGATCCCTTGGCGATAGGAGCTCCTCTTCCTGATCCTTTCGGTATAGGGCGTCCTGATCCTTTAGGTATGGGAGCTCCTCTTCCTGATCCCTTTGGTATAGCAGCTTTTCCTGCGGCACCAGGTGGTCTTGTTGGACTCTTTCCTCGGAGTGCCCCCTGAGGTCCTTTCTTTCCTTTACCAGGAGGCCGCTGAGGACTCTTGCCAGCTGGAGTTCGTTTCTTCTTTGGGGCAGCCCCATTAGGCCTTCGTCCATTGGAATGATTGCTTCCTCCCGTGCTTCCGCCACCAGCCTTTCGTTGGCCGTTGTCTGACATCAGTTCTTGTTCACTTGCTTGTGCAATATACTATAAATACTGATAGTCTGAAGCAATGAGAGTTTCTTCCGAGTGTTCAATGCTGAAGAATTGCGATGAATCTGAAGCTCCTTAATAAAATCAAAACCAGTGAACTGCTGTCACAACGCCAACAAAAAGTGCTTCACACAAAAGGTTTTATCAAATGCCTTTTCTTTGCTAGTTTCCAGTTGCCTGACAAGCTCTTTTGAAGTAGCTAGATGGGTATATGCAATACAAAAATTGGCTTAGTTGAGTGTTGGGAAGACGAGATAGTGTCACAATAAGGTTTCCGAGCCAGCAATATTTTTGGTGGAAGAGAAGTCATCAGCCCGACCGACCATTTCGACATTGCAATCAAATCACCTCTGTGGATGTCTGTGACAATGACCGCTTCGTTAAATGGAAAAAACGAAAGTAGGCCGGAAAGGCCCGGAATCTGTTCGATAGTCGTAGTTTTGATGAGATGGCACGTGCACGCTACTCTCTTTTTTTGTCCAAGGAAACTTCCTTTGGCATGGAATGAGAATAAAGCAATTAACCTCCCTCCAACTACTCTTGTTGGGTAGATAGACGAAGATTCTCTTTTGCTATATATCATTAGAAATACTTAAAGTGAGACGATGCAACCAGCGCCGTGTTGTATACTGTCGCCATCAGAAGACGCATATCCATCTTTGGAAGCATTGTCTACTAATTTGGCAGTCTCCTTTCTCGGAATCATCATCCTTCGGTGTAGGCTTTCAGATTCCGAGGGGTCCAAAGATTCCGCCAATATTTCTACTTCATTGTAGTTTACTCTCTGTTTTCTCATATTGGAATATCTTCTCGGTATAGGTGTCTCCTTGGCTGTCCCCTGCTTCTTTTGTTTCTTCTTTTTTGGCATCCTCTCAGCAGATGGTTCGTCTTGCATGGGTTTCCCTGCCAAGGCATCTGCAATAGAATAGTACCTTTGGCCACCACCACCACCACCTTCACCACTACAATTGGGAGGAGCAATCCATATTCGTCGATTCAAATGATTGCTAAACTCGGCCTTCCATCCATCCCCCAATCCTCGTGCCTTGGCTTCTTCGATGGACGCCAATTGTTCTGATTCGGTCAAGCGCCGATTGCCACTCGGAATGTGTTGGATACGGCGACGCTTTTGGGTATTAGGTTGTTGCTGCTGCTGCTGCTGCTTATCAGCATTGCTAGTGGTTTTGTTGGTGTTGTTCTGTTTGGGATCTTTGTTGTTGAGCTTGCATGGTGGTAATATTATTCTCGAGATCCATCCCTTTTTGAGACTCATACGAAGGGCTTCCGGGATGGAATGGACCTTACAGCCATCCGGGGCAATCCATCGACGTTTTCGTTTGGCATTGTTCCCTAAATGATTGATGGACGTTATGATAGTGTGATGAAGAATACAAATGGAACGAGTGTGAGAGCGAGACCATTATCATCATTACACGTCGCATAAGACAATACAATACAGCGCATACATCGTTACTTACACTCGACATTCCAATCATTGGGTAATCCCATTTCTCGAGCTTCCTTTAGAAACTCTTGAACTTCTTCCTGACTCAATACTCGTTCCGCCTTCAATTCTTTCTCTTCCTTAGGCGGTAAGGTAGTAATCCAACCTTGCTTGGCCGAATACCTCAAGGCTTGTGGAATGCCCTTGCACTTCTTTTTGCCATCTGGGGATATCCACACTCGCTGATCACTCATGTTGTCCCAGATAATCGTCCAACCTTGTGGTAATCCACGACTACGGCCCTCTTGGACTTTTTCCGCAACTTCACGTTCGGATAATGTTCGATGGTGGAGTGGATGATGTTGTTGCTGTTGTTGCGGTGTCGTAGTACTGGTTTCTTGGCCGTCGTCATTACTATTACCATGATCATTGCTATGATTGTTGTTAGTGCTTTGCGTACCGGTAATGGTGGACACGACTTGACCAGACTTGGCTGCATATTTCAGAGCTTGAGGAAGACTGTAACATCGTCGCGATCCATCCGGCGACACCCAAATCTTCTTTTGACGCTTGTTGTCCCTGTATATATAGATAATAATATTGAGAGAAAATAGAGCACTGTGTAAGTCTAAAGACAGGTCAGCAACAGTTTCCTCTATATATAGAATGCAATACGCATCCACAACATATGTATAGTATAGTATAGTATAGTATAGTATAGTATAGTATAGTATAGTATAGTATAGTATAGTGCATCGTACCATTCCACATCCCAATCGTTGGGCAATCCCTTCAATCGAACACGTGCCAAGGCTGTTTCTTTCTCTGCTGAGCTCAATACCCTTTGTTGCCCCTTTCCAGAGACAGCGACACTCGCCATGATTCAAGCTTTTGGACACTTCAATTGAATAATGCAGACAACAATGCTACTAGATGCCTCCTCTGTTACAATAATAATAACAATAATCATACAGTCAAAAATGCTGACACACCAAACCTGAACGGTACTATTTTAGACCCTCGCTTTCACAGACCAAAAACAATGTAAGAAGACAATATGACGCAGATCGAACTGAAGATGATGACAATCGATTGCGTGTTGCTTATTACAAAATATTCCTAATCTCCTGCAACTATAGAACCAGAATGTAAAAGATGGGAAAGAATAAGAAACGAGTCTGTTATCACTGTGGTCTGCCCAATCATCGTGCCAAGGATTGTCCACAAGCGACATGTCGTCTATGTGGTGAAACGGGACACGATGTGGGAGCTTGTCCACAGAAGCCTCTTGACCCCGTCGATTTGGGCTCGTTTCTTATTCCTCCAGCAAGTCATTCCAATGATAATAACGAGCGCAACTTTACCTACATTGAACTCTTTGCGGGCATTGGTGGTTTTCGAATCGCCTTGGATCGATTGGGTGGTCAGTGTGTCTTCAGCAGTGAAGTGGATCGATTTGCTCGCGCTTCGTATGAGAAAAACCACGGCGATCGACCAGCCGGAGACATTACGAGGATTCCCGAACAAGACATCCCATCCCATGACATGCTAGTGGGTGGATTCCCTTGTCAAAGTTTTAGTTTTTCAGGAGAACGAAAAGGATTTGATGATCATCGTGGCGTCCTCTTTTTGGAGATTGTACGAATTCTGAAGAAACATCAGCCCAGGGTGATTCTGCTGGAAAACGTCCGTGGACTATTGACTCATGAGGATGGCAAAACCTTGCAAGTGATTATCTCTCATCTTGATCAAGTTGGCTACAATGTCAAGCATAAGCTACTGGATGCTGTCTACCTGGTACCTCAGGAACGAAAACGAATCTACATGGTCGGCATTCGAAAGGATTTGGTGACTGCCACTGATGCATCATCCGATTACGAGTTTCCAGACATTCCAAATCTCAAGCGTGGCTTTCAGGATATACTGCAAACGAATATGGAACCAAGTATGCTTGAAAATTTACGACTCTCGGACCACCAATTGCAAAAAGTCCGCAATCAAAAGTACACGCAACAATTTCCAGAAGCTCGTTTCTTATCCGACTTTTTGCGGCCAACAAAGACACTACAGTCCAGTTATGCAAGCTACATGGTAGGATCTCAATTTATCAAACTTTCGTTGGAGGATAATGATTCTTGTTGGCGGAAACTGTCACCACGAGAGGCGGCACGATTGCAAGGATTTCCAGATTCCTTTGAGTTGTGTCCAAGCCGTCCGTATCATTTGCTGGGGAATGCAGTGGTACCGAGTATGATTAGTCTCATTGCGGCAGGCCTTTTGCCGTTTTTGGATGATACAATGATGAAAACAAAAGAATCCACAGCTACTATAGGCTGGAGAATAGCCTCCGAATTACTTTTGGAAGCTTGCCCTGAGGACCGCAAAAGTGCACTTCGACTTTTGTTGGACGAAAGAGGGCATGATATGATTAATATCTGAGGCAGATAATGCATAATGCAACTATAACAATTACATCATACGCTGAAGCATTCTTGGGCTTTGGACTTGAGTAGTACGTTCAATGATATACGTTCTGAATTTGATACTATTATTGTATCCATCATCTCATCTGCGCATGCATGATTTGCACACCCCATTCACTCCCCCCTTTCTTCGGAAAGGTATTGGGGGTGATTTATCCCCCTTTGACAACAGGCCAACGATCTCTCGCCGGCTGGCGTGTTAAGTACCTAAAAAAATACTTTCCAAGAATACCCAGAATAAAAATATATTCAGCCTTGAGGATGATTATAATGATGGTCGTTGCCAGCGTAAGATTTCGGAGAACCATCAAAACCAAGTTCATCTTTTCCAACTCGATTTTCATCTTTCACCGAGTATTTTGAAACAATGAGGGCTCCTTCCTTTCTACTAATATCCTCCCTCCTGTGGAAGCAATCCCATTCTTTATTGGAATGTTCAGAACATCCTGCATGCATTATGGAAGGATTTAGCCCGGACAACAACTGCTGCCCAGATGATACTGGAAATTATAACGATTGTTGCTTTCGAGCCGAGTGTATTCTCTATCCTGCATGTTATGACGCCGGTCTGGATGGCTTCTGTTGTCCAACAGAAGATGGAGACATGCTGGACTGCTGTGCCAAAATTGTAAATACTCCATTTCCATCGTTGATGCCGTCCGCGATTCCCACAACAGGAACCACGCCACCGACAACTCCATTACCATCATTAATGCCATCCAAGATCCCAACGCCAGCTCCATTTGTATCCTCCGAAACATGCGAAGAACATCCAGCGTGTGTTGATCTGAACCTTTCAGGACTATGTTGTCCAACAGCAGATGGAGTCACACTCGATTGTTGTGGTGCAACTGCTCCACCAACAAAGGTTCCTTCCCAAGTTCCAACGATTGGTCCAAACGCTGACCCGTCGAATGTGCCAACCAAGATGCTATCCGCAGTACCTTCCAAGTCCCCTTCCGCTTCTCCGAATGCAGGTGCGTCCGCTTTTCCTTCCGTGATGCCATCGCAAGTGCCTTCGACGTCCCCAAATGTGGCTGTGACTCTAGCTGTGTCAGCTTTTCCTTCCACGCCGCCATCGCATGTGCCTACAGCATCCCCCGTGGCGATCCAAGCGGCATGCTCTGCACATTCTAAATGCGAAGGCTTGGAAGGAAGTTGTTGTCCCACGGTGGATGGGGTATTTCTTGCGTGTTGTTCGTCGACTCCAGCACCACAAACGACGTCACCATCTGTTTCGCCAACCACGTCTGTTTCACCAAGTACCTCACCACCTCCTTCCTCTTCGAAAATGTCCAATGCAGCTTTGCCAGATGCCGCATGCTCCGCTCATCCTGCTTGTTCTGGGTTGGCAGGTGACTGTTGTCCAACATCTGACGGCGTGACTTTTCTTTCCTGCTGTTCTGAAGTGGCATCTGCTTCACCAACGGGATCGCCCAATACATCCCCAGCGTCTGCAACGCCATCTACTGCTCCATCAAAAGCACAAGCAACATTGTCAGCAGCATGCTCAGCACATCCTGATTGCTCCGGTTTGACTGGTGATTGTTGCCCAACTTCGGATGGAGTCACTTTTCTCACTTGCTGTTCATTCAGCGCCGAAACAGATTCCAGCCCACCTTCGGTAGCTCCGATCTCGTCACCATCTGCCACACCATCTGAAATGCCCAGTAGTGCTCCTTCGAAGTCATCAGCACCTTCCGTGACACAAGGGACCGTATCGGCTGCGTGCTCCGCACATCCCGCTTGCTCGGGTTTGGCTGGGGATTGTTGCCCGACTGCTGATGGAGTCACTTTTCTCACTTGCTGTTCATTGGGTGACTCTTCGCCATCTGTTGCACCATCGACGATCCCGTCGGTATCACCAAACACTTCGCCATCTGCTGCACCATCTGCGAGTCCATCGACGACCCCATCTACAAATCCCAGTGGTGCTCCTTCGAAGTCCTCAACGCCGTCTGTGACATCAGGAGCCGTAGAAGCGGCATGTTCAGCGCATCCAGCTTGCTCCGGTTTGGCTGGGGATTGTTGTCCAACTTCTGATGGCGTTACATTCCTTACTTGCTGCTCATCGGGTGATTCCTCGCCATCTGCTACCCCATCGACACCACCATCGACGACTCCATCCACGATGCCATCGCCAGAATCATCCGTGTCACCATCTATCACTCCATCTACAATGCCTAGCAGTGCTCCTTCGAAATCTTCAGCGCCTTCTGTGACACCAGGAACCGTAGAAGCGGCATGTTCAGCGCATCCTGATTGCTCCGGTTTGACTGGGGATTGTTGCCCAACTTCTGATGGCGTCACATTCCTTACTTGCTGCTCATTGGGTGACTCTTCGCCATCCGCAACACCATCAACACCACCATCGACGGCTCCATCCGCAGCACCATCGACGAAACCATCCATTTTACCATCTACCACTCCGTCTGCAATGCCTAGCAGTGCTCCTTCCAAGTCTTCAGCGCCTTCTGTGACACCAGGAACCGTAGAAGCGGCATGTTCAGCGCATCCTGATTGCTCTGGTTTGGCTGGGGATTGTTGCCCAACTTCTGATGGCGTCACATTCCTTACTTGCTGTTCATTGGGTGACTCTTTGCCATCTGCTACACCATCAACACCACCATCGACGGCTCCATCAGCAGCACCATCGACGAAACCATCTACCACTCCGTCCACAATGCCTAGCAGTGCTCCTTCCAAGTCTTCTAAACCTTCTGAGACAATAAGTTCCGCTGCATGCTCTGCAAATCCTGGTTGCGCAACGCTGGGTTTGACAGGTGACTGTTGTCCACCCCCAAATGCTGCTAGTCTTTGTAAGTATATCGTAGCAAATTCATCGTCCAGGATTCACATGCTTTTCTTACCCTTTTGTTCTACAGTCTGCTGCAGTGTGGACGTATCGTTCCCGCCAAGCTCAAGCCCATCTATGTTGCCGTCTACTGTTCCATCAACCATGCCGTCTGGAAGTCCCAGCATGATGCCTTCGATGTCACCATCTATCAAACCGAGCAACCTTCCGTCGATCCTTCCTTCGATGTCGCAGCTACCAACCCATGAAAATCCACAATGCGAATTGAACCAAGAGTGTAAGGCACTAGGATTAACTGGTCTCTGTTGCCCCACAAGCGATGATGTTATGGTAAGTTTCACGTTGATGATAACATCTCGCCCTACCGCCTTTGTCCTCACAACACACCTCTTTTGTAAATAGCTTTCATGTTGTTACGGCGAGCCCAGCAGTGCTCCAAGCTATTCTGAAGTCCCCTCGAAGCAGCCTAGTGTCCAGCCATCAGTCTCGATTACCCCATCATCCGCTCCGAGTAGTAACCCATCGCTATCCTTGGTTCCCAGTTCGGCGCCCTCGGATCAGCCTTCTATTTCGATGAAACCATCAAGTGTTCCAAGTGATCAGCCGTCGGTGTCATTGAATCCGTCATCTGCTCCGAGCAGCAATCCATCGCTCTCAATGGGTCCATCTAGTACCCCAAGTGATCAGCCATCTGTGTCGATGAATCCTTCCTCGGCTCCCAGCAGCAACCCTTCACTATCAGTAGTACCGAGTGCAGCTCCCAGCAGCAACCCCTCGTTATCATTGGTACCCTCAAGTGCCCCAAGTGACCAGCCGTCAGTGTCAATGAATCCGTCCTTGGCTCCAAGCAGTAATCCTTCTCTCTCACTGGTTCCATCTGCTGCTCCAAGTAGCAATCCATCACTTTCGATCGATCCATCGACCATGCCGAGTGAGGTTCCGAGTAGAAGTCAGAACCCAAGCGAGAGCAATGTACCTTCAGGGTCACCTTCGCTGGAACCGTCAAAGCAACCAAGTAGCAATCCTTCGCTTTCAATGGATCCTAGTGCAATTCCTTCTAACAACCCTTCACTATCAGTGATACCAAGTTTGGCTCCTTCGAAACAGCCTTCACTATCATCGGTACCCTCCAGTACCCCAAGTGATCAGCCGTCAGTGTCAATGGTACCAAGTTTGGCTCCTTCGAAACTACCTTCTCTATCATCAGTGCCCTCAAGTGCTCCAAGTGATCAGCCGTCGGTGTCAATGAATCCATCCTCGGCTCCCAGCAGTAATCCTTCTCTTTCTGATGCTCCTTCCTTGGCTCCCAGCAGCAAACCGTCGCTATCTTTGGTTCCCAGCTCCACACCCTCGGACCAGCCTTCTGTTTCAATGAAACCGTCTAGTCTTCCTAGTAAACAGCCCTCGGGTTCAAGCAGTCCTTCATCAGCACCAAGTAGCAATCCATCGGTCTCATTGGTTCCTTCTGGTGCCCCAAGCAAAGAACCCTCGGTATCAATGGTTCCATCACAGCATCCAAGTTTGACGCCTTCGGTCTCACTGGTACCAAGTATGGCTCCTTCAAAACTACCTTCTCTATCATCAGTACCCTCAAGTGCTCCAAGTGATCAGCCGTCGGTGTCAATGAATCCATCCTCGGCTCCAAGCAGAAATCCTTCTCTCAATCCATCATCAGCTCCAAGTAGCAATCCATCACTTTCTTTGGTTCCTTCTGGCGCCCCAAGCAAAGAGCCATCGGTGTCAATGGTTCCATCACAGCATCCAAGTTTGAGTCCTTCGGTCTCACTGGTACCAAGTATGGAACCTTCCAAGAATCCAAGTGTCTCAATGATACCATCCCAGCATCCAAGCGCCAATCCTTCTCTTTCTTTGGTGCCTTCCACTTCTCCAAGTGAGAGCCCTTCAGTCTCGATTAAACCCAGTGATGTTCCTTCTGAAGAGCCAACAGAATCGGTAAGTGGATCCTTCCATGTCAACACGTCTCATTCACTTTTTGCAAGTCAAAATATTCACACTTGTGTTGCACTTCTTTCTATTCTAGCCTGCGCCATCTCCAAGTCCATCTCATAATCCAACAGGAATTCCATCAGAGAGTCATGCGCCATCATCGAACCCAACACTTAGTGACGCACCATCGGGTGAGCCAACGGAGTCGCCAGCTCCATCTCCATCACCAAGTGAGCAACCAACAACAAGTCAAAAACCTTCTGCCGTTCCGTCAGATCCACCGGTGTAATCGCTGTATCCGGGCCGATGTAGTAGAAAAATTGTATTATATATTAGATCCATTCTATCCCATGTATAACACCTCTTATATATATACCCTGCGTTTTCAGTAATTATGTGAGAGAACGTTGAATGAACAGTTAAGGGTAATAATATAAGAGCGGGGGAATACCGTATATCTTCCGCGTCCCCGCTTTTGAAAACCGGTCAACGATCGACGATATCGGCTGGCGCGTTTTGCAACGAATTCACTAAATACCATGAAATATGTGTAATTTAAAGATATACGGTCTTGAAGGCATTTATGTTGGTCGTTGGCGACCTTGCCAGTATGAAATTTGAACGCATACCCAAAAACTAGCACCATCTTTTCCAATACCGGTAGTAATCGAAACGACTATGATATCATCATTTCAACGAGAACGAAGCATGAAGGGAACTACCTTCCTCCTGATATCTTTCATACTTTGGAGACAGGCTATGTCTCAATTGGAATGTTCGGAACACCCTGCTTGCATAATGGAAGGCTTAAACGCGGAAAGCAATTGCTGCCCGGATGATAATGGGGTCTATGAAGACTGTTGCTTTCGCGCAGAGTGCATTCTGTACCCCGCATGCTATAGCGCAGGTCTTGATGACTTTTGCTGTCCTACAGAAGACGGCAATATGTTAGACTGCTGTGGTACTATTCCTGTTCCTTCCCCCACTTTGTTGCCGTCGGTGGTTCCAACACCAGTTGTTACGCTTTTCGAACCAAAATGTGATGAAAACAAAGCATGCAGAGATCAAGGACTCACAGGTCTATGTTGCCCGACAGTAGAAGGAGTAATACTGGAGTGCTGTAGTGGGACCGCTCCGCCATCAAAGGTTCCTTCCATTTCTCCAAATGACGACCCTTCCAATATGCCATCAAAAGTTCCCACTTCCCCGCCATCCGGCGAACCAAGCCCTGTTCCATCGGAAGCACCAAGCGCATCACCATCTATCGTACCAAGTCTTGCTCCATCAAAAGCGCAAGCAACCCAATCGTCTTGTTCGGCACATCCTGCTTGCTCCAATTTAGAAGGCGAGTGCTGCCCAACGACCGATGGGGTCACTCTTGACTGCTGTTCCAGTGGACCAACAGTATCAAACAGTCCTTCTGCGGCACCAAATACTTCACCATCAGCTACACCATCGACTTCGCCAAGCAGTGTTCCTTCTATATCTATGCTACCAAGTATTGTATCAGCTGAATGTTCGGCACATCCTGAGTGCTCCAATCTAGAAGGTAACTGCTGTCCAACGACTGATGGAGTCATTCTTGACTGCTGTTCCAGTCGACCAACAATATCAAACAGTCCTTCTGCCGCACCGAATACTTCGCCGTCAGCTACACCGTCGCTCTTGCCAAGCAGCATTCCTTCTATATCTACCGTGCCAAGCATCGTATCAGCTGCATGTTCGGCACATCCTGAATGCTCCAATCTAGAAGGTGACTGCTGTCCAACGACGGATGGAGTCACTCTTGACTGCTGTTCCAGTCGACCAACAATATCAAACAGTCCTTCTGCCGCACCGAATACTTCGCCGTCAGCTACACCGTCGATCTTGCCAAGCAGCATTCCTTCTATATCTATCGTGCCAAGCATCGTATCAGCTGCATGTTCGGCACATCCTGAATGCTCCAATCTAGAAGGTGACTGCTGTCCAACGACGGATGGAGTCACTCTTGATTGCTGTTCCAGTGGACCCACAATATCAAGCAGCCCTTCTGCCGCACCGAATACTTCGCCGTCAGCTACCCCGTCGACAACGCCAAGTAGCGTTCCTTCTCATACAACGTCGACCTTACCAAGCAGCATTCCTTCCAAGTCTCCGTCTGCTTCCATAGCACCTTCTGTGACAGCTGCGTGCATTTCCAATCCTGGATGTGCTATCTTGGGTCTCACAGGCGACTGCTGTCCCCCTCCAAATGGGGACAATCTTTGTAAGTACAAGACTGCGAAAAAGACTGGCTGCACATCCCACACTTTGTATCTTTCTCACAAATTTGTCGTGTGTAGTCTGCTGCAGTGTGGATGGATCATTCTCGCCAAGTTCAAATCCGTCGATCTTGCCATCGGTCGAGCCAAGCCTATTTCCATCAACCATGCCGTCGAATAGTCCCAGTCAGTCACCTTCGGTTACTCCAAGTCTATTGCCATCAACCATGCCGTCGAGTAGCCCCAGCCATGCACCATCGGTTACTCCAAGTCTGCTTCCATCATCCATGCCATCGGGAAGCCCTAGTGTTTTGCCTTCGCTGTCACCCTCAAATCAGCCGAGCGGCAATCCATCTTTCTATCCATCAGGGTCAGAGAGCCCGACACATGAAAATCCAGAGTGTGAAAAGAATCAAGAGTGTAAGGCACTAGCCTTGACTGGTTTCTGCTGTCCCACAATAGATGATGTTATGGTAAGTACCACCTTGACGAAATGATATCGTTATGGTGGCATTGTACTCACACACCCTCCCTCAAAATAGTTGTCATGCTGCTTTGGGGAACCCAGCAGTACTCCAAGTTTTTCCGAAGTCCCTTCACAGCTTCCAAGCATCAAGCCGTCGGTGTCAAATGCTCCATCCTCTGGTCCAAGTAGCAACCCTTCGCTATCATTGAATCCTTCATCTGCTCCTAGCAGCAATCCATCATTATCAATAATTCCATCGAGCACTCCAAGTGACCAGCCATCGACCTCAAAGGCTCCATCTTCTGTTCCAAGCAGCATTCCTTCTCTGTCCATTCAGCCTTCCCTGGCACCCAGCACAAATCCATCCCTTTCGAGCAATCCATCGTCAATACCCAGTCTAGTTCCAAGTAGGAGCCAGCATCCAAGTGAGAGCAATGAACCTTCGACGCTGCCTTCGATGAATCCATCGCAGCGACCAAGCTCGAAGCCCTCGCTATCAATTGCTCCTAGTACATCAATCGAACCCAGCGTAATTCCTTCTGAAGAACCAACGGAATCGGTAAGTCGCTCGTCACTTCAAATGAATTCCTTGCGTGATCATTCTACTCTAACTCAGTGTCACTCTGGGTGTCCTCGTAGCCTGCACCGTCTCCAAGTCCTTCAAAGATGCCAACAGGGAAGCCATCAGGAAGTGCAATCCCATCGTCCAAGCCAACACTCAGTGATGCACCATCCGGTGAACCGACAGAGTCACCAGCTCCATCCCCAGCACCTAGTCAGCTCCCAACAACGAGTCAGAAGCCTTCTGAAGACCCCTCATCGGAGCCTACTGAGTCACCAGCTCCGTCACCGTCCCCAAGTGACATTCCGAGTGACATGCCGACAAAGTCACCGGTGTAATTTTTAATCAATGGCTCCACCCAAGCCTGATGTAATATGTAAAAGATTTGTACAAAACTCCATTGTTCCACTCCATGTATTGTTGTTGTTATTATTGTTATTATTATCAATGAAACATATATAGCTTACAAAAAGTATGGAACGAGTTGCGCCCTTTCTGCTCCTCGTGGCCCATGAACAGACTCTGCAGTCTCTTTGAAGAACTGAAATCGTTGCGGTATGCTTCCTTCGAAACCTTCGTTCTCTGCCTTTTGTTCTGCTTCGTCATTGCTATTGTTAGAGGCCGAGTTGTTTGTTTTTGCAGGCTTGTCCCCAATCTCCAAAATGGCAGCCACATTCCCGCATCGATAGCAGTAGTTTGGTGCTGACCAAACAGTCACAAGCCTCTTGTCAAAATGATATTTTCGGCCTTCCATGACCAACTGGTGTGCCCGAGCCAGGCACTGCAAATCGTTGACTTCGTGGAATTCATCCGTGACCCGCTTTCCAAACAAGTAGCCGGCCCCACGAGGCGAGAGCTGCCAACTGCCAGCAATGTCTTCTGGATCACTCCAGACCAAATCGCAAAAGGCACCTTCGTGAGGGATCTCTTGATTCCGATCAATGGCTCGTACTTGGTCTAGAGTGCGAACGTCTGGACTCAAACCGCCGTGTACACAAAGGACTTGTTCATCAATTAGGGCGGCTAATCCAAAGCAATCAAAGCACTGGACGCAGTGTCTCCATACACTTGCATTTCCATATTTCCGGAGGCATTCATCATAGAATCCATAGACTTGAGTAATTTGTCGAGACTATATAGATGGCCAGAGACGATTAGAACAATGAAAATCATCAAATACAACGTGAAGAGAACGTCCGCAAACGAATACAACAACACGCACCTCATGATTCCCTCTCAAAAGTGTCACATGTCCGGGGTATTTGAGCTTTAGAGCTAGCAATAGACTCAGTGTTTCGACAGAATTGTGCCCACGATCCACAAAATCTCCCAAAAACACATACGAAGTCTCCGGAGGCCATCCTCCAACCTTTAACAAATTGAGCAAGTCAAATACCTGTCCGTGCAAGTCGCCCACAATGGTGACGGGGGACAAGACTGGCTGGACATTGGACTCTTCCATCAATAGTTCAGATACATATTGGCATAATTGACGCAATTCTTGTTCGCTGACGCATTCACCGCCTTTTAAAGTTTCGATACAAGCATCGACGTTTAGAAACATTTTGTTCTTATTTTTGTGCAGTTTTTGATAGAATGGAACTGAAAATTCTCGTGCTTCTTGCGTTGTCTTCTGAGGTTAATTTCTTGCTGGAAATCTAGTCTTTCTATGTAACGCTTTCAGTATATTGTTCAAAGGGGAATAGAGAGGCTTAATCGAAGTGCTTTGAGTGTAGCTGACGGAGTTCTGCAGTCCAACGGAAGGTCTTTCTATTATGTTACTTCTGTCGAGATGATGATGAGAAATAAATAGTCCAGGTCAATCGTGGCGAATGCCAGACTACAGAGACATTTGAGTCGAACGAGTCCCTTCATCCCATTCTATTGTCATCTACAGTACCAGTAGCTACTGGACTCTAATATAAAACCCTGGTACCTGCTTTAGAAAAGAAGACACAAACTGATTGCTTTCACAGATTATAACCAAACCACATCGCTCTGACAGTAACACTCGGACACCTTGCAACCACCGATCTATACAACTAACTATCGGCGCTTATTCGCATTGACCGTCTCACCTTGCCCCTTGACAAAGATATAGGTGGATCGTCTAGAACGACCAGAGTCCGTTCCAATCTCTTGATTAAAGGCCACACACTCTTTTCTCATAATGTCTTCAAATTCCGAAGCCGAAGGTCTCGCTCTTTGATTTTCACCCCATGCCTTTTCCAACAATGTCTTGACCTTGGGCGATATCTTTTTCGAAATAGGTGGACGGACTTTGGGGCCATCTTCCTTCCAGACATGTTGAATGAAGCGTTCCGTGGTAAAATTGGCATACGGAAGGGTCAATTCCAAAGTCTCCCATCCCAACAGACTGAGAGAGTAGACATCCGACTTTTCGTTGTAGGGTTTGCCAAGAGCAACTGAATGAAGAAGAAAAAATAGTACAATACGTTGTTAGCCAAATAACCATGCAGTCTCTGATTCCAACAATTACTCTCATGCAGGATGCAGGTGTGCAATTGATGTGATTGAACGAGAAACAAACAAAGAAAGACATACCCTCGGGCGCCATGTATCGGGGAGTTCCGCACATTCCGGTAAAGTTGAATTCTTGACCAGGTTTCGCATCTTTGGGGATTTCCTTGGCAAGACCCAAGTCGAATAGCTTAATGTCCCCACGCTGCAACATGAAACAAATTAGAGAAATCATATAATAAAATGAAAATAGAGTTGCAGTAGGATTGTGTGAGAATGAATCAAGTCCAGTCTTCTCAATTCCATCTATAATGACCTCGTCCTTCCACAACCTGACATTTCCTGCTCAGCACTTACCACATCAAAGCCAATGTTCTCGCTTTTCAAATCACGGTGAATTATTTTTCTCTCATGCAAATACGCCACAGCGGAGGCTAGATCAAGAGTACATTCCATGCGCTCTTCCTTGACTTCCTTCAGCATTTGTTTCTGTGATTTACTCTTGAACATTTTCTTGGCTCCTGCCGACGCTTCTGTGGCCTTCCATTTGGGGATGCGAGACTCCAAAGTGTCATACAGTCGGTCCAAAATCAAGAAATTTTCCGGTTTGAACAAGTCTTCCTTCAGCGCGATTCCACGTAGTTTGATAATGTTGGGATGTTCCAAGGCTGACAGAAAATCAGTCTCGCTTGCCAAATCCACAATGCCATTCAGAAATCCATTTTCATCGGCAATAATTGAAGGTTTCAGTTTCTTAATGGCGTATCGAGCATCTCCGTTGCTTCTGTAGCAGTGCTTGGCAATGAATTTGCGAGACTCGACTTCGCCCGCCTCCAGTTCGGCATCGCCGCCAATTTCAAAGGCATCCTCGGCTTCGTCTTCGTCGTAATCATCGTGATCATCTCGAGCCGCTGGAGCCTCCTCTGGAAGCTTGAAGCCTTTTACTTCTTGGACCGAACAGAATCCTCCGGTTCCGAGCATAGCACCAGCTTCTAATTCGTCCACTGCGAACCTTGGGATTTCGTCCAACATGTCCCTTGGAAGATTGGAACTGGCAACCTGCTTTTGGTAATAATCAATGGCGACCTGCAGTCTGCCATTCTCTTCAGCCCCCATGGTTATCCTATTGTAGCAGATTTGATATTATATCTAGTACAATGTACTGCGTAGTGGAAACAGGTGAAAGAAGACAATAACCTTCTTGGTAAAGGTATATATACAGTAGTAATGAACCAGCTCAATGGCAAGTAACTTTTGTCCATAGGTTATTTCATATATTTTGCATCAGACATTTTTTGTCGCGTGATACTGAGTGCCGAGGAGGCGATGCCGCAAGTGCAGCCTTAAGTGGAGAAGCACCTTCATTTAATGCCATGCTGGTACCCGAAAAAGAAATAGCTCGCCAGCAGCACTGGTTTCAAGCGACTTGAGTGATGGTACAAAAAGTTACATGCAGGCGAAACGAATGTTGATGACGTCAGTTTGCCGCCGAACACTATAACCGCAAACAAACTGACTTTAAATTATATACCGGTAGAGGCTTTAGAGATGTATTTTATATGGTGTATGTCTGCTGCTCTGGTACCAAAAGGTGTCACTACTGTCGTGTAAATTTCTATTATACTACCTACTTATAATGGGATACTTTTAACCAAACATGTCTTCGATCAAGCTCTTGTCGCTAACACCAGTATCGTAGTGCTTCTCCTCTTTCTTAGCTTTTGGAAGCATACTACCCGCACCAGCATTACCGCTCTCGGCTGCTAGAGCTGCACCCGCTGCGACTATCCCAAGTGCATAGGCTCGACGTTCGGCATCATTGTGAAAGACTGTCTGAGATGGGCCTTCTTTCTTGGCTTTTTCTACTGCGGCTTCCTTGGCTGCCTTTGCTTGCTCGGCCCGTCGTTCCTCTTCTTGCTTCTTCAGTTCGACACTTTCTTCTTCTACCAACGCTTCGACTTGTTCTCCGACAAATTGTATCAAATTAAATATTTGTGGGTCTCCAGCTTCTTCTTCGGCTCTAGTCATGGCTTCCTTCACTAGCAAATGCGTCAATTTATTCAATATTGCCTCGGAGAGACCACCACCCTTGACCGCTAGCACCGGAGGTCCATGCAGCGGATAGTTTGTATTGCTCGCATAGACTTCCATCAATAATGGAGGTGGCAGTTCGTATCGATCTGGAGGCTCATATATGGTAATTGGAAAGACAGAATCCAGATTGGATTCGTCACCCTCTTGAAACTGAACGTTCGGGTCGTCTTCTCCAAAAATGGCTTGCAATACTTCCTTTTCCTCCTGACGGGCACTTTTTAGTTCTTCCTTATCAACGTCGCCACCAGTTGAGCTACTGTCCATACCCTTATCCTCAGCACAGGAAAAAAAGAGAGCTTTAAGAGCGGCAAGCTTCTTGGGATGGGTTTCCAACGTCTGCTTTGCTTGGTCCAATGGGTATCCACGTTCGCACAGAAAGATGAGATATGGGTTCGATGTTTCCATTCGCCGTCGTTTATCTTCCTGCATCCATAATGGATCCCTGGACCTGGAATCATCATCATCATCACCATCACCATGATGTCCGTCGTCGTCAAGAGTAGTATTAGGAGTAGCAATAGACTTGGCAAAACCCATTTCTTCCAACGCCGCGTCGATTCCTGATAGTTCATCCCCTTGTCGCTTGGACTTGTGTTTCAAATGCTTCAAATCTTCCATCACGGGATCATAAATAGCAGTAGCAGCAGCGGAACTGGTTGTACCCTGCTTCCGTTCGTGTTTCTTCCGGGTAACCATATGCCGTTCATGTTGCTGAAACTCCTCGTAAAAGTCAATCGTAATGTCCTCTGACTTTTGTTTTTCCAATTCCTTGATGCGCGGCCGATCCTTGTCACATCTACCATACCGGCATAGTTTCGTGTTGTGGTAGGTGACAGTACCACTGTCCATTTCAAATGTCTTTTTGAGATTGGAATGGGGTGTGTACACCATTTTGCAGGATGCCAGCTTACTTCCTGCGATCGAGTTGTTCTTGCAAATTTGCATCATGTCGTAGATGGTATCCGTAGGCACTGTAACATCAATATTAATATTAATATTAATATATTATATTGGATTGGATTGGATTAGTAAAATATTTAGGTGAGATACGATTGGATCATTGCGAAGTATATGAAACTGATGAGATGATGCAGAGCACACCGATCATAGTATTGCAGATCGCAGACTTACAATCATCAATGGGTATTCCGTCCACAGGAATCCGGGTATTGCTGTGTAAGTTCTTAATCCGAAAGTAAACATGTGCAGACGACAACGAGTCGACGTGAAACCAGATATCCCCTGGCCAGCCATATTTGATGAGGAATTCGTTTTCATGCTTGTCTCGGCCCACATAACAAATAATGTCTTTGTTGCCGTCCAGAATAATGTGAGAATTGGCATTCCGGCAGGGACCACCACGGATGGAGTAATAAAAGACCATCTAGGTTATTCTGTTCCTGATGTGATGGATTATGCAGACGGGCAATCTGTAACAATGAGAAGAGTATCGATGACACTATACACAATATACCGGTATGCGATGAGAGGTTGTGATTTCCACTCATTGAGGGTCTGAATAAGATCCTGAAAATTGCTGCAAGTCGGATGAGTCGCATGTCCACCAAATGATTTTGACTATTTGAACGAATACCAGGGATTCTGAGGTCTGAGATTTGATCGAATCGACTGAATGTCTGAGTGATCGAGTGAGTCGGATTCGGTGAGAAAACTCAACACGAATCCAACTTGATCAGATCAGAGGAAGTTGTCAGCGTAGAAGCTACGGCTATCACGCTACATCTCCAACATTCTATAACTAACAATCCAGCGGGATTGGTTGGAGTTGGTTCAGATCAGATCAGACGAATGTAGCACGACTAAAAGAAGTTTGAGTCTTCAAACTGCTCATAATATTTTAAAATCGATTTTCAAACGAAACTATATTCAACCCCAAATTGACAACGCCCCAAAACCTAGTTTGAGCCTTATCAACGTGGTTTTGTTACACGCTCCCTCTGCGATAAGGAACTAGCAGGTACGTTCATACTCTGCTGAATGGACAGGGGCTCACTCAGGAATCTACCTCGAAGAGACTACGCTGAGATCCCAGTAGCCAATGATCGCGCAATTGGAGGAGGCGACCAAGATGGTCCTGCTCCAGGAGGAGGAGAAAATGGTGGACCTGGAAGTTTGACTCCTGGACAAGCAACAAGGGGAACGCTCCAGTACGCTGGAAACAAGCAACACTATTACCTTTTTCGCAGCGCAACAAGGAGGTTGGACGAGGAGACTCTTTTCGATTGTACCTCCGATAACTTTTACCAGTTCATGAAGAACCTTGGTGAAAGAGCCGATGAATTTGGATGGTCGACTCGTGGAGGCATCCTACATGTTCCAAAAGCTGATGGAACCATGGTCAACCTTTTGACTGAATATGGATCTATTACCCTTGAAGAGATTGAAATTCATGAACGCAGCTACTGGAACAATGGATACAGGAAGTCCCAAGACGACCGGATGCTCTACGAATGCATCATGAAATCACTTTCTACTCTTGGAAAAGCGAAGGTCAACATTCACAGTTCTGACTACAAGCTCATGTCTGGACAATACAATCGCTATCCATCTGGGCTCTGCTTGCTGAAGGTGGTAGTTCGGGAGTCCTATTTGGATTCAAATGCAACGACTGGTATGCTACGTCAACGACTTGCCACTCTGGATCTCTACCTGCCAACGGTCAACAACGATATCATCAAGTTCAACATGCACGTTAAGATGCTACTCGAAGGATTGCAGGCGCGTGGAGAGCAAACATTGGATCTGTTGACGAACCTCTTTCGAGGATATATGGTGTGCAGTGACAAGGAATTTGTCAAGTACATTACCGATCTAGAGACGGACCATGACATGGAGAACCGACCAATCACTGCAGCAAAGCTTATGAAACTGGCGGAGAAGAAGTACAAGATCATGGTATCGCTAGAAAAGTGGGAAGCTCCTACGCAAGTTGATGAGCAAATCATGGCATTGCAGGCCAAGATTTCTGATATGAAGCAGAAGCTTGAAACCAAGAAGAAAAGAAAGAAAGACGACGATGACAGGAAGCCAGCTCCAAGAAAGAAGAATCAGAAACAGGAAAGGCCGGATTGGTTCAACCATGCACCACCACACGATAAAATCAATGAAACCAAGCATTGGAATAAGATTGATTGGCATTGGTGCTGTGAAGCGACTGGTGGACACTGTGGAGGAGTTTGGCGAGCTCACAAGCCAAAGGACTGCAAACCGTTCAAAAAGAAGAACAAGTTCGATCCAAAGAAGAGATCTTCTGGAGGAGCAGCCCCGAAGATTGAGTTGAAGACAGCTGTTGACGAAGAATACTTGGCTGGTTTGACTGGAGGCTACGAATCGGATGTCTACAGCACTAGCGAATGACATGTCAAGGGTCCAAGAGAGGGTTACAAGCAGAAGACGAAGACATCATACAACAACTCCCTCCTACCATGTATCTGGGAGTGCATCACGCCACACCTAATACGTATAGGGAAAATTGTTTGGATCTTCACTGTTGTCTATTTCTGCCTAATTTTGGACCCATTCCTGGAGAATTATGACACAGGAAAACGATATGTTCCAAAATCTCACAGATGGAATCGATGGAATGACGCAACGAAACGGTTGACTGACACACTTCGAAACTACATCAGTCCGATTATGGAGTTCTTTGACACTATGGACGACAACTGGACCGCCTACTACACTAGAGCGGCGTACAAGAGGGCAAAACATATGCATTACCTAGCTGAATCAATGAATGAGGATTACGAGCCTCTCACTAAGGAGACCTGGATCAAAAGGGAATTGAACAGGGTGCATCCGAACAAACGAAAACTAAATCACCCCCACTATCGAGTTCGAAATAAGCTGTTGTATGCTAAGACGACACTGATCTACGTTCACGAGACTACAAATTCAGAAGGAGAAGCAACTCATCACAACAATTGCAAGTTTGATACGGATTCTGGAAAGGTTGGAATCGACAATCGTGCAAGTGCATGCATCTCCCATGTTGCTACTGATTTTGAGGGACCGTTGGTACCTGTGAAGCGTTCGATCAAGGGTTTTGGTGGAGAACGAGTTTGGAATGTATTCAAGGGGACAATTGTTTGGAAGTGGCACGACAATGAAGGACAGCTACATCGGTTCTCCATACCGAATTCCTATTACGTTCCTCATGGTAAATGCCGCCTTTTGAGTCCACAACATTGGGCTCAGACGCAATTGAGAGGACGAGTCACGCCTATGAAAAAGCTATCCGAGACAACCAAGGATGGCATTGGAGAATCTACACTCTACAATCGCTGTCAGGTATTTTGGGATAGACGACAATATACAATGGATGTCTACCTTGGAGAACATGATAACGTGGCAACTTTCTATCTTGCTCCTGGATTCAAGAATTTTGATCTGTTCTGCAAGGAGTGCAAGATTGACACGAATGATGACACACCAATATACGCCATGCCAGCTGGAGTTGTGAGCGACGATGAGGGTGGTGAAGATGATGACGACGATGTTCCACCACCAACCGAAAAGAACGACAATAACACATCATTCCTGCCAAACTTACTTCGCCCAATCAGACAACTTAATCCACTGAAGGCAAAGCAAACAACACCTGAACCGCGACACACTACATTTGATTTGGATGGAAGGACCACCACTGGAGACCGACCACCGGTAGTCATCGACGAGGAGGAGGAGAAGCAGGCAACTACGCCAGCCCAAGAACTACTTCGCTATCACCACCGGATGGCACACATCTCCATGGCAAAACTGCAAAACATGGCTAAGCAAGGCATCATACCAAGGCGCCTCGCCAATGTACACCCACCTACATGCAGCTCATGCCTCTTCGCAAAAGCAACGAGACGACAATGGAGACACAAGCGTCGAAAACATTGGACTGAGAAGACAGATGTGAGGACACCAGGACAAGTCGTATCGGTCGATCAGTTGATCTCTCCCACTCCAGGCTTGGTAGCCCAGATGACTGGAATTCTCACGAAGAAGCGCTACACATGTGCGACCATCTACGTGGACCAATACTCTGGTCTCGGCTTTGTTTATCTTCAGAAGTCCACGAGTGCGGATGAAACAATTATGGGAAAGAAAGCCTTTGAAGCCTACGCAAAACAACATGGAGCAACAATCAAGGCATACCATGCAGATAATGGAGTGTTCCGTGCGAATAAATGGGTCGATGAATGCAGACGACTTGAGCAGACACTAACGTTTGCAGGAGTCAATGCACATCATTCAAATGGACTAGCTGAACGAAGGATTCGGTCACTACAAGACTTGGCAAGGTCAATGCTCATTCACATGAATAACAGGTGGAGAATGCCTGGGATTGCTCACCTCTGGCCGTATGCAATCAGGATGGCAAATGACGCAATTAATGAAGCGCCAAACCTGAGGGATGAGAAAGGGCGATCGCCATTGCAACTCTTCAGTCAGACTGACATTCAAACCCACAACAAGCATTGGATTCCATTTGGATGTCCTGTCTACGTATTGGATCCGAAACTGCAAACAGGACAAGGATTCTTGAACAAGTGGGAAGCTAGATCTCGAGTTGGAATCTACCTTGGTAGATCACCGAATCATGGAAGAAACGTTGCCCTTGTTTTGAATCGATTGACAGGCTTGGTATCGCCGCAATTCCATGTCACTTTTGACAAAGGATTTAATACAGTGAAGCAAGATAAGTACGATACTCACTGGCAAATGAGAGCTGGACTCCAGGTACCAAAGAAAGGAGCCATGCATCCCTCAAATGAGTCAACCAACAAGTTGAAGAGGACGATGCCAGAGCCAGAGGGAGTTCCACAACAATCGAACAAGAGAGTTAGAATGGAAACTGGAGTGTCGGAGCCGATGCACATCAATGATGATGACATGATTGGAAATTCTACTCCTGGAGAAACCAACAAGCTGCAGCAACCTGACGAATCTACAAGTCCAGTCCCACACAATGAAGAGGAAGCTGGCCGCTCAGATCCACCAATGGAGGATGGAGGAGAGCGTCAACCTGAAAGCCAACAGGTGCCCAATACATCTTCGATTTCTCATCCGGCAGAGACCATATTGAAAGTAATGGCGGCGGAGCTGTCAAGCGCAACGAAGAACGGTATTGAAGGTGAAATATTCTGCTTTGAAGCAATGTTCCCAGCTTACTCTGGAGAAGCCGAGCAGGATCCGTTGAAGATTTTCAAGGCAACCTCTGACCCTGACACAATGTACATGCATGAAGCTATGCGTGAGAAGGATGCAGGTGAATTTCGAAAGGCGATGAAGAAGGAATGGGAAGACCAACTCAAGAACGAGAACTTCTCAATCATCCATCGGACATCAGTTCCAGAGGGAGCCACAATCTTTCCAACGGTATGGCAAATGAAACGAAAACGAGATATTCGAACGAGGGAAGTCAAAAAGTACAAAGCAAGATTGAACTTTGATGGGTCCAAAATGAAATATGGACGAGACTACGACCAAACATATGCACCGGTCGCAAGTTGGAACTCGATTCGAACTCTTCTGATTGTCTCTGCAATGCTTGGGTGGAAAACCAAGCAGATCGACTATGTCCTGGCATTTCCGCAAGCACCAGTTGAGAGGGAGCTCTACATGAAACTTCCAGCTGGTTTCAAAGTTGTCGATGGAAACAGTAACGAATACATTTTAAAGTTGCATCAAAACATTTATGGAGGAAAGGCAGCAAGCCGAGTCTGGTATCAATATTTGACGAAGGTTCTCGTCGATAAATTGGAATTCAAGAAATCCAATTACGATGAATGTGTCTTTTACAAAGGAAATGTGATGTAAGTTTTGTACACAGACAACTCCATTCTTGCGGGACCCGATCAAGCCGAGATTGACCGAGTTGTGGCTGAAATTGGGGAAATCCTGGACATTACTGATGAAGGGGACATTCAAGACTTTCTTGGGGTTAACATTGAAAGGAAGCCTGACGGTTCTATACACCTCACCCAACCACATTTGATTGATCAGATTCTGAAGGACCTAAACATGCAGGAGGACACGGCGACACGACCAATCCCAGCAGCATCATCAAAGCTGTTGTCAAAACATTCTGATTCTCCAGAGTTTGATGGATCGTTTCACTACAGATCTGTCATTGGAAAATTAAACTACCTGGAGAAGGGTTCAAGGCCGGACATCGCTTATATTGTTCACCAGTGTGCAAGGTTTAGTACATGCCCAAAAAAGGAGCATGGCGAGGCAGTACGATGGTTGGCGCGATATCTCAAGGGCACGAAAGACAAAGGATTGATTCTACGACCTGATAGAACGAAAGGATTGGAGGTCTACGTCGATGCTGACTTCGCTGGAAATTGGGATCCCAAAGAATATGAGGATTGCGATACAGCAAGATCAAGGCATGGCTACTTCATCAATTTCGCAGGTTGTCCTATCGTCTGGAAGTCGCAGCTGCAAACTGAGATTGCGTTATCATCAACAGAGTCAGAATACACTGGAATCTCTTACTCACTTCGTGAAGCAATACCCATCATGAACCTTTTCAAGGAGATGATCAAGTATGAAATCCCGATTGAAAGCCCAATTGCAGAGGTACACTGCCGAGTATTTGAAGACAATACCGGAGCTCTGGAAATTGCTAGAGTGCATAAGTTTCGACCAAGAACAAAGCACCTAAACTGCAGGCTACATCATTTCAGGTCATACATTGGTAATGGGATTACTATTCACAAGATAGATACAAAAGAGCAACCAGCTGACATGTTGACAAAACCATTGAACGCTGAGCTACTCATCAAGTTCAGAAAGATGATCCTGGGTTGGTAGGAAGATCATCGATTTGATCAAAAGAGGGAGTGAACGAATACCAGGGATTCTGAGGTCTGAGATTTGATCGAATCGACTGAATGTCTGAGTGATCGAGTGAGTCGGATTCGGTGAGAAAACTCAACACGAATCCAACTTGATCAGATCAGAGGAAGTTGTCAGCGTAGAAGCTACGGCTATCACGCTACATCTCCAACATTCTATAACTAACAATCCAGCGGGATTGGTTGGAGTTGGTTCAGATCAGATCAGACGAATGTAGCACGACTAAAAGAAGTTTGAGTCTTCAAACTGCTCATAATATTTTAAAATCGATTTTCAAACGAAACTATATTCAACCCCAAATTGACAACGCCCCAAAACCTAGTTTGAGCCTTATCAACGTGGTTTTGTTACAACTATTTGATTTGATACGAAGAAAGTGAATCAATCACGCACATACATTCCATTCGTGCGTGGTGAAGATACAGTATGATACCGGTATGCGAGTTCATCCACACAAAACGACAAGTGACAATCATCAAAATAATTGTCAACAAACCTCTATCCCACTGAAAATCCTCCATACTGAATATTCCATGAATCCACTATCCTCTGTCGAATCATCATTTGTCTCAGTAGCAATCGCTGCCATTTGCTTGGGATATGGAGCCAAAACCATCCAATTGGAAGAGATTTCGGAGAATGTCGATAATTTGATCATGCCCCTGTACAGGAATCTCGTGATTCTGTACTTGGCGTTACGAATTTACGACAAACTAAAGGCCACGATTGAAAAGAGAATATCCGCTAAAGCAGTACCGCCACACGATGATGAAGCAATGCGACTGGCAAAGAACGCGGAACAACCTGTCGATCTTACAGGAACCTTCAAATTGATCAAGAATGAGAATTTTGGACCCTTTTTGGCGGCCCAGGGTGTCCCATGGGCTTTGCGTGGAGCTGCAAATGCAGCAAGACCAACTCACAAGATAACTCATCAAGGAAATATGATTACCATTGCGATTAAAGGTCCTCTTAAATCATCCTCAACCTACACCATCGGTGGCGAGCCAGTTCCAGCCAGAATACGAGGGAGGCGATTCGAGGATTCCGTGTCCTACATTGAGTCGGGAGTATGCACTACGAAGAGAGCTTGCGACGATGGATACGTAGTGAAAGTTGATCGAGTTTTGTCACCGGATAAGAACGAAATTCGAATGAAGAGCTCGGTTGTATTCGATGATGAATCGAAGGAGAAAATTGAAAGTTTTCAACTATTTCAGCGAGTAGAGTGAATCTTTTTATGGCTCCTTATGCTGCATTATCTGAAGATGCACAGCCTTGCGCTTCTCGTTGACAACTCTGGGGTTGAAGAGGGGAAAACAGCTAACAGACCTAAATACCAAACACAAGAGCTACGAGAACCTGCGTGTGGTATCGCGGAGCATGAATCCAAACTGATTACAGAAAACTTGCAACTGTCAATGGAAATCTTAGTCGCTATTTCTTTTATATTATACATTACACTACATTAGCAATTGTTAGCCGTCCAGTATTCGTTTCCATGTATATACCTACCGGTATTACCATCGTGCCATCAATTTGAATTTTCTTGTTCGTGTTTCTAATTTTGGGGAGACAAACTCAAGTGACATGTGATTGGGGATTTTGTCCCCAAGCTCTGATAAGTCCACAAAATCTTGAGCTTCACTGCCACGCTAATTCTCAATTCTGGAAACGCAACTGTTGTGCCTTCCGATCATACAAGCACTTGTCCAAGCTATTTTCCAATTATTGCTTCAAGTTGTAGATTACCGGTAAGAAAAAGACTTTCGTGCGTGTTGTTCTCTGACCAGATTAAAAAAGGATATGTTCGCCAATTTTTGACTGTCTACGGACTCGATCGATTCAAAAAGACAATTACTCTGACTTTGACATCGGTACCGGTAGGTCCGACACGATCAGTGCACCGTAATGAAGTAATGGAACTATACTGCTACATCATTAAGTTTCTAACTTGTAGCTGTCGCTTTGTTTCGCGAGGTGTTCGAAGCGTCTGATGCTGATATCGCAACTTCGACATGCTTTGAGGAAGTGGGCGGTGTGGTGATTGTTGCTGACGAACTGTTTGATAATTGGAGACCACCACCTTGTAATGCCAGCAGGGCATTGTTGGAGCCAGCAGCAGAAGCCTTCACGAACTGCTGCTGTTGCTCTCGTAAGAATTCGAAACGCGCAGCATCCAGAGCAGATCCTCCATAGAGCGAAGATGCACCAAACATGGATCCAGCACCTCCCCCACCAATGACTCCTAGTGCGACTCCTAGTGCTGGATTGGTGGATCCACCACCAGCCATTTGTGGAACTCCATAGAAGTTAGCTTCAAGCATGTACGGATTACCATAGTTCGACGATGCTCCTTGTGGAAATCCATTGAAGGCCGAATGTCCCTGAGTCATGGACGAGAATACGGAACCATTGCTTTGGAATCGTTGTGAAGCAGCAGCTCCAAACTGTTGATTTGCCAAGGCTGATTGGATTGCGTTCTGCAGTGACGGATGAGCACCATTAGGTGCCATTGTGCTTGCTCCCATTGATGATGTCAAAGATGGGAGCAATTGGCCGCCCAATCCCTGCAGACGATTGTTGGTGGGGGCCCTTTTACCCATTGGTGTACCCCCATTTGGAGATTCAGCTTGGGAATGGGCTCTTTGTCGCTTCTGCAAATGAAGCAACTGATCCGATGCATCTGCCTCAGTAGAAGCGGGGGTGAGTTCTTCTTCACCCTTTCTCTTACCTCTGAGAGTGTGGCTAACCTTTTCGAGAGAGATCGGAATAGAGACCTCAACCCAACAGTTCTCTCCTTCTAACTTCTTCAAGAATCTACTTCCATCTCTTGTGATCTCATCGTACACAGCCTCAACGAATTCACGTTTCTTACTGCGTTTCTGAGACTTGTATGCCTGTTTGTACTTGGAGATAATCTTGAGCATCCTCTGATTGCCCGGGTGCTCCTGAAAGCCCCTCCCTCTACCAAACAGGATATCACCAGGCCCAGGGTTCTGAACTCTTAAAGCATTCGGATCGTCTACATCAGTAAATTTTAAACCAGAACGACGTAAAGCTGCCACACTTGTTGCAGTAGCTCCACTGATGGTCTGATGAAGTTGAGCACGTTTCGTTTGCGATTGCACATTTGAATGGGTGTTTTCATTGGTTTCAGGATGCAACATCTTGTCGATTTTCTCTGTGCTATCTGCTTTCAATGGTTCTTTCTTTTCGTCTTGATCCTGTGCTAAAGTGGTGGGCATGTCAGGTTGTGAAGAGATGGGTTGGTGGGAGTGTTGTGAAGTACAAAACTGGTATTTTTGTATTTGCACAAGAGTGAGTATCTCTGAAATGGTCCCGTTTTTCGTTTTTGGAGAAAGGGTCGATGAGGCACTGTCACTTGGGTTTGAAAATGTGGTGAACAAGCAATTTTCCACTTATGACCAAAAGTCTCAACAAGACACCAGATTCCTGTCAATATGAAACCACATAAATATCTTCTCTTAACAGGAAATCAAATGGAGCTCAGAAATTTAGAGGATTGCGATATTTTCCGCTCGGCCGTGTCGATTTGAGAAGCAGGGCCTTGACATCCTTAAGTCGAATCATGTCATTTCGCCGGGAGAACAATGTTACAGCTCAAACAAGAACGCGACTTACCGCCTTGACGCGCGTTCAAACCAGATCAGACGAAGAGAAATGGTGCCACCGGAATGCGAGCACAGCTGACAACCGTCGACGTCACATAATCAAAGACGAGAAGTTGAGAACATTTCACTAATACTGTATAATGAAAGCTGAAAGTACCGGTACCAGTCCTACTAAGTTCGTATGAATTAGCGCGTGGTAACATTGACAAAGCAAATATTAAAACTACTAATATATAATCATCGCACTACCTATGCCATCAACTATCTTGCTGCATTTTTAATTGCCCGACATTGCGTCTGCCATGTCCTTGTAAGCTGCTAGCAATGACTGTGTCGCTTGCAATTCAGCATTGGCATACTCCAATTTGGCATCAGCAGCTGCCCGTTCGGCTTGGACCTTGGCAACTTCAGCCTTGGCAAACTGTAGTCTTGCCTTGAGGACGTCTTGCTCCGCGTTCAAACGAGTAACATTCAATTCGGACATGAGGCCGCTGTCAACTGCCCCGGCAAGTGGTGGGGCAGCCAAACCTTTATTGTCTGCCAACTGAGTAGATAGGCGCTTGATTGCCTTCATATCAGCTGGCGAGAATGGGGCAGCAGGAGCTGGTGCTGGGGCCTTGCGGAATTGAACTGGGAGTGGTACATTTTGGTTATCCATATTGAGCTTTCCCACTTTCGGCCTAGCATTTGCTGCTTGTTGAGCAAGCGAACGAGGACTCGGCTGTTGGAATTTACCCAAAAGATTGGAGATACCGGCGTTTCGGCCAGAACCAGGAGTATCATGCGGACCAGACATGGCTGCTTCGACCAAGCTCTCACGAAGACTGTTTTGCTTGAAACTTGCTCGGGAGTAAACCTCGGACGTATCAAGCTTGGGCCTCTGGATTTCTGGTGGAGCCACGTCTTTTGGAGCGGCAGCTGGCTTGGCACCGGGCACAGAGCCGACACCAGGGGCAGACTTGCCATCCACGGCCAGCAACTTCATCATTCCCCAGAAAGCAGAGCACTCAAAGCGCTTTGGCCAGGTCAACATGGCAGCAGTAGGACGAGTAACCTTGCGCTTGATGGCATCACCACGTTCGACGTACTTGTTGTTGTGCTCCCAGATGGCAATTTCACGAGTGGTCCAGGGGTGCTCGTTGATATTGACATTCTTTCCGGAATAGCTCTGGTTGACAACGAGTTGAAACTCCTTGTATCGGAAGAAAGGACTGACTGGGATTTGATACGGTGGAACAGGAGCTTCGACCTTGTTGGACTTGAGTTTCTTTCGAATTTGGGTCACAACAGGTCCCTTTTCAGCAAGCATACCAGTGTCCATCTCTTCAGAGAGCTTTCCTTCTCGTGAAGCATTTCCGACCTTTTGCATCAGGTTCATAATGTTATCCATGTGTTCCGACCACTCGATGGGTTCGGTGATTGGTTCTTCGAGACTTGGAGGCTTTCCATTGAAGGACTTGTTGTTGTAGAGATTATCGGCAAAGAAGCAGGCATCCATAGCAGAGGTCCATCCACGACGAAGACCAACGCCCAATAGCCAGTTAGGATCAGCCACAGCATCTCCACAAAGAGCGACAAGAGGACAGTGAATTTCCCATTCTCCGTCGCGCTCCACGTTCCAATCCAATGGTGGAACAAAGGCAGCAGCATTCTTCTCACAGTTGTAAAACTCTGAGAAATCGAAACCCATGACGTCATTGGGCGCGGCTACAAATCCGTCGTTTTCGAGGGTCTCGTCAATGGGGATATTGAGCTTTTTGGCCGTCTTGGTCATGAATTTCTTCAAGTTATTCTTCATGTCAGTCTTCTCTTGATTCTTCTCACCACCGGCCTTGTCAAATGCAAAGATACCCTTCCATGGGATATTGTTCTCTTCCATTTCTTTGGCGGAAGGATGGCAAATAAAGTAGTTATGGTAGGAAGCCTTGTAGAAGAAAACTCCCGTGGTTTGTCCGGCACGATCTTCTGGTTCAAGACCATCGGTGTAGCCGAGTTCGCGAAGCTTAGCCTTGCTAACCTTGCGTAGGTTAGAAACGATACCAAACATCTTCTTGTATTGACGGGTCTTGGGTTCTCCCAACCAGTCGACTTGGGCAGAGCGGACACGAGATCGTCCTCCATCGCACCCAAAGTGAGCGTCGAATCGTTCAATGCCAGAAGCTTCCATACCGTAACGCTTTTGGGCCATTTCATCGCAGGAATATTCGACGTTCCAGTGGGGACGAGAAGTAGTTTCATCCACTTCAATGTCAGCTCCATCGTATCCGACACCTAGACGGAAGTCAACACCAATCATCAGAGCAGTCTTCATGAGAAGCATCTGAGCTTCATCAATACCAATAGACGAAGTGTGAGCATTGGTAAAGACGGGGTAACACATCTTGGGGGTCATAAAGTTTCTTCCATTGAGACGATCCAAGTCATTACGGCAAAAGTTGTTAATGTGAGGACGGTTGACACGATTGGTGAAACCGACCGACTTGAATAGACCAGTGGCTTCATCGATAATCTCTCGACGCTTTTCCCACAGTTGGACGCGGTGACCTCCCAAGGCAAGTTCAATGGCAAGACGGATACCAACGGGTCCTCCACCAACGACCAAACACTTGAGGGGAACAATGTCTGGGTTAGGATTTTCAATCTTTCCCAAGTTGGAAGGGTCATCAATGTGACGCCAGGCAGGACCACGGCGGGGAAGGAGATCAAGGTTCTTATAAATCTCGGGCCACTTCCATTTACCACCGTCACCAATCAAGGCACGGATCTGTTGGTAAGGCATGGCTGGGTTTCCCTTGACAGGGTCATCGTAATAATCCATATCCGGAGTGGAAGGACCAGTGACAGTCTCCACAATGATGGACTTCATCACAGGATCATTTCCATAGATTTCGTCCCACAGGTAAAGCAAGTGCTCACCCTGAGCGTGAGGCTTGATCTTCTTGGTGCGAGGATCCTTCACATCAACGTGAATGGGCTCCATTTCGAAGAACTCGGCAAGTTTTTTAGACTTGTCCTTGGCGATCTTGTTCAATGCAGTGGCTGAAATGGTTGGCATGTTGAACAATATAAATGCTGAAGCTAGCTAAGATAAGGTCAAGAAGAAAGAGGGGATGTCGTTTGGCTTTGTGGAAATGTATTGAGTGTAAAAGCTTGGATTTTTTTCAATGCAGCCAGTGGAGACTTTCAGAGTTTGCCAATCAAATAATACACACAGAAATGGATAAAGAAAGAGGATACATGCAAGATGATATCTTTCTATTTGCCCAAAGTACGTGCGAGAACGTGCGATTTTGGTCACCCAAGATGGAAGATGACTGGATGAATCAGCCGAATTGGATTCGTCAAAAATCGCTGTAGCTTCCAACGGTCACTTGAGTACTACAGCTTCTGGTTGGACCAGTCACAAAAGAAGTCATTCTCGACAATGCCGACTAACATACCGGTACAGTAACCGACCGTTGAATTTGAATCTTGGTTTGACATCTCTGCAGTATTACCTACTCTCGTTTCTAGGATGCAAGTGGTTATTCCATCAAGATGACAGACCATTGGATTTGATTGTTGTTTTCATCATACCCGCGCTATATTTTGGATCAATGCTTTTGTTTTTCTGATGATATCCAATGAAACCTAATCATAGGTGGAGGAAGGCGTTAGGGCTACAAGCCAATACACCACTAGAGGAAATTTGCAATCAACTTCATTTTGTTTGTTTGTTTGTTTGTTCTACTAATGGATTTTGATTGATTCTTCATTACAAAATGCTTCGTTCCCCCCATACGGAACGTATGCTGTGATGAAGTCTTGTATGTACGTGCGTGTGTGTTTGTGTGCCATCATCCATTGTCATCTTCATTCCTGTTTGTTCTTAGTACATTCATTTTATATAGTAGTACGTACTTTGTCCCGTGCGTTGCTTCTATAGCAGGTAGGTTTTTTGATCTACTCTACAAACTTGGCAATAAAGGTCACCAGGCGTTTGGCATAAAATTTGGGCTTGACGGAAGAAATTTCCCTGGAATTGTTGACAAAACTCTTGGCCACCGTTTCAAACTTCTTGTTGGCGTTATAATGCTGCAAAAAGTCAATGATACCCATGAAATAAATGAGCCCATGTTCGTCCAACCGGTCCGTAAAGTGGAGACAATTGTCTTGTGCCAGAATTTCTCGCAGTGTATGATCATCAATCCCATAGGTTGGATCGACTCTTGATTTGTCAAAGATCCCCACCAGTAATGAATAATCCATCATATTGAGGCTAGTCAACAAGTCGCAGTCCACTTCCAGTTGTTTCATCATTTTACTCGTGTATTCTTCTCCCAATTGCAATTTCAATCCAGAATTTTGTAGATCCTTGTCTTTTAGGACAGGAAAGAGTTTTTTCTTATCGGATTCACTCGCTTCCCGACCGACAAGAGATCCCTTGAGATCAAACTTTTTGTGCATTGGCAATACTGTATCAAAGGTGGATCGCATGACGACAAAGTGCGTCTTGCGAAATCCCCTCTTGGACTTTCGGCGAGGTACTTTGATGCGGTACATGCCGACAAATTTGACCAACAGGGTAGCTTCGTATTTCATATTGTGTCGGTAATACTTTTCCAAACATTCTTGGAGCCATGTGCATTCTTGTTGCGTCAATGTTTTGATCATGAAAAACTTGTCGTCGGAAAAGAAAAAGAATTGTCCCGATTTGGAATTGGATTGAAAATCCAAATACAATTCTTCGGACGCCAAGGACTGTATGTAATCCGCTTGACTGATCCCCCAATGATTTCTCAATTTCAAAAAGACTTGAGGCGCATATTCCTTAAATTCAAACGACTTGGAACCCAAGCTCTTGTTTCCAAACCCAAGAAAGGACGAAGAACTGCTAAACTTGGTCGATGAGGATTCGTCATCGTCAATCCCATCTGAAATGGCCGTGGTAATGGGCAATTTGGTTCTCTTGATGACCCGAAATCCATCTTCTCCCGTTTGAGTATCGGACGAGTCCTTGGTATTTTTGGTAGTATACCGAATCCCATCTCGAATGCAATGAGCCGTCAAGAAATGTTTGTGACTTTCGTCCACCCGTTTCTTTTTTCGTTCCTTGAAAATGTGCATGGCCTTGCCGGCCTTGTTGATTTTGTAAGAAATGCGAGTGGACAGAGAGGGCCGTAACTTGGGCGGTAATCGACTAATCTCCATGGTGGTGGGATCCTCATCCTTGATCGGTCGGAAGGATTCTCTTCGGACTTGCAAGGTGGTCTGATGTGCAAATTCTTCCGTTTCCTCCAAGTCGGTAACCTTGTCTTCGTCTTCGGTGCGGAGTATTTCCGAATTGTCGCCGTCGTCGGAACTCATGATTGTTTGAATTTGGTTTCCTTGATGCTTTCGTTGTATTCGTTTGCTTTCTCTTATTTGCAATCGGAGTTGTTGTTGATGATGATTTTCAGGTGAAACAAGTTGAAAGGCTTCGGATGATCGACTTTAAGGTATTCTCGTTGGGACTTTTAGCAACAAATTGCAGGTTTAGATGCAATCACTTGAAAAATCTGATAGCGAGAAAGATTCAATCTGAATGAAAACTGAAGCAAGTTTAATCAATCCAAAGAGAATAGCAGTAATCACAGATCCACAGGTTCACAGGTAAATTTTCGTGTGAAGCCTTATATTATTCTGAGAGTTTCAAAAGATTGATTGATTCCTTTGTTCCAACAGCTATAACCTTCAGCTGATGTATCTGCTTTGAGTACCAGGTAAGTTATATGCACGATTTACAGTACTGTACTGAATTATTGGATAATCAACGAACGAATGATGCTGTTACACTATAGGTATACCGGTACTGCGACTTATTGCATTTGTACAGTATCCGATCGTCAAGCAAAAAGGGAGAGAGAGCTCGCCAATCAATCAATGATGATGAACGTAAGGGAGGAGGAACCGACAGGAACTTCTCCCTCGCGCGCGCGTGCGGAACATTTGTTTCATGGCGTAAAACATTAAATGTTGGTCGTGGGACGTGGGAGTGAGTGAGTGAGTCTGTCATACTGTAGATGATGATTCGCAACTAGTCGATCGATTGATTCGAATGCACGGTTTTTTAGCCGGCGGCGTGCGCATCGCATGAAGAAAATGTGAAAGCTGGCGGGAAGCTATCACATCTCAAGACCTCGTATTGCAGATACCGGTATTATACAGTACATCTGACTGTATTCAGCAGTCTCTCGGATCTCATTGCGGTTTGAGTTGTCTTTCCTCTACTACTTACTGATCACACAGCTCGATTGACTGTATATCTATCCATTTTCATTTCAGACAGACAGAGATACATCAGCGTAAAAATTATTGTCAACATCACAACTCAAAAACACTAACAGCAACAGCAACAACAACAATAACAATGGCCACGGTAGCGGCAGCGGCAGGTCTAAAGGAAGAATCCATTGAGGAAATCCGTTCCTTTTTGGATACCAAGGAGGCAGATTTTGGATTGGACGAACGGGCGAAGAAATTGGTACGTGTACATATATTCTATATTATGTCTCCTTATTATGATTGTGTTTTGTGTTATTGCATGTGTATATGTATCATTGCACATGATATGTCATATTGTTGCTGTACCGCGGTGTATTCAACGGTCGAGTCTCATAGTTTGTGGTTCTTCCTCTCTCTTTCCAATGTGATTGTTTGCATTCTATATATATTTATATATACATATTTATACATACGCACTGTATTAGGTTTCATTCATTTGTCAACAAGATGAAGAAGGATACCGCGTATTGAGCAATGTCATTGTCACCCAACAACCTACTAATCAAGATGATGTTGGTGATATTGCTGCAGCCGCCGCTCGATCGTACCGGGCTATGAACATTTTGAAACAAGACTTGACCATGGAAACCTCACCCTATCTACAGCATTTGAATAAGCCCTTGATTATAACCCAACCCGATCAAGCAGGATTGTTGGCGAAGCAACTGTTGGTGGCACTGGCCAACAAGGACCAACCATCCTATACGGTCCTTCACATTCGAGAAGTCTTGGCCATGCTGATGGATCGATTTCCGGGGAATGTCTTGGCTTCTGCGGCAAGTGGAGGCAAACAAGGATTGCAAGAACACTTGGCACCGTTACTACTTCATTCTCCTACTACCCTTTCCATATTGACCAACTTGGTTTGTTATGGTTGTACGGGACGACGCGGAGAGCCATCGGCTGAAAAGTCTGCGGCTAGCATGCAACAGCAACAACAAATGATGAGGAATCAAAAGATTGCAGCCGGAGCCCGCAAAAAATTTGTTCGACAAATGGCCGAATTTCAACTTTTTGATCGATTGGCACAATCTCTCAAGACAGAAGAAGCATCCGGTGAAGAAGTCTGTGATGCCATTCTGACCATTCTCGAAGTGGTGGGATATCCACCAGAAGACCCTACTGCTGCTGCTACTGCTACTAATGCTGCTACTGCTACCAACAACAAATCATCCCCTCCATCCACTCCACAAGTCGGAGAGAATCTCTTGTTTGGTCCCCTCACTTCCGGGGATTGGTGGAAGGATTTACTGGAAGCGTTGCAACAGGAAACAAGAATGGAAAAGAAGGAATCCATTGCCCGTACCTTGCACTCGGCCTTTGGCCTAGCCACGGGCAATTCGTCACGAATTGTCAAGAGTCATGCTCCCGCCAGGGATGCCACGGAACTCCCGCAAGGAGAAGAAAACAAGGAAGAGGAAGAAGAACATATCATCAACAGATTAGTCGAATGGGAATTGACGGATCAAATGCACGCTGCCTTGTTGCAACAACTGCCACTATTGTTACGAACATTGAATTTGCCACGGTCCGATATCTTGAATTATCATGCGACCGATGAAGAAACCTCAAGTAACAGCAGTCCTGATGCTGCTGCTGCTGCTGCTACCACCACCAGCACCACCACCAACGACAACAACAACGACAACAACAATACTACTACTGCTACCATTCGGCATCCGGGTCGGTATCGAACAGTGCCCATGGGATCTTGGAGAGTCCAACTATTGTCACTATTGAAGGAAATCATTTGCTACAACAACAATGGTAATAGCCAATCCACTCGAGCTATGGATGCCTTGATGGAATTTCCGTTGGCGCCGGAATTGCTAAAGTCCAAGAAACAGCAAAAGGCAGCGGATGAATCGAAATCATCCAAAGGGGGAGAATCCAAGGAAGACGATGAAACTCCATACAATCCATGGCCTGCGGTAAGTGATGATGGTTGCGGGATTTTGTTCTCACTGCTTGATTAATTAATTGACGGGTCGCTCACCATGATACTTCATATATAGCTATGCTCCTTGGTGTTTGCCTATCCCTACAATGACTTTTATCACAATATTTTCTACCAAATGCTCCAAACGGTAGTCCTACAGCATCATGAACCAACACTTCGTGTGATTTTCCAAAAGAGCAAATTCTTGAGCCGGGCGCTTCGATCTCTCAATGAGTCGTCGGCTCTCAAGGGTCTCATTTTGCAAGTATTGAATTTGTTGAGATTACGAAGTCAGTCATTGGCTCCCAATGCCTTTTTGGCTCAATACTTGGCATCCCACGATTTGTGGAAGGAAGCGTCGGATCAATTCATTGAATTAACCTTGTACCAACAAAAGCCAATCAAACAAGCTCCAGGTATAGTGCCCACCATGATGCTCACAGCATCATCATCTGAAACGACAATAAGTTTGGCAGATATCGAATTGGGTACCGATTTTGCCAACAAGTTGGGCCTGTCGGGGATTTCCAAATGGGATGGTAGCAGCTTGGAGGAGGCTGTCGAAGACGAGGCATCGAAAGCAGCAGCTGCAGCTGCAGCTGCTGCTGAGCAACAAGATGGACAAGGCGGGAAGAACAAGAAAAAGAAAAACAACAAGAAGAAGAAAAAGAAGAAATAATATAAACCTGTAAAGTGTTATATTTTATAAAATCCAACGAATGCTGGATGCTACTGTACCTGGTACCGTACAGTATCTTACTGCATGATTGATTCTCGGAAATGGGAGAGTGACGTCATCCGCCATCTTAACCGCTATGAATATCGCAATTTGAAAACCAGTCAGTGGAAATTTCTTTACCAGAGCGGCGTGCGTGTGGCGTGCGATCTCAAACCATCATCACGATCACACGCGACGATGACAACCTTGATACGACAATTGGAATAAGAAGAACGACTACAGCCATGGTGCAAAGCCAAAAATGCGACCATGAAAAATTCGATCCACGATATGCTAGGCACCTTGACTATCTCATGATTAGCCACAGCACATGACCAGCAATTGAAATTGGAGTTTGAAACAACGACCCTGAATTCATTGTCAGAGATGTTTTTGACGGAATGGAAGCCTACACTACGAAGGACTCACTCGTCCCAGCACCAATCCCACCATTGATATCCCTTAAGGAAACTCAATCGCCCTCCTTGCCGCCGCTGTGACGACTGTCATTCGTATCAACAGGGCCTTGGATCGCGAGCTCATCGTCTCTATGGGAGTCTCGGAGTCTCCCTTGTCCATGGCTGATTTGAGAAAGAAAATGACACCATCGGCCATATTCAGTTCTGAACAAGAGTTGGTAATGCAGGCCGCCTTTATTGCATTAAAGCTGAAAGAGAAGAAGGCTGCTTCTGTGAAAGGATCTACTCGTCGTCCTGACATGTCTAATGGCGCTGCCATCGCTGAGCTTTGCGACCTATGCGCCAACACTTCCCCCCTGAAGGATACTACTACCAATGATCCTTCTAAAAATGAGAGCTTTTAAACGAGAGCTACTCATGTTCATCTACCTCTTCCGTTTGATCCTCCTGCAACATCAAGAAGGCCAACTCGATCTTTGGAGTTGGCCAACAGCGGCACTACTGCACCAAAATATGGCAGGAGGTGGTCGCGAAAGTTGAAGAGAACATTTTAAAAAAAGAATATGGGTGGAAAATGTGAGGAAGATCGCATAAAATGGATGCTTCAATGGTTGGGCGATGTGCAGACATGGATGCACCGAGCAAGATGGGAACTCGTAATACTATTGGTGATGACATTCAAAATGCCATTGGACCTTCAAGAATACAAACTTTTGAATAGGAACAATAAGTTCGCGAAGATGAACTATGAAATTACAAAATAATAGCAAAAGATACTGCAAAGTACAACATCAGCCATTTCATTTCTTTGAACTTTGTGCTGTGAGATGCCCACGATGATGGATTTGATGAGCAGTAGAATTGATGTGTGTTCGCATTCCAAACGTGATAAGAAATAAATATGACGTATAAATGAGTACAGGTGGAAGGCACCAGTATAGCGATTTACCCTTGTTTCGATTACAGGGCCCATATGATGAATACTGGTATAATCAGCGCCCGATCATCTCTATCAAATCCAACGTCTGTCCATCGCATCGCTCATCCTCGAACAGTATGATATATCCTGCATCTGCAGCAGTATATATACTGTATATAACAGAATAATAATAAGCTCGTCCGGCAACAACACCCCCTCAACACGCAGTGTTTTACTCTTCAAGATATTCCAGGACTTATTGTAGCGATAATGCAATAGCCGACAAGAAAAGAGCTCAATTCCTTTCCATCACATAATTCCCGCACAGACTTCAGTTTCCAAATAAGATCGAAGTGAAACGCGGCATCACATACTGTAATTCGTTTCAGAATGAGAAGCTTTCTGTGGAACAAGATGAGATTCGGAGCTTCCTTTCGCCTCCTTGCTTGGACTCTAATATGGTTTCAATTGCAGTCTACTGTCGAAAGCAAGTCATACCAGCTGTATAGTTCCAGTGAAATTCATGCCATGTTGGACAAATGGAAGGTCAAATATCCTGATTTGGTACGATTGACGACGGCTCAGGAAGCCTACGGTTTGCCGACGGCTGGATCGGCCTACGATTGTCCGTTTTACGAAGGCAATGGTTGTCCGAATGCCATTTTGACCATTCAAGACTATCAGACGCACCCAGTTGGATCCGCATCCTCCAACGCCTTGCCAGAAGTCTTGTGGAGTGGATCCGTGCATGGAAATGAACGAGTGGGGCCGACAGTCGTCATGGAGACGGCATTGTTGCTTTTGGAGGCCGCGACTTGTGAATCTTTCTTGCATGAGGAATCATTATCTGAATCCAAAACTAATACTACCACTACCACTACCACTACCACGACTACAACTACTACCTACTGTGGAGCCCCACTGGCAGAGAGTGGAATTGGGGATATTCAACGACGATGGCTCGCGAGATTGGTCAGTACTCGACGGATAGTCATTGTTCCTACAGGTAAGTGTGGCATGGTTTGAAATGAAAGAGATATCTTACATGGTTCCATCATGTCGAAATGGACTCACATTCTTTTATAAATATAATACGTATATTCGCAGCCAACGCAATTGGATACGATCGAAATCGACGAACCGAAGATGGGATCGACCCCAATCGGGATTTTCCTTACGACTTGCTGGATCCTACCTTGTGTATGAGGACCATTGCTGGTCGGACACTGAACGAAGTCTTTCGGGAGCATCTTTTTCAAATGGCACTGACCTTTCATGGTGGTATCGAAGTTGTGGCCTATGAATGGGGGGCCCCCAGTTGGTATGGCTTTCTCAGTCCTGACGACTTGGCTCAAAACCAGATTGCGGCAGCCTATAGCAAGTATGGTGGCAGTTGGCCTGGAGGTAGTGGTCCTTATAAATATGGTACCATGAACGATATGGTATACTATGTACGAGGTGGAATGGAAGATTGGGCCTATGCTGCGTCCTGGGACAAGGACCGAGTGCGATCCTGTCAACCGACCACGTTCAATGGTTACCCATTGGAAAAGACCGTCTACAACAACTCGACACTTCGTGTCTTTAATATGCTCATCGAGACGAGTGCATCCAAGAACCCTATTTTCAATTTGGGTAGACCAGATGACTTGTTGAATCAAGATAATGTTGATTCGTTTGGCAGTGGTCACATTGCCAGGAATATCCGATTGTCACTCCTCTCGGCCGATCTAGTCGAACCATATGTTTCCATTGTCCAAGTCAATGGTGCCACGTTGCCGCACGATATTGTTCCGCTACCATCAAAGTCGGAAAACAACTGTGGGACAACAACGACGGTTGCAATGAATGCCACCAATAACACTTGGGACAACAACAACAACAACAAGTTGGAGATTTCCTTTTCTGTGGGAGGTGCCTTGACGATCGACCAAGTCCAATTGTGGTTTGCCAACAAGAATGATATTGTATCAACAAAACCACTCGTCAATGATGACTGCCAGGCACAGCCAACTTTGGCCGCATTGCAATTTTTTCAACGAGCAACCATTGTGGGCCCCAGCAGTGGAAGTGGCCAATTTTCCAGCAGTGGGCCCATTCCAGCTTCCATTCTTACAGATGGTCCCCTCTTTGTCGGTACCATTGACATTCCAAATACTGTTGTTGGTGCTACCAATAACGAGTGGATTGTCATGGCATCGGCCAAGGTAGACCAAGATTGGAATATTGTTCCAGCAGAAGCCGGACCAGACTACGCCCAACCCCAAAGTCACATGGCCAATGTTCGAACAGATCCGAATTGGAAGCATGGAAGCGAAGGAAAGGTAGTCCAAGGAAGATTGGATTGGTTTTCTCGACCCTTGACAGTGGTGGTGGAAATGGCTGATGACAACAATGACGGCGGATCCACTTCTGTTCCTACGACTTCGCCAACCATGACCTTGTCAACAGCTCCATCAGTCACTCCTCGATTGCGGCCAGTCTCATCGGACCAGCCATCTGCGCGACAGTCGTTCGAGCCAAGTTTTCATCCTTCCCCCAAACCTTCTATGAGCCCAACGGATAGAATTGTAACGGATGCTCCAACTCTTGCATCACTTTCATCCTCCCAAGTGCCCACTCGCCCCGGTGACGACAAGAGCTCGGATCCGACCAATGGCCTTCCACTGATGATTCCCATCAATGATGATAACGATGGCTCTGGGACCACAAAACCACCCGCTGGGACGATTGATGGTGATTCCTCGGGCGCCATGGTGTTTGTATATTCGTCCATCATCATTTTCATTTCTCTAGTTGGCGCATTTGCAATCTAAAAAGTTTGCTGGCATATTATAGAACACAATGCAAAAAGTCACATACGTCCGGCTTCGACATCATTGGCATTCATTATTGGCGGACATTGTGAACGGAAAAAGAAGGCCCCGCATAGTTCTGAAATTTTCACGACTACAGTATCGAATGAAACGCCACCAAGACGTAATATATTTAACAAAAAATGCACCATGCGTTAGATATACCAGTTACTTTTGTTCGACAATTTGCCAAAAAAATCACATACCGTAGTAGAGTACCGGTATATTGAATACTCGTATGTCGCGTTACAGTAGGTTCAACTAGTAGGTACCGGTACATAAAACCAAAACCATCATCATTAGCTTCCGTTGCAAAACAGCTCCTGTTTGATCACTCCAAACTCTCATCTTTCTCTTGAATTGACTTGCTACACCACTACCGCTATTGCTAACAGACGTACTGTACTCTATGATCCAAATGGTTTCCTCACAATAAGAACAAAAGCCAGCTAATGACCATCAACAATCCTCAAGACGAACTGAATCGAATAAACGTCATGTCCTCTCATTCCATTTCACTCCAAGACTTGGCAACGGCGTCAACAAGTGACAGCTGTGGCGACTCGTCTTCCTTTCGCAGCAACATCAGACCAATAACTCATGTACCGCAACATGAACAACTGACGATGCATGCATTGGAGGATTTTTCAGAAAACAGTGAAGACTTGTTTGCAGCCGCGTCTACTCCCAACAAAAGCAACAACAATATATTTGCGCACAGCAGTAATGGATCGTCGTCTTCTAGCTTTGGGGACGTCAACTTTGACCCCGACCATTCCATGAGTGGCGATGAGAACGAGTCTTGGACTAGTCATGTGGATTACAATGACGATGATGAAGATGATAATTCATGGATGTTTCCCAATACTATCAGTGATGATGATTGTGGCACTGATTCGGATTTGCTGCAACAAAATTCGGCACCGGCGGGTTTCCGACTGTCCGTGCAGGCCCGACGAAAGGAAGCGAGGGGTCCCTTGGTATGGGTATTGCGCGACGGTATTGATGTCATGGAACAGGCGGCACGACTGGTATTGCCACGCATTGACCCATCCGACGATAGTGATTATGAAGAGGATGCTCACGAGGAACGAGTCGAAATTCAATGGCGAAACGACGGATCTTTTGATTGGGTATCGAGAGAAGAGATACGACTCGTCCAAGAAAGGAAGTCGTTTCCAAAGGACGGTGGTCACTCTCGTTCCTCATCATCTGATTCAGGAGCCTCCTTCGCATCGCTCCCACCGTCACGCACCGAAATGATGCAAGCGTTTCAGAGTTCTGGGCTTAGCCTTTCCGGCCGTCGCATCATGCAAATTCAAAACAATATTATCACGTCTGATGCAGAATCGAGTGACACCAGCAGTAGTGGAGGTTCTGTTGAAGAAGAAAATCCAACCTTGGGACGAAAATTGGGAAACATGATGGGCTTTCGAAGCAGCAGCACCAACAATGGCACCAATCCAAAACGGCCTAGCAGTGTCAATATCAAGAATATTCCGTCGTCTGCTGGAGATACTCCTGCTCGCAAACGATCCCTTCCAGCATTTCCCCTCAGCTCGCCGTTGAGACGATCCAACAGTTTAGGGAAGAGTAGGTCAAGCAGGTCCCCGCCCCCTCCACCCATTACTCTTGACGATGCGCTGGTCAATGAAATACATGATCATGATGAAAAACAATTGTTGTCATCCAGCTTTCATCATGAACAACGACGCGCCCGCAAAGGTGCCAAGAAGCAAGCTTTCAAATCCAGATCCGCAGATTCCATGCCAGCCGAATTAAACGGGTCTCCCATTATTGTTCAGGCAAAAAAGCTTACCAATAGTATGCACAATCCATCATCAGCATCCAAGCAACATGAAGAACTCAAATCATCGAGCTATCATCACGAACAACGAAAGGCGCGCAAAGGCTCGAAACAAAAGGCCACCAAATCAAGATCCGCCGATTCCCAACCAGCCGATTTTACGGAATCGCCAACTATCACCGAGGCCAAGTCACTATGGCAGGAACTGCACGCCTCGTCTCCTGAAATGGCAGTATCCTCATTATCACCATTATCATCAGGGAAGAAGAAATCATCCAACTTTCATCACGAAGAGCGAAAAAAACGAAAAGGAGGAAAGAGAAAGGCCAGCAAATCAAGATCCGCCGATTCCCAACCAGCTGAAATGATGGAATCTCCAGTCATTGCCGAGGCCAAGTCATTGTCCAGCAGCATGCACAATCTCATCAAGCCAGAGAGTATGAAAGTTTCCAGCTATCATCACGAGCAACGCAAGGCACGAAAACAAGCAGAAGGAGCCAACAGCAACAAGACCAAACAAACCAAGAGTCGATCCGCGGATTCAATGCCAGCAGAAATGGATGAGTCGCCCATTTTTGCCACCAGCAAAAAGGAATTGTCCAATTCCATGCATGGGTCATCATCAGGAGCAGTACCTAGACGAAAGAATTCTTTGTCCAAGGCGGGGGGTTTCCTGTCACCAAGTTCCATCATGAAACGAAGCCTTGGTTCGATTACCACCAAACTAAGTCCTAAGATATCTCCCAAATCCGGAAAGGGTGGCATTCGTAATTCCGAGGATATGCCGAAGTCGTCGGATTGCATGACTCCCGAGCAGGTGACCAAGAAAAAGTCGGCTGCCCGCAAGAGCGAATCCGACATGATTGGTTCCTCCCCCAACTCAAGACGAAACACCTCATTACGTCGGTCGGAAGGCGACGTTGTCGTCTTATCACCCGATGTTGCGGCCAATAATCCAAAAAGGGTATCTTCCATCAATCGAAACGATGATGCTGCCCCCAAGCGAAACTCCTCCCTCAAACGAAATGATGTGATTCCCGATCCCGACTTTTCAAGTCCCAAACGAAATTCTTCCCTCAAACGGTCCGGTACAAGTCCCAAGCGAAACTCCTCCCTTCGCAACAAATCACCAAAGCTTTCCAATAATAACAAGGAAGATAATTCAGGGATAGCCTATCTCCAGCAAAAGAGGGGACAGCAGCAAACTCCCTCCAGAAGGTCCGGTGCGAGTGCTTTGTCCAGTCCGAGAGGGAGCAATGACGAACCCCGTAGGGTTGCCAATGTGGATTCGGCAATTTCCATGATGATGGTCAAGGGCAGCCGATCCGCTCGACAGCTAGACGGTATCGCCGATGATCCAGCAGGACGAAAACGAGTTTCCAATGTGGATTCGGCCATTCTATTGATGAAGAAACAAACTAGTCAGCGAAAATTGGATGCGACTGGTGAGAGTAAAGGTCGACAGAGTCCCAGGCAATCTGCTGCCAGTCGATTATTGGCTACCAGGAACGCTGTTGACTTGCCTTCACCACCGATGAAGATGGGCAGTGCCCGAAGATTTCATCAAAGTTCAGGTAGCATATTGGATAAGGAAGATCAAGACCTGAATGACAGTTTTGTGGCACGGGCTGACAAACTTCAGATATCTCCCAACCAAGCCAAGCGAGTCAATGCGAAATCCAAATTTGAAGCCTTGAATGACAAAATGAGCATGATGATTGGGGTCGAAGCGAGCCCAGGCACAAAACTTCAAAAGAAAGATACTCGTAGCACACTCCGAGAAAAGCGAGCCGCAAAAAGACAGTCACGCACGAAGCTGACCAATGCCTTTCAACGAATCATCCAACCGGACGGCACCGAGAAAACGACCGACAAAGATTCCAACGGTATTGAAGTACCAGTGAATAATTGAGCAACTTCAAGCTACTGTGATCTGTCGAAGCTTAGTTCTATGTTACGAGTAACTGTGGACAAGGACTGTATTTTATATTTTAGAACCCAAATTGGGCAATGTATCTTCTCTTGTATTATTCTGTACTGGACCGTATGCAAAATATGGGCTGTAGGTATTATTATATCGTATTGCTCATTCCTTCGGCCGCAGGATTAGTGATCGGTAAAAATGGAAACGTATGGAGAGTCGTCGTGTGCTTCGGCTTCATAGAAGAAACGAGGCATGCCTTCAAGGATTTGGCTCCTCTTAACCTCGCTCATTGTACTGCGCTCGCTGTTCGTCATGTCGATGGAAGCAGTACCGTCGCTCGAGGAAGTGTTGGTGGAGTTATTGTCAATCTCGGGATGCGTAACAACCCCATCCTTTTGAATCAAAGTCTTACAGGACACGTATGGAGGGTCGTGATGGGCTTCCACTTCATAGAAGAAACGAGGCATGCCTTCAAGGATCTGGCTCCTCTTAACCTCGCTCATCGTACTGCGCTCGCTGTTCGTCATGTCGATGGAAGCAGTACTGTCGCTCGAGGAAGTGTGGGAGAAGGAGCTGTTCTTTTCAATCTCGGGATGGGTAACAACTCCATCCTTTGGAACCATCGCCTCACATGAAATGCGGTTCTTGTGTCTGCCATGTAGAGAGCCGAGTAGTCCCTTTCCATTGATGATTTTCACAGATGGCATGTTGTTTCTTTGTCGTTTCGAATCGATGGTGGTTTCAAAATTGTGAGCAGAGTTTTGTAAAAGATTCAGTACATTTAATTTCAGGATTATTACACCTGCACCACCTTCTTTTATTCTCCAAGTTGGAGAAGCCTATGTTGCTTCTTCGCTTTCGATTACATACGTACGGTACCGATTGGGTCACAGTTGTCTTAAGGTACCTATCGCTACTGATCGGTACCTGGTACCGCTTGCATGCAAGATTTTGGCTTCATGTTTGATCAAGGTGCGGTTTGATGCTTGCAGGAAGTGCGCGGGGAACATTGAAGTGCTACCATGCATTCCGTAGTTTTCTGGTGGCGAAGTATGGCGAAGGGACCCAATTGATCGAATCGAACACTATAGATTCGCAACGAACACCTTTGGGCTCTCCAAACCGCTCCGGTTTGTACTTAATTTGCTGGAAAGAAGTCGAATTTCTCACTACCATGTAGTGATTTTATAATATATCGAAAAAGTGCATATGTGCCTCTCACAAATCATTCAGGGACGAGGGGTATACGTCAATCAGGTCTCCGCCACCACCACCCATTACTCTTGACGATGCACTGGACAATGAAATACACGATCATTCATGCCCGAAGATTTCATCAATATTCCGATAACATATTGAATAAGGAAGATCAAGACCTGAATGTCAGTTTTGTGGCACGGGCGGACATGACGCTTCAGATATATATCCCAACCAAGCCAATAAGCGGATCAATGCGAAATCCAAACTTGTTGAAGCCCTGAATGATCGATGATTCGGGTCGAAGCGAGCCCAGGCACGAAACTTCAAAGGAAAGATGCTGGCTGGTAGTAGTACACTCCGAGAAAAGCGAGCCACTAAAGTGAGGCAGTCACGCACGAAGCTGACCAATGGCATGCCTTTCAACGGATCTCACAATCTCATCCAACCGGACGATACCGGGAAAACGACCGACAAAGATTCCAACGGTATTGAAGTACCAGTGAATAACTGAGCAACTTCACGCTACTGTGATCTGTCGAAGCTTAGTTCTGTGTTACGAGTAACTGTGGATAAGGATGTGTATTTTATATTTTAGGACCCAAATTGGGCAATGTATCTTCTCTTGTATTATTCTGTACTGGACCGTATGCAAAATATGGGCTGTAGGTATTATTATATCGTATTGCTCATTCCTTCGGCCACAGGATTAGTGATCGGTAAAAATGGAAACGTATGGAGAGTCGTCGTGTGCTTCGGCTTCATAGAAGAAACGAGGCATGCCTTCAAGGATTTGGCTCCTCTTAACCTCGCTCATTGTACTGCGCTCGCTGTTCGTCATGTCGATGGAAGCAGTACCGTCGCTCGAGGAAGTGTGGCTGGAGTTATTGTCAATCTCGGGATGGGTAACAACTCCATCCTTTGGATGAACCATAGTCTCACATGAAATGCGGTTCTTGTGCCCGGCATGTAGACAGCCGAGTAGTCCCTTTCCATTGATGATTTTCACAGATGGCATGTTGTTTCTTTGTCGTTTCGAATCGATGTTTTCAAAATTGTGAGCAAAGTTTTGTAAAAGATGCTATCACTTTCAGGATTACCGACTCACTTCTCGTTCTGCAAGTTAGAGAAATCTGCTCTGCTTCTTCAGTTTCGATTACCAATTGTAATTGGGATGGGTCACAATTATCTCGAAGTACCGGTTGGTACCCAAGATTCGGTTTCCGGTTTGCAATTCGGTTTGATGGTGGTGGGAAGTGGTCGGGAACACTGTAGGTGCTACTAAAACCCATCGCGGTTCTGCATCCTGTCCTATACCGATTTTAAATGATTTCGATTATCTTGCGTAATTTGGACGGATGCATATTTTCTTTATGTATGTGTGTACCGGATGCTTTTGATTCGGGTTGTAGGCATCAATATTCGTCTTTTTTTTTGGTGGCGAAGGGACCCAACTGATCGATAAGAACACTGTGGATGCTATTGGCTCTCCACACTGCTCCAGTTTGTGCTTTGCTGGGAACGAGATCTTTGTTCCTATTTTCGCACAACACTAAGTACAGAGACTCAGAAACTTCGAAACCAAGATCACATGCAGCATTCATGTGCTCGGCTGGACCCACACAAGACCAACATGAAGAGAATTTGTATCGCTTCGAAACAAGAAATATAAAGCTAGCTCATCTACAAGTTTCTGGTGGTTATAAAGGATACGAGAGTCTCTTCAAACCTAGAGGCACCAAATCTCAGAAAGTGATCAAGAAAGGGTCGTGTGAGTAGGTGCATATGTGTCTCTCCATAATCATGGAACCACATGTTGAATCTGGAGAAGAGATATCTGATGAGTAATCTATCGATTTAGTCACCTCCAACGGGACATGTTTTCCAATCACCTTTCTAACATAGAAACGGGGCAACCATATGCTGATCGGAGAAGTAGCTATACTATCATTCTTGACGGGTCATAGGACTAGAACAACAAAACTGGAAACTATAATTAGTCATCAATAAGTCGGTCATCGTTAGAACTGACAAACTCCGCTGCTGGGCTCTTGAAGAAAGCGTTGCCGCAAATTGAAGAGACACTCGCGGCTCTCAGTGGTCCCCAAACTGAGATGTAAAAGGTGATGAAAATTCTCCCGAGTCCACTCCTTCATAAAAGAACTTGAAGTCTTCACTTTTCCCATCGCTTATGCCTTTCGATGGCTCCGGCTTAACGGCAATCCCCGTCAAGTCAACAACATGCTTAGGGGATGCCTCGACCCCTTGCTTGTCGTCCAAATCTTCGGCGGATGTGTTCCCGGCTCTCGAGGATTTGCTTTTCATTTTGTTTCGATAGTTTCTGGGTGAAAATGTTTGGACCACATCACCGATACGGTTAATGACACTAGCCTTCTTCCCTTTTGGTGATTTATGGTTGTCTTGTTCGTCTCCCATGTTGCAATATCGTTCTGCAATGATGCGGTTGTGGGAGGAATATTTGTATCTCGGCAAAGTGAGATGACCGTCTGGGTTCGGATTCGATGATTTATTTATCGTTCACCGGTTAATTGTGGATTGTGGGGTTTGGAATTGTGACATCAGTTTTCGTCATTTTGGAACAATATGAAAAAAGGAGAAGTTCTTACTGACGCGCACTTCCGAAGGCGCAAAACTGTTGCAAGCAGGCGGTCGGTCCCATAAATGATGGAGTTATATCGACGACGACACATAATCGGACGATGGTTATGGTGCTCAAATAAGCTCCATTCAACGACTAGTGTATGCGTATAATCCTGGAACCTACTCCCATGATACGGTGGGACATGGTGGAGCAAAAAGAAGTGGCCTTGGGGTTACGAAAATGGCAATTTTGTGGTTCCCGAAAATCAATGGTGTTCCGGTTTGGTTTCTCTTCTGTCTCTGTATTTGCTTCTAGGCTACCTTTATTTTGATGAATTTACTATACCGGTAGATTGTAGTGAACGTTGTGGCTGAAACATATTACAGGCTTCTCCACAATCCATTATTTTTCCGGCACTTTCTCTTTCCCCTTTTGTTTTCCCCTGCTGACGCGCACTCTCTAGCCCCCGGCTACTTTTATCGCATGTCAGACCATACTGTATTTCACATCATCACCTATTATGATGCACACGACCCCATCATAAATGCTTATTGAGAGAGAAGACTTCAAAGTGCGATTATGCCCATTGCTTACTTTCTACTGCACTTCATTTTGGTCTTGCAACTGAGCTATGCTTTTCAATCATACAGCATTCCCAGCATTCTGAAATCCCAACCTTCAAGATCTGTCTCATCGTATCATTCCTCCTCGTCTGTAAACTTGAACTCGCATTCTGAACAAGTCCATGTTGGTGCTTCTTCTTCTTCTTTGGACGATGCCGTGCTGAATCGATATGCTTGTACACGGTTCAAGCGTTTTGATAATGAAACGGGGGCCCTAGAATACGCTTCTCCATCTGATCCAGACATAGTGAATGGGGCAGCCTCGGCTTTAGATTTGGCCAGGAGAGCACCTTCTGGTTTCAACACACAACCATACAAAGTCCTACTGGTGAGCTCGAAGGAGCAAAAAGAGGCTCTATCAAGATACTGTTGTGGGCACAATGCACACCGTGTACGCGATTCAGATTGCACTGCGATATTCCTGGCAGATCGGCAGGTCACCAGAACCTTTGGTGACTTTTCGGATATGCTTCAGAAAAACAACGAGAATCGTCCACCAAAGGGACTTTGGCTGATGAAAGTTTACATAACTCTCTTTTCTTCTGGCTTGCCTTTTCCGAAGTGGATTGCCGGGCCTATTTCTTGGGCGATGCGGTTGGCCTTGCGAATGGTATCTTGGGTGGCCCGGTCTTCCTACCCCATTCCCACTCTGTCCAGCAGCGAGACTTGGAGTCAAAAGAACACCATGCTGGTGGCGATGACCTACATGTTAGGATGCACGACGAGACAAATAGCAACTTGTCCCATGGAAGGCTTTACAACTTGGGGTATTCGACAGGCACTAAAAATCCCTCGGCGGTACACCATTCCATTGATTGTCGCTACTGGGACGCCACATTACACCCGCCGACGACCCAGCATTGACACCCAAGGCAAAACTTCCAGCAGTACCAAACCTACTGCCGAGGCTGCAAATTCATCAACAGTTTCATCCTCTGGCACAATGCGTACCGATGATACTGGAGTTTCACATGGACCGTCGTCTTCAACCTCTGGAACACCGCGATACTCGTTCGATAATGTTGTGTTTGGAGATAGTTTTGGACAGCCCTATTCACAGCTGTAGCAAAGTCATAGAACAAATAACTTGGATATATTTAAGTGTGCATATTGCTGGGGACACAAAGTCTGCCAGTAGCAGATGCCACTCTTCCCTAGCCTCGGGAGTGGGTATTTCAAATGCTCGGGATTGAATATAATAGTGCTCTTCTTGCACTAGAAGAACGCCGCATGCGGCTGCATGGCACATGCTGCTTTGGGGTTCGGCCGATTGGTGTACTTTGCCCTTGCTTGATTGCGAACATTCAAAGTGTAGAACATCTTTCGGCTGATGATCTTACTCGGTCCTACTCTTCCACAGCCTCGTTCTTTGTATTCCATAATGTCGGTAGCGAATTCCTTCGGATTTGGAGGCCCTGGTCCATGCTCCCACAGGGAGGATGCACCTCTTGGATCAAGTCACAAAACTGTGACTTCCGCAGAGCTAAAACAAGGTCAATGGAGAGCTATTCCGCTTTGTTCTGCATTCACTTTCCATTTTCCAAGGCCACCAGGGCCATTGATATATAAAATGACATTCCAAAATCCTATTTTATATGACGCTTTTTCTGTAGCTATTCCCTTGACTTTTCGCTCTCAAGAGTCAATCGAGCACCATCACATTCCACCCAAATATTCCATTCACTTTCCATTTTCCAAGGCCACGAGGGCCATTGATACATAAGATGACATTCCAAAATCCTATTTTATATTACGCTCTTTCTGTAGCTATTCCCTTGACTTTTCACTCTCCAGAGTCAATCGAGCACCATCACATTCCATTAAAGTGGTTCCGTGAGCCGGTGGACCCCCTGTCGTAGAGCGTCCAGTGATGAATACTACGGTACGGTGCCGTCAGTATAAGTTATCACTGGAAGCGCATTGATTTTGCTTTGCCTTCACCAGGTTCAACATACGGTCGCGCTTTCATCGAAGATGTGTCTACGAGTATCGGTATATTTTTAAAAAAAGATTGATGTTGCATGCAATTTTCGATTAAAATAATAACATGGAACGAAAAGTGATGTGTCCCTGCCTGAGTCACCTTTACACATAGTCAGATGGTATTGCAACAATTGTGATAAGAATTGTCCCGTTTGATATTTTGCATTGTTTTGCGGATTTTTTCCTGGTATCGTTTCGCGCTTGAGGATAAAACGTTTGTGGCAGATGCACAGATAGTTTACCCGAATCCACCTGTGATCATTCTTACATAGACAAACAGTTTGTCCGACACCACCAAAGGTCATTATGTTACATAATGTTTTTGGTTATAAAAACTTCCGATTTTTTCCGCCCGCACCATTTTACCATAAAGCGCCGGGGACAGAACGGCAGCATCACAGTACCGATGTGTCGAACGTTCACATAATGTTCAGCACAGTTTCTTGTCGAACGACGTCGCCTTCAAAGAATATAAGTCCCAACTCAAAGCAACTCATTAACAGCTCAAGTGCTCCCACTGACTCAAGCGTTGTTGAAGTCTTCAAATCAATTGGTGCAAACTCTCATAACATCCACAAGATGATGATAATGAAAACATCGACTGAAGAGAGCGTCCATTTCAATAGCAATACTAGCAATACAAGCATGTCTTCCTTCATGTCATGTTTGCTCAAGGAGCGTGCCACGCAGTTCTCAATGCCTAATTCCAATTGGAGCATTACAATTGTTGATGACAATGCAAGACCCAAGCATATTGACAAACGCAAGATATTGTCCATGCAACAAAAACGACACGCAGATTCAGCCCGTGACATGAGATGGGGAGGCGGCAGCAGTGGCAACAGTTTGACGCCATCCGCATCTGAAACATCACTTTCCTCTCGAGCGACGAGTCGTGGTTCTTCTCGTTCATCATCACGGAGTCTCAAGCCATCCTCGTCGGAAACTTCCCTTTCCGCCCGAACGGACAGTCGTGGTCCTTCTCGTTCTTCACAAGCTGTCCGTCGCACTGTGATGGACCTGAAGGAGAAAGCCAATGCCAACAGTCGTTTTGCTCCCATCATCACCACCACCAACAGATCATCCTTACCCCCTACTGTTCCAGGAAAAGGTCTGAGACGAGCCGCAGCCAGTGACACAATGTTACTAAAGATGCCCGTCCGAACAAAGTCCCCAAGAGTTGCCAAAGCACGTCATTCCGTGGGAGCTGTAGCTCAAGCCAATTCCACATGGGCAACAGCAGCCAACGAAGCAACCAGCAGCATGGCCACAGTTGGGGGGCTTTTGAAATCACTACCTCCAATCGATTTAAGTTTGGATGATACTAGTACTTCTACTGCTACTACCATCCCCTTGGAGAACGATTGGATGAGCTATTCCTCTTCCCATAAATCATCCTTGAGTCGCGGGTCGTCTTGCAACAAGATGATGAGCCAATCTTCCAATGATATGCAGCAATCAAGCGCCTTGAGCACCAAGAAGAAAAGTAGCGGCAGCAGGAATGACAATACAATGAAAATGAAAAAGTCAGAGAAGAGGTCGTCATCTGACAGTCTGAAGCAACGCGCTTCACTATTGGGATTGGATCTCAAGTAAAGGGGCGGCTACCATATCGATGTATCAATATCTAGAGTCAGAGAAAGAAAATATAGAAAGATATAAGTTAACACCAACATACAAGGTATCAGATTGTAATTGTTAAAATATAGTTTATAATACCGGTAATATGGTTGATAGTAAATCTGATTCTTGGGCCCTTCTGCTCGTCCTAAAAATAGTTTGGAAAAGAAAAAAAAACTTCTGGTCGTGTTTAGTTACAAGAGAGGCGGCATTCGCAAAAGAAGAACTGACTGACGAGATAGGGCCTAATGACTTCTTTTACTTCTACTTTTTCTATCCTTGAACTATGACGACGTTTTGACGATACCGGTAGGGCCTAACTGACATGTATCAAATGAACTAAGTAAATGCAATGTAGACCAGAAGTCGAACATATTGAACCTTCCGTGTCGGTGAAGATTCAAGAAAAGAAGACGTCAAAACAGAGCCGGCCGGCCTTTTGAGAGGCTGGCTATGCGCATTTTCATATTCAACCTCCGCCCTCAATTTGAGTCCTCATCGGCATCTTCTCATCTTCAGAAACCCATTCACCATTCTGAAAAAATTCGAAGGCTTCTTGTCTCTCGATTCACTTCCCTTCACCTTCACCTTCGTACACAATACTTCGATCTGAGGATCTCCTAAAGCACTCCACAAAGAAAACCGACAGTTTGAATTTTTAGAAGCGTCAGTCCGTCATCTTGATTGAAAGTCTGTGGAAGAGTCACCTGAATTGAAATATCCTTCCAGCAATAGACATTGTGTGGAATTCAACATTCCGTAAACTTTTACCAAATGTGCACCGCTACCGAAACTGCTAATAAGACGATCAATAACAGCAGCAATAACAACAACAACAACCACAAGAATACCTGTGAAATTGAATCTGAGACTGAGTCATCTGAAACGGAAACGGAGGGTAGCAGTATGCCAATCGTGGAGGAACCAAAAGGGCCCTTTGCGGAATATGCATCTGAAAGAGTATTGAGAAGCCTTGGCGGATTCCAAGAATCAGTAGAATCTGCTTATCGAAAATCGCTTCCTCAGGATAAGCTTGCTGCTGCAAATCAGCTGTCACCTGATGCTGACTCGACGCTGCATGCTACAGGAATTGATTGGAAGGACGTTTCGATTGAAAATGTTCTAGGAGAAGGTGGATTTTCTTTTATTTTCAAGGTAAGAATTGTCGTGCTAGAAAAATATTGCTGTCAGATTGTTGGCCAGCTGTAATAGTTTCATCAAAATATCTGAAATCCCATTTTAACATACACGTCTGTCTCACTCTCTTGCTACTCTTCACGCATCAGGTAAAATTGGAAAAGAAAGAATTTGCCTTAAAATGCCTCAAGGCTAAAGCCATTGCAAATGAAGATGACTTGGAATTCAATGCCATGGATCTGTACACAGAATCCTACCTATTATCACATTTGAATCATGAGCATATCATTGGAATCCACGGTGTGATGGAAGGAAGCTTGTCCGACTCGTACTTGAAAGATGGGTATTTTATACTTTTGGATATTATGGACACGACTCTCTTTGATGCCTTGGAAGTCTGGAGGGAGGCGGCTACCTCGAGCAAATCACTGAAATCCAAAAAGGCGGCCATCAGCCTGAGGGTGCAAAATGTCATGAATCCAGTTGTCGAGGCCATGCAGTACTTGCACCAACACGACATTGTGTTGCGCGACCTGAAACCAGAGAATATCGGATTTGATCAACAGGGACAAGTCAAACTTTTTGATTTTGGACTCGCACGGCACATTTCCGTTATTGGTGATGGTGACGTTGCTGGATCCATTTGTTATATGGCACCGGAAGTCATGCTGAAGGAATCTGTCAACTTTTCATGTGATGTCTACTCGTTTGCCATTGTACTATGGGAACTCTGCACCCTACAAATTCCTTTGTCAGAATTTGCAGACTTGGAAGAGGTAGAACGCAAGGTTGCCAAGGGAAACTGGAGACCATCTACCACTTGGATTCCGTCCAAGACGCTTCGTGGTCTGATCAAGGACTGCTGGAACAGGGATCCTAAAGCACGACCGGACTTTGTGTCCATTGAAAAGACGCTCCAGAAATGTTGTAATAAGGAGAATCAAGCTTCGGACGGTGGCGGCAAGCTGAAACAAAGTCTTTCCCGATCCGGATCCTTCTCGGAGCTCTACTTGGAGGTCTTGAAAAAATCTTCGAGAAGGACAGGACGATGACCGGGTTCTCCATAGTATTATTGAGCTATCTCCAGTATCATTATAAATTGATTCATTAATACACATCTCTTGAAAAAGTCAACAGCAATACATATATGATGAAAGAATGTACGAATGTACGAATCAATCCAGTACACGGTAGGTGTATAATACAGTTTGTTGAGCTGCTCTCATGGTGGTACGATATCCACTTGTTCCATCGCCATCACTGGCGCTACAGCCACAGGGTACCTGCTTCTTTCTCATCATTGTCATCACTTTCGATATTCAATTCAGCTACTTTTGGTCGTTTGGTATGCCTTGGAGTTTGGTTATGCTGCTTTGATGATGCCTGACGTTTGCGTTCCTGTCCAGATAGTTGTGACGACTCATCCTCGGCGCTATCGTCATCGAGACCCTTATCCTTCCCTTCGATTCGCATCAGTTCTTGATTCAGAGCTTCAATGGTTTGATGCAAGTCACCTCTATCGGGATTGGGATGTTTAAGACAATATTCCACGGCAATCTGTGTCATTGTTTTATTCTCACCACCACTGCCACTACGTCGAGTGGTCGCAGTACCTTTTTTGGAGGAATGAAATCGTGAAAAGGCTTCCAAACGATTGTTGGTATAACAGTCCAGCCGCCGCGTGAGAGATTTAGCAATCGCCTTGAGATCTTCCACGGATGGTTTGTCGTCTTGCTCCTGTTGGCGCTTGCGCAAGGCAAGATTGTTCAAACAAATAATCTCCGATTTTCTGGTTTGTTTCCAGTAGAACTCTTGCCGTGGATCAAACTCCGCGGTGGTGGGAGAATCTGCTGTTGTTGCTGTGATGACTGATGCAGCAGCGGCTACGCGGGAAGACGCTTTAGGAGCCATAGATGGACCGTTGATACTTATTAGTTCTGATGACTGTCCTCCCGTAGACATTGCCAATTGGGCTTGGAGTTGCTCGATTTGGTTTGCTGCTATTTTGGCTTCTGAATTCTTGGTCTTTAGTGTCGCTTTGCTGGCCTTGAGTTTGTTTTGGGTAAGGAGGAGTTCCTGGTTTAGCACAAACATGTCAGCCATAATTTTTTCCAATTGCTGGCAAACGGGTAGAGCCAATGTTGGGGAGGCCAATGCCATTTGTAGAAACGTCTGTGGTTGTGCTGATGATTGATCCTCACAGTGAGGAGTCAGCAACATGCTCTTGGGGTAGTAGTATATCAGCACGGTGGTGGCAACCTCATTCTCGCGTTGAATTGCATGATACAGCGGAAGTCGATCATTGGCTTCCTTTTGAAACGCCAAATGAGGGTATTCCTTCAGCATTTGCTTGGCTATTCGGTTGCATCCTTTGACCACTGCTTCGGATAGCGGTAATCTACCGAAACTGTTGATATTTGTCATAATGGAAGCGTCCTGCTTCATCATGAAGGATCGAGCTTTCATCTGATCTCGTTGGATACTATCCAACGAGTATTTGTGGACATCGCCACTAAAGACGACTCCTGGCATGACATGAATGGGTGTCATTTGCTGGTTAGTCGTCTTGTACAAAGCATCAGGATCTTGCTGAAGAATATACCGAACGATGTCCAACACTCCATTTCCAGTACAATAAAACATTACATAATGTAGAGGATAAGATCCATAGGCATCTTGAGAATCCTTCATATCGTTCCAATTCAGAGCTTGCAAATGAGGCAAAAGTTGTTTTACACAGTCATGGCGATGCATGTAGATAAGTTGAAGGACATTAGTTCTTCTTCTCTTTGGTGTCCGAGCTCTGTGCTGCGAGGCAAAGCCATTCGTTTCCATGATGGTTGATATCGTTGTATTCGTACAGTATACCGGTAGATCTTATAAAACGTGATGATGTGCTGATTGTTGATTTTAAAAACCGGGCGACGACAGACGGTTCCAACTCGACGACTTGGACTTTCAACTTTGAATTTTCATAACTGCTTGTGCTCATGACTCCTCATGACCGTGGTGACTTGAGATGGATCACCACGAAGATGAATCATCAATCAAAAGATTATTTGTCTTGTAGAAATACTGTACCTGATACTGTTACAGGTACCATGAACAGAAGCGGCGGAAGCAAGCGTAATGGATACAAGCACTGGTACCTGGTACTGGCGGTACCACCGGACCTTGAAGCTGAAACTTGTGCTTGAAACGATGCCATCCTCGTGCCAATATATATTATTATGGTTTTCGAGAGCCATCAATTTAGATTTATAAAAAGCTTTGGCAATCATGTTCTTGTCAGACATATGTATATTAAGAAAATGCTTTTCAATATATAGTCGTTAAAGAGAAGAAGGGGAGCCTCTATGCTGTTTTGGTGGTAGGATGGCTCTTCTACTGATGGTTACACTTAATTATTAAGTAATAAGTTATGCACACAAATGGCTGACAGCGTTCCTACTGAGATTTGAATCAAGACTAACAATACCTCATATAATACCGCTGTAGATGATTGTGGTGATAAGGATTCCCTGACAATTTCTGGGATATGTTACTATTTACCAAAGTTTTGTCCCGCTCGTCATTGTCTAAAAAAGTGCGGTGATGTACAGATTTTTACTGGCGCCGAAGCTATTCTATTGGTGGTACCCCTCTTTCTCCCGGTACTAAACGTGTCGAAAGTGTTCCAGCTACGTCGTGCGAAAGTCAAAGAAGAGGCGCCACCCAAGAAAAAAGTTGTTGCACAAGTCGAAGTGAAAATATTATTGTTCCCCGGGTATCATTGTATTAAGATAGACATTGATCGCATTGGTCAGCGCTCCAGCTTGTAAGACCTCTCACTAACCAGAAATAACCTACTCAATAATGAACTCAAGTGATGAGTGAATGGTCCTATGAGATCTCTCCGAGTCAAAAACTTCGGTTCGCCAAACTTTCACTATTATTACTCAGTCGCACATCATCGATTAATTGCAATAAATGTCCACAGATGGAAGCTTCAACGTTAAATATCACGCGAGGTTGGTCACTTTATTTTGATCGGAAGAAGTTTTAGAAAGGTGCGTTTCACGACACTAAAACTGCGTAAAAGTGTTCCCAAAAAATACACACCAGCGTTTGTAATAAAAGGAAGCGTTTTCATTGCACAAAAGAAAAAACAAGCAATCAAAGCACAAAAATAGCGCATCGCATCGCATCGCATCGTTCAAACATACCATCACAGTTTATCATGGCGTCTGGAAGCCGATTCCCACGCCAATTCGTGGATGACTGCAATGAAAACGATGTCATCTTTGGACGAGGAAAGGGCTCTTATAACAATCCTGGCAACAAGCATTTGCAGCACATCATTCGGCAACATTTCCCACAATACGACTTGGCAGATCTGCAAACCAAGAACATCCTTGCCCACAAAGTCGTCGATACAATGCTCACCAAGAAGCAGCCTTCGAGATTCCTCAAGGCAGACAAAGACACCAACAGATGGTATGCAATGGCACGAGAAGAAGTTGTCAAAAAGATCAAACAAGACTTTGCCAACCTGAAATCAGCGCACAAACGAAAGATTGAAGATGACCCAGCAATGCCAGAGCCACCGAAAAAGCGACAGGCCAAAGATCCTGGTGTGGCTGTCAGCACATTGTTAGCGATTTGCCATAACGATGGAAGTGAGGAAGAAGTTCAAAGTGAAATGTCATCGATCATGGGAGCGGTGAATCACGTATTTGTGCACAATCCAAGATTGGATCATCAGCAGCAAGCAGAACTGGTGTTGAGTAATGATGCCGTCAAGGAAGCTATCGTTTCTATATTACAATGGAAGTCACAACGCCATGCTGACATGCATCCAGAAGGATTGAAAGAGGACAAGATCAATCTACCAAATACCATTCCCAATCATCCAAAGTCCAATGGGGCGTTTGGTTCCAACAAAGCGTTCGTCATGCCCTATGCTAGGCGGCTACCTAAGAAACCCATCGCACCAGCGATCAAGACTGACCCTACTCACATGGAGAAAGTATGTGATAGCGTCGATTTTGAACCCCGGATGGACGATGTGAACAAAATTTGCCCAAAGCTCAGAGTGAAGGGCGATCGAACCTATACGGGGAGTGTTATGGACACCAACCCACACGGGATCGGATTCATGAAATTTGACGATGGGAGAATATATTGTGGAGGATGGTAAGTAAACAGCCAGTGGCTCTACAGTCGTCATGGCATTAACTTAAGGATCGGACCTCACACTACTACTCGTTCTTGTTTCTTTCAGGCGAAAGGGAAAGTTGCACGGCAACGCGTGTGTCTTATACAAGAATGGTGACAAATTCCTTGGGGAATACGTCAAGAACAAGAGAACGGGGGAAGGCGTCTGCTACTACAATGATGGAGCAATCTACCAAGGAGAATTCAAGAACGATCGTCTGAATGGAAAAGGTGCCTATCGGAGTCGAAGCGGAGACGTTTACGATGGCGATTTCGTCAATGGAATCTTTGAAGGAGTTGGTGTCCATCGGAGGGTAGATGGTACTGAAAGACACGGGCGTTTCTCCAACTGGAAGTTTATTGCATCTGCAGACGGAGAAGTGACCTCATCCGACGGCGAGAAGGATGATTCATCTATCCAACATGGCCACGGAAACGAACCATCTTGCAATTCATCAGCTACCAGCAAGGACGATGACGAAGAAGAAGATGTCCATCAAATCGAAAATGATAACGGCGATGAGGATGGCAATGAGAAACCCGAATCAGATGAGAAGCCAGTGCCGGAAGAATCGGCGCCAGCAGACAAAGCCAATGAAAATGACTCACAAGAGGAAGGATCTGAGCAAGGATCACAAGAGCCCCCCGTGAAAATGGAGACAGACAATGATACTAATGGCACTGATGACAATGGCAAATCAAAAACTGGCAAGGGCGTAATACTATAGTCGTTGCCGAGGCCTCCCGCTAGTAGTAGTGCTACCTAAAACGATAAGACATGTACTGCTACCAAATGCTATCATGGTTACCCTATCGCACCGGAGGTATTCCTTTTTAGTTTTGTGAGTTTCTGGTCGTGACTGAATCATCGAATCAACATTCAATATATATTAAAATGTGGCACGTGCCACCGGCCCGTCTATTGTGTGTGAAACAGAACGCATTCCATATCAAATCTAAGCAATCGATTTGATCATACGGCAGGTAGAGTGGCGGCCGTTTCGTTGATTCACGGCACCTGGTACCAGTCGAAAACCTGTACTCGTTCGTGAAAACGGCAAAATCTGTCCGTTTTCCGACCAAGATATTGAGTTTACCAAATCACTAAAAGTAGCTTTTCCACCCCTTAGCCTTGCCCAAAAGTGTCCAATCTACCTGCTGATGTAGTCAGAATGCTGGTACGTCTAGAATTGGCAGATTGGCTGACTTCGTCAATTCTGGTAATTTTGGTCATTTTTTGGGGGATAAACGACAACTGCAGTTTTACACAAAAATGTACTAGAGCTACGTGAAAAAACGCATCGAGTTTCGGCAAATTCTCCTACTATATCAAAATCACTGTCAACTATCAAACGAAAAACTCTTCTTCTTTGTCTTCTATTGCATGCATCTTCTTTGGCAACTTTTGCAATGCAGCCGTATCAAGAGGACAAACAGCCAGTCCATCGCCACCATATTCTCCCTGTGTAATACCTGTTTCTGCAAACGCGATGATTCATTCTTCTTGGCATCACTAGTCCTAGCGCCGTCTTGACGACACAATTAATCACTACAATCAGCCAACAACTTCTGGAGTGCCTTCATCCTCGGATGCAGCCGTTATCCTCTCGACAGTGAATTCATTTAGCTGTTCTTGCTGGTCCTAGTCACCAATCTGCCACTTCGCAGTTCCGTTCAACAGGCCGAAGCAGATTGGCCACAGTTGTGGCTTCCCACGCGGATCTTCAATGTGGACAGGTCAATGAAGGGAACTGGAAGGCGGACGTGATGGTCATCAAAGACGCAAATTGGAGCTAGTGGAATTGGTACATGCGCGGGCCTCCTGTCTTCCTTCATCACCATCGTTGCTTTGAGGGATGTTGGATGGAGTTTTGGAAAAGCGATTATGGGCTAGATGAGTACCATCCAATTTCGTGGTACTATTTTACGTAGATCTACATGGTGGGCGATGAACAGACGCCAAAAATGAATTTGCCGATTTTTGTTCATCATCCCCGCTCCTTTTTCCAAAATTGGCCAACCGAGATACCCTACTGGAACACCATAGGAAAAGTAGCCAATCAGCATGTAGACTAATTAAATAATAGGCATTCAGTCGATGTGCTTGGATTTTTATGAAACCTTGTTCTTCATGCTCGACGACTGCGAAGGGGTGATTTTGCCGTTTTACGAACGAGAATTGCTCACGAACGAGTACAGGTTTTCGACTGGTACCGGTACCGTACCAGGTACTTTCAACTTGGACCAGGTACAGTACTACCAAAGTTTTCAATCATCGCGTCAGCATCATCGAACGACAAGATCCAAAGCACATCAAACTATAATATCATCAAATACGATTAACTCTTTCAACAAAGCCTACACCAGTGCTGCATTAGACACCATGATGGAAAATAAGAAATTCCTCTTCTCCTTGTTTGCTTTTATCGCTACTCTGACTTCTACGCGAGGTTTTGCCTTCCAAGCCCCTTCCCTTCGAAATTTGGATTTTGCCTCCTCTCTCTGCAGCACGGCTTCTGATTCGGATGTTGCTGTGACTGAAAAGGGATTGCTGAAGCGTGATCGATACGTCGCTACCAACCGATTTGCTGTCCGTCAAGGCAAAGCCGCCAAGTTTGAAAAGCGATGGGCCACCCGAAAATCCAAATTGGCTTCCTTGCAAGGATTCAAATACTTTCATCTCATGAGACGAGTGACCATTAACGAAGAGGATGGCACAGCAGTGTACGACGAAGGAACGGACGATGGTATGCAACAAGGAAACTATGTCAGTTTTACTATCTGGGAAAAGAAATCGGATTTTGGAGCCTGGCGTTCGGGAGAAGCCTTCAAGGAAGCTCATGGCGGAACCTCCATTGGTGCATTTGTCTCAACAATGGTCAGTTCGGCCATGGTGCTGAAGGGGGCTCCTCGTCCCGCCTTTTATGATGGCTTGCTTCAACAGTCATCAAAACCAGAAGCTCTTCCTACCATTGTAGATGGATGGAGATCGGTGGAGGCCGACGGTGTCAGCACTCTTCCTGCTGAATGTTTTGTTGCCTGCAATCAATTCTTTGTACCACCTGAGAATGCTAGTGCCTTTGAGCAACGTTGGGCCAATCGAGAGTCCAGACTGAAGGACTGCGAAGGATTCGTTTCTTTCTCTATGCTTCGAAGGGATGGACAAGCCAAGGGTATGTAACACATATTCAACAACCTGAGCAAGCTTTTTCGTTCGTTCCATGCATCTGACATCACTTTCCTCTTCCTTCTCACTGACAATGAATCAATTCGAATCGAACATTTCCGTCCTATCCACGGGACGGCTATAAACTTGCAAACTTGACTATACAATTATTATTCATAGGACATGGTACTTCTCCAATGGATGAAAGCGAACCAACCTACCTTTCGACTACCATTTGGAAGGACCAAGCCAGTTTCCAAAAATGGCGCCAAGGAAGTGCCTTCCAAAAAGCTCACGGTGGTGGACCACCAAAAGATAAGAAGGATGAATCTGAAAAGCCCGCTGCACCACCTGCACCCTTGTGGGCCAAGCCTCCACAGCCTGTCTTTTATGAGGGGACGCTGGTCATTTCCAGTGAAGAAGGAGCCTAAGATAAATAGTGGCAGTGTGAATGGAATATGACGCGTACTATTGAGTTCTGGTATGGAAAACAAAAATATAATATATGCACATTATATTTACCAGACGACACTAGCACAGTTACTGTAGTCTGACCTCCGCCTCCCTCATCTGGTGGACCAACTCGGAGTGGAAGGACAGACACATGGAATAACTCACGAATTTTATAGTTCAAACCAAAGTATTTGTTTCAAATAGTACTGTGTACCGTTAACAATTACTATGTACGATAGTCACTTTTTGTAGTCAGAAATCGGGAGCTGAATTGAAGCTGAAAAGACTTGAAGATTTACGGAAATCTTGATCTTCTGCTGCTCTAGTATTGAAATGGAGAGCAAATGTACTGATACTGGATTTCGCTTTGGTTTCGTCATACACTACTGTAGGTGATTCGTTTGGAAAAGCCCAAATGATTGATTCGCTCGAAGGTACATCGAAGAATGAATGGCCTCCACTATGCAGCGCTAAGAAAGTACCGATAACATGTAAAGGTATGTCAGCGCGGTCAGCGGAACCATATAGAGGTCAAGGAGGTCTATTAGCGGAAGAATCTGGGATGCGAACATTTGACCAACAACGACACTTATTTTAGAAAGTAATAGTACGAGTACTGAGCTGCATCGGCATCCCCAGACATTACTTGGAATTTTGTGATCGTGATTTCAATATATATTTTGTATATATATATATTGCTCGTATTCTATAATGATGGTGCGCAACATTGATGAGAATGGGCCCCCGTCAGGGCAAGAGTAGTCAGGGTTGAGAGATTGGGGCGGACCCGGGCGAAGCACGTACGTACAGTGAAATCTTCGGTAGAAATTGAATCATTATGGTAGCATAGTTCGATGCTTGGGCTATGCACGACTATTTTTAAAAAATAACACATAATAATGATAGCTACTATTTAGAGAAACTTATTATACATAAAATTCACTTGAAAGGTCCAAGCGTCCCAAATTTCACATAAAATAGATCAGTTTCCCACAGTTAGAACCCACCACCACGCTTCAGGAACCATGACATTTCGCAGCGTTGAACTGCACATTCATTTCCAGATCGTATCACAGCAACACAAGCCGAGTACAACGTAGCACTTCCAGTAAAACTGCCCTCGCCTTTTGAGTACTTTGGTTGCATAAAAGTTTGACACTCCATGCTCATCAAGTGTGTTTCGAAATCCTTTATCAAACACTTTGGTGAATGATTTGTCAGACGATGTATCTGCCTCTGAAAACTTCCGCTGCTCCACCAGTACCTCTGAGTCTTTGATCATTTGAGAATCGGTGATTCTACCAGTCTTTAGAGGCATTCCTCTTATCCATCCGCAGAGTTGATTGCTGACTCCTGCCTTGGCGCACGTCACGCCCCCTGCATCATGCATCGCAATTCTCTCCCCGCTTCTCCGATCAAAGTAGAAATCCCATTTCTTTTCGCGCAACTTTGCATGTTCTTTGTAGGTAGCATACATCGGCCACCAATTGTGTGTTCCCAGTTCAAGTGATAATTTCTTCTTCAGTATTCTTCGAAGTGGGTTCCGAAAGCTCTTCTACATTTTCAAAAAATCTTGCCATACGCCCATCCTTGAACTCAAAGGAGAACAACCACTCCTCGAGCCAAGTACGTTTCGAAGTTGTCTCAAAAAGATGTTTCAAATTACCATTACAAACCACTGTCGCATAGGAATATTGTACATTCTTCATCAACTCCGAAAATAAATCGTCACTGCCCGAGTCAATGCAAGCCATCAAAGATAGGATACAACAGATCGCTTGGGAAGATGGACTCTTGGACTTTTGGTTGTAGAATGCATCCGTCGGGTCCATCATTGCCCAGCACGTACATTGCAAAATCAGAATCCCCCGACAATACTGCATCAACATCGCCATCAATCGCACGCTTCGCAATAGCTGGATTCGCCTGCCATAGAGACTTTTGAAGCACAATGTGGCTACCATTCGTGCTTTCAAAAGACTTCACCAAATCATCAATTTTGTCAACAAAATGTGGAGGCAGACCTCTTTGCTGCGCACCTTCCTTTCTGCGATTTTTTTTTGACAATGCTTCCTCTTGTTGTTTCACAATTATGTTTGTTTGATTGGGGTTATTGATGAGGTTTGCAAGAGTAGTCCGATCCTCCAAAAGCTGAATTCGGAGGCGATCTCTTTGTGCAACACGATTTTGATGGGCCCTTTTCGAATGATGCCGATTCGGACCGTCCGCATCCAGGATCACAGCCACTCCTCTCTCTGCAAAGCGTGATGCCGCAACAAACAAGACTGCTCTAGCTGGAGACAAGAAAGGCTTGCCAAAAAAGAGATATCCTAGTAGAGATGATGCTTCAATTGAAATTCTTGGTCTGACCCTTGTGGTGTGATTGTTGCGTCTACTACGCAGAGACAGATGCTGATCCAAAAGAAGATTATAGTAAGAAAGTCGACTTTGGAAGACTTCCAAAGGATGTTATTTAGATCGTTAATCTCCATCACCCGTACGAATAATGACGTAAAGTGGATCCATGGTCATTGTGTTTCGGTGAGTTTCGTTTCCGATCGGGTACTTTTTCACGAAAAAACCAGTTCGCCCCAATTTCAAATTTCGAACCCTGACTGCGGGGTCCATTGATCTGAAATTCATAATATACTGTAGAATCCGAGTTTTTCTCGGATTCTATTAACTTAACGGCTTTGCCTGGCAGGCGCTCTATTGAAATACTCGGATTTAATTAATTTTTTCCCCCAAATTTGACCGGAATATTCACTCACGCCTCACGCATGTAGAAAGTACCGGTACCAGAATAGAATCCGAGTTTTTCTCGGATTCTATTTGTGTTCGTAAAAGGGGTGGGAGTCCTGCTATCACTAAAAATAAATAAAAAGACTATACATAGGTCATGTGTCCTAATACCATACAAACAAGGACCCTAACTCTATCCTTGATACAAACAGTCCTTTATCGACCAGTCGACTAGTCTTTTACGAGTGATATAGCAGCTAGCAAGATAGATAGTAGTTGCAGGGCAAATTTCAAATTATGGAGCAATACAGTAGCTATTTACTAGCATGATCATAATACTAGGCACATTATTGTGAGAGGCATGGAATTTAGAAATACATATGCAGGATTTGATTTATATCAGATTATTGGTCTTGGTATAGGACTATGTAGCTTGGTGAGAGCATGCTGTAGATCGGGATCACCACGAGGTACAGTGGTGGAGACATGGGACCTGTTTTTTATTTCGCTTTCATTTCGTCCTTGCTTGGACTAGATAACCCAGGCTTGCCCGTATGCAGCTTTTCGATCGAGATCAGTATACCACCAGGCACAGTAGCTTGAGAACAATGGTGATACGGGAACTGTGCTTCGGGTTCGGTTTCAGTTATAATACTACTTGGCTTCAAACGAGCACGCATAGAATGTAGCAGCCTGCCGCAGGGATGCAACTTGCGGCGGTACTGCAGCAGATACCAGAGGTACTGTAGATCTGGATCGTTGTCGTAGTAAACACGGGAACGGTGATACCGGTACGGTAACTACAGCACAGTACTGTACCTTCAACCTGGTAATTGTACCGGTACGGATCACTAGCTTCAAAGTAGGTAAATAAGTACTTCGAGTTCAGTTTCACTTCCTTGTTTGCTTCAGGTTGCGGGCGAGCCCTTTTAAATAACACAGGCTCCACGGCGCCGTATTTTATTCGGCACCTTATATTACTAACATTCGTACCATCACAGCAGTTCTGGCTCCAGATATTTTGTTAAATACACTACTATCATACCTCCTTTAGTGTTGTTAATTGCACCAACAACAAAATCTGCTGGGACGCTGTGAGTGATCTTAACACAATATTTTATTAATAATAATAACTCCGTTAGCGAATTCAGTCTGCTGCGTGTACGGGTCATCGGGAAGCGTCCATTTAATAAAGGACATTGTAAGAGATATCAAAATTCCAAAAATTAATAAGTACTTCAAGAAAATGCATCAGACATCTGACACGTCAACATTGAAACGGGCTTTTGCAATCTTTGTAGCAGTACTGTACCTATTGAAAAAGCGAGAATACTGTAGCACGTTTTGTTACCTCATAAATTGCTTTTGGCACAGCAAGGAACGCCATGACTCAGAAACCTCTGCACTTGCAACCACTAGCAAACGTGGATCGAACCAAAGCATCAAGGAAAAGCACCTTGCACGAGGAGTACTCGATCAGCCATTGTGGACCGGAATCATGTGAACTAAAAGACCACGATGAGGATGAGGATGCCGAATTTGCCCAATCCTTGTATCGTGAAATTGTATCCGAATGCCGCTTTGTCTCGCCTGAGAGCCTGAAAGAGATACCACGTTTCACCTCAAATGAAGTGCTTGAAGGCTTGGCTCTTGGTAAAGGAGGTTTTGGGACCATCAACGCTGTGAAAGGTTTCTCATTGCATGCGAGAAAGCAGAGGCAAGTCGTTAAGACGTCACTGGGCCATGCCGGAAATATCGATGAATCTGGGCATGACGGAGAGATCCAAGCGAGGCAATTCATCGCCAGCCACTGTCATCACAGTAATGGAGATGCCCGATACGCTCTAAAGAGGCTGCAACGAAAGACAATTGCGGATCACTTGCTATGCTTACAAGGAATGACTGATCTGGCGAACGAAGCACTGTTCCTTGGCTCAATCGAGCATCCCAATATCATCAAGCTACGAGGCATGGCCCACGCTGACATGATGAGTAAGGACTTCTTTCTCATACTAGATCGCTTGTATGATACATTGGCGACACGGCTTGTGAAGTGGAAAACAGAAGAAAAAAAACTTTCGGGTTTAAAGCGAATGTTTTGCAAACGATGCGTGCTGCACAGAAGGTACCTGCAAGCAGATCGACTCAACCACGCTGCGGACCTGGCATCAGCTTTGTCATACTTGCATCAGAATGGTATTTTGCATCGTGACTTGAAACCAGACAATATCGGATTCGATGTGGTAAGTTGGTATCATCACCTGTTGATATGATGTTGACCATTATGAAGCAGCGCGCTCATCTCTCGTTTCTCTTTTTGGATGTATAGCAAGGCGGCATTAAAATCTTTGACTTTGGCCTCGCAAGGGAACTGCCAAAAAAGACAAAGACATCATACAACAAATTCCATCTTACCAAATCCGCTGGCACACCACGGTACATGGCTCCAGAAGTTGTTACTGGAAGATACAACCAAGCTTGTGATGTTTACAGTACAGGCCTTCTCGTTTGGCAGTTCATCACTTTGAAACGCCCATTCAAGGATAAGAAGTGCTTGGAAGACTTCGAAGAGAAAGTGTGGTCTCCCAACGGTCCTCAATGTCGCCCTACGATACCAAAGAAAGTGTCACCTGGTCTCCGGCAACTATTGGTTCGATCATGGAACCACAACTTTGAGGATCGCCCCAGCGCCTTGGAGCTTGAAAATGAGCTCCGCTTTCAAGCCTCTCAAAAGGAGGATAATATGCTAGAAAAGGAGAACGATTCGGAACTCGGTTCCCCAGCTTCCAATAAGACGATGGAACGTGGATCGACGTTCTTGCTCCCTCCAGGCGATAGCGATGAATCCCTTGAATCAGATTCCAAAGAAGTTGCTAGAGAAAGAACCGCATTTGATTTCTTTGGGGTCTCAGCGAGATCAATTTTAATGCGATCCGATAGGTCCGAAGTGTTCAAAAGTTTTCGATCCCTTCCAGAACGATGAGGGATGGCCACGCTCGATTTTAAACTATCGCTACAATTTTATTTTTTAAAACATGTACAACTACCAGTCCTTCTTCTTTCCGATATTGTTGCGGCAGCGCCACTCGTCCAGTTGCTTAATGTGGTGATTATTCAAATCATAAAGTACGTTTTCACCTGAAAGTACTTCGACAGTTCCAAATCCACATTGATTCATATATCATCATACCCAAATTCAAAATTATTGGATTATACATCTTTCAATCCGCTATCGGAGACTGAGTGCTTTGAACTGTCGGAGAAGAACTGATTTGACCTGACGGAGGAGAAGATACTTGAATTGTCGGAGAAGAACTGTTTTGAATTGTAGGAGACGGAGTGATTTGACCCGACATAGACGGGGTGCTTGGAATTGTCGGAGAGGGAGTGATATCAATTGTTGGAGACATAGTGATTGGAGCTGTCGGAGAAGAAGTGACTGCAATTGTCGGAGAAGGAGTGGCGTTGCAGTCTCTATTGCCCGATGTTCCACACACTGATTGAGCATTGGAAACATCCGTAAAGCAATTGCCATCAAACCAACATGCCTTGGAATTCAAGACTTGATCTGGTAATATTGGAATTGACCCTGATAGCATGTTGTCACCCAGTGCGATGTGTGTCAAGGCCGTCAAGCCAGTAAAGTAATCAGCGGCAAGGCTACCGGAGAAGTCATTCACATTCAACCATCCACGAATCAAATTGGGTGGAAGGTTGGGCAGAAATCCAGAGAGCTCGTTGTTTGTAAACGTCATATGGGTGAGTTTGGTAAAAGATGCAAAGAAGTCTCTGGCAATGGTTCCTGAGAACTTGTTGTTGTTCAGCCAACAAGATTCAACGTTGGGCGGTAACAGTGGCACCTCTCCAGTAATGGCATTGTTGCTCATCCCCAAAGACGCCAACTTGGTCAAGCCAGTGAAGAAGTCTTTTCCGATGCTGCCGCTGAATTTGTTATTGTAGATTCCTACAAATTCAAGATTTGGCGGAAATCGAGGAAACGAGCCGCCAAGACGGTTGTCGTTTATGGACAGGGATGTCATTGCCGTCATGCCATCAAAAACATCAATCGGAAGCGATCCTTCCAATTCTTTCTGCTCCAAGTTGAGGGTTACTACTCTTCCATTTTCGTCACAGACTACCAGTTCAAAGCTTGGATCGCAGCAGCCCCAATCGCATACCGAATTCGGTGATAACCAGTCATTGCCAAAAGTCCAACTTGCTCCATTGGTGTTGAAGTAAATATTGGCCATGGAATATCGTTCAGTCCAGAGACTGCCTGGATCAGAAGCACTGGCAGGTGGAGACCAAGCGTCCAGTTCAATCATCCATACCATGATTTCGTCATTGCGATAGTCATCACCAATCTTGTTGGCGAGGCTGGTTTGAATTTGTTGCAATCGAGGTAGAGTTGGCATCGGAGATGTAGGAGCCATGCTCGGAGTTGGCGTATCTGTGAGAATGACTGGATCTGGATCATCCTCCTTACTCAACACCACAGCTGCCGCGACCACACCTGCCACAAAGACAATGGCCAATATCAGAAGCTGGGTACTTTTCTTCCATTTATTCTCGCTGCGGGGTTCTTCTTCAACAGCTACCATTGCCATTATGACATGGCCTTCGTCGTTTTGTTGCTGATTCTGTCGCTCCTCTTGCAGACGTTGCTGAACAAGCTCTTCCACATCGGGTGCCACTTCGGCTTCCAATAGAGTTTCGTTTCCTTCCGGTTTTTCATTGTCATTAGTGTTCTGAAGTCCAACTTCTTCATCTGGTTCTCCGAGCTGCACCTTTTGTTCGTCAGTGGGTTTCGTTTGATCACCACTCCCTTGTTGATCTTGTTGCAGCTTCTCCTTGTTGCGCCGTGGTCTGGAGGATATGGTGGAGGAGTCTCCCGATGATACAGACTGTGCTCCGGGAGCTGCTGGCGGTCTGGATCCACGGGATCCTCGGCCCTTTTCTCCGGAAGAGGCGGATCCCTTGATAACTCCCAACCTGGAGGATGCGGCGGCAGCGGCGGCGGAGGAATCATCTCCGGATGCTACAGAATGTGCACCTACAGCTGCTGCTGGTTGTCTGGATCTGCGGTCTCCTGAAGAGGCAGATGCCTTCTTGATCTCTTCCAATCTGGAGGATGCGGAAGAGGAGTTTCCTGGAGTTACAGAATGTGCTCCTACAGTCGCAGGTGGTCTGGATCCGCGGTCTGAGGCCTTGATATCTTCCAACCTACTTCGTTCTGTGTTTGGCTGTTCCAAATCAGGTGGAGTGATGACAGAGGATGATACAGCATCTGCAGCAAGCCTTAGCTTTTCTTCAGCCTTTGGCAAATGCGTCTCGCGTATGTTACTTTTGTTTGGCTCTGCCATTCTTTCAATTTGTGAGGGCTTTTAAGATTGATAAAGTACGATGACAGTAGTGCGGAATAAGGGGTATATGGTAAGATGTATGTACCGGTATACCGGTATGATGCGCGAAACGATATATGATGGAAAGACGCGCGTGTCAGCAAATCCAGGCCACGCACATGAATGTGCCAAACTACAATTCTGTACGAAGCTGCACAATAAGGCCCTGATCATCAGTACAAAAAGAAGGCAAACCCAGTACCCACGAAACGAGGCCGCTCTAGTATGTGTTGGAATGCAGCCGGGTACATGTACATATCACTGGAAACAAATATTGGTTAGGAATCCTACGGCTTCAATTTTTTGATTTTGGCCGGTACTTGAAGTCAATGATAAATAACTCCATATCAATAAAGTCAGCGCAAACTCTCTGATTTTAGTGTAAAAAATGTTTCAATCTTCTGTTGGAAGAGAGTCTCAATAAGGCAGAGATGAAAGGCCGGAACTTGTAGTAGTAATCAGGGTCGTGTTCAACTCTAGTCCGAGAATGTCGCCGTTGCCAATATACACAAGCAACTGGAGTCTTCCTCGCACATATATTGCGAGTTCACGTAAGAGTGGCGCTCAGTAGCTCGCTGAAATGGAGTCTCAAAGTAATTCGGAGAGACTTTTCGGATTCCATCAGGTAGTCGACCACCTGCTTAGCACAGGGAACCAAGGACATCTCGATTGCATGGAATAGGCTTTCGATATTTTCCAACAATCAAAGTAAAGTCGCAAGGCACCTGGTCACAAAGCCCAAATCTGTTGGCGCCACAATTCATCATACCAGAGGTTTGGTTTTGTTCTTCTTCCAATGCAATCTCTTCGAAAGAGTTGAATTGCTCATGTGTCCCCTCGAAAGAATAGCGGCCTTGCGGGCATTTTAGCTTTTTCAGTTCGGCTGGTGTATAAGCTTACGGGCCAGGTCAAGAAAGAGCTGCTGGTAGTCTGGATCGTCTGGGGAAGCCGCTTCAATATTCCATTGACCAAAAAAGGAATGGTCCGGATATCTCGCCGCCATTAGGGGTTTCGAGATTCATTGGGTTCAATGAATGACCGCAATGTCTCGGTTGGTTTCATCGCAAGGACAAACGCATTTCTGCAGCCAATGTTCTGCCTTGTCACATCGGCAATCTTTCGGAGGTTCCTTTTGAGAATGTATTTGTCTTCGTTCGAGAGATATACTTCTACCTCAATCGTATCCGGATCAAAACGGTGAGGATGTTCCAGAACGTCCAAGATGTCTCGTCTGGTAGGAATCAAAATGGCATTCCCACTTGTGTAGTGTGATTGAACGGAATAGCCACGCATGTTTCAAGTTTCAAGATTTTAATAGTTACTTATGTCGTTTGTAGTCCCCAAAGGATAGAATCTTGTTGCGGCTGCAATGTCAGTGAAAGCTGTTGCGTACTCTGTCACAACAGCTTTTTGGTGTTTTGGTGACATGATATGTGAAGAAGGTTTTGGTTCATCTATTATCCTGCGCAGTTGAAATGCGCGAAATATGTGTCTTTGGGAACAATCGCATCCCCCTCTTTCTTCATACGATTTCCCCCTGTCATCGTCAATATGATGATGATACTCCAACGTAGACCGCAGGCACACTGTTCGATTTCTTTGACTACATTGTGTTACAGACGGACAAAGGCCGAACGGCCTTCGACCGTCAAAAGTTGTTGTCGATGCGCCAGATTGAATTCACCCACTTGTGTCGTGGTAATTCAATTTTTACCGCACACGGGATTTCTGAGATTGGTCGAACGAATCGAGTCTATTACTCGATCAGTTCGACCCGCTTCACACCACAACCCACCAGCTACACACCAAGACAAAATACTACGAACACACACACGGAGGACGGCAGTAGGCTATCTTAGATAGGCGCATATCGTCATCGACACACATATATGCCACGGGTCCACGACCAATCCACAATACTGCATCTAGCAAAGAGAAAGAATAAAATGATGAAACCCGTATCCTTGGTGCTGATCCTTTCCCTTTCGTCGATGACCCGATCCAATGGGTTCGTTCCTCCCCTCCTTGCGCTGAAAGAACAGACCTGTTGTCAAGCGCACAATAAGATCGAAGAGGAAGCTCCTTCTTCTTCTTCTTCTTCTCAAAGCCGTCGACATTGGATCTCTTCTCAATTCCAAAGTCTGCTGCTAGTTGGTGGAGTCGTCTCGGAAGTTTCCAAAGAGCCTGCCTCTGCCGCCGTCATGGCAGTGGACCAACAAAAAATAGGAAGCCTGGGTATTCCAGAATCCAAAGAACGCTTTGTTCAGGCACGAAAGGATGTTCAATATCTTTTGGATCATTACGAATCGATATCCAAGGAGGGAGGAGATGCCGTTCGAAGATATCTTGGAACCGTCGGTGTCGCTGGAGCCATGTATGGTATTTCCAAAGTAGTCAAGACCTTGCGAGAAGAAGCCGAGGACATTGTGGAATACACCGAAGCCATGGATGAGTTCAATGCGTATCTGTATCAAGCGGAAGGAGCCGCCTATCAATCCATATTTGCGGAACACTCGAGTGCCAAAGCCACACCCGAGTCATGTCTGGCCACGGCCAAGCAAGATGTAGTCATGATGGCCAAGTACATGGACAAGCTCCAGGCCCAGCTCAGTTTGTAAGCGCAGCATTATACACTGTATAATCGAACCATCCCTGCGATTTGTACAGTAATTAGACTGACAACATGGATTCGAAGATACTATAGAAGTTAGATACACACAAAATTTATTAGGATCCGATTATTAGACTGACTGACTGACTGACTGACTGATTCTGCCTGAAAGAAGACATGCACCAATGAAGCATTGATGATTTCATTTACGCCAAACTACATACAGCTGAGAAACAACTACTGCCGATTGATTTTCAGCCCAGTGGAAAAGCAAAACATGAACATAATAAAACACTATACATAATGCGTGTATAAACAAAAACAAAAATAAAAACAACCACATATTACTGTATATCCCAACAATACTCTAATTCTCATCATCCGCATCATTCTCTTCATCTTCCTCATCGCCTGCCGTATCACCACCATGCGCTTGACGGAATTTTCGGACTAATTCCATTTCATTATAGTGACGCTTTCGATGTTCTTTAAACTCTAATGCCTTGATGTCTTTTTTCCTACGTTCTTCGTCTTCTTCCTCATTGGCACTATTGCTGGCAGCACCATGACTGGAAGGAGAACTTGGATAAGCGTCTCTTGCGGCAGCTGCAGCATCCAATTTATTTTGCAAATGATCCCAGCTGATTTGAGTCTCCTTGTTGGCGTTGTGAGAGCCGTCCGTCTCGCTGCCCGAATCGTAATTGTGATACGGAGTGTCCGGTTCGTCAATCTTCATTCTGGTTCCTCGTAGCAAATCGTGCTCCTGAATCTTGGCTTCGTCCCATTTGAGTCCAGCTTTCTTCTTTCTTGCTGTCTTGTTGTTTTCACTCACCAAAGCTGGCTTCACTTTGATGTCGCTATCGTCTTCTGACATGTTGCTGAATAAATATGAAGATTTATGATAAATTATTGGTGGATATGAGGGAGGTGCGAGTGAGAAGAGTTATCAAGCAATGGCTTCTAAAGGTGTCTCAAGTTTGTTTGCGCTGCTGATAAGCTGGTAGTCTCAAACTGATCTTGTCGTTATTGTTGTTGCAGAGTTGCAATCAAACTTTTATAATATCTCAGTAAAAGTATAATGATGATTATGCAGACACAAAAGCAGGTGTCAGATCGGAACTCAAACGTGATTTTCTTTGTGGTACTGCACTTTCACGTGGAGATGAGAACACTTGCCGTACTGTGGCAAGACCACATTTTCTTCAATCCTGAATCATCAGTCATTAATCCCGAGTCCTTGCATGCCGTTGTTGCTACAGTACCAGTATGAAAGGGAACAAATACACAACAACTGCCAAGATTAAACGCTTTTATTAACTTATTATATATAACACATTTCCCCATGCTTACATATTCTTGACACCATTGTTTCCGGCGTGAAGTCGTGCCCAAACCTTGTCAAAGAAGATCTTTCGCCAACCTGGTTCCATTCGAGCGGATCGACTCTTTTGAATCTTGAGTTGCAACAATTGATCCTTGGTCGGTTGTGGACACTTGCGGCACTTGAGCAAATGCGCGTGGATGTTTTGACTAGTAGAGTTGGTAGCAAGACTCTTGGACGAGACTGGAAAGTACTTCCCCAAACCAGCATGTCCATTGCAGTGACGGCACTGGAATCCTGGGTAGCCAACGGGTCCCTTGGAGCGAGCCACAAATCGATCCGCTTCAGTGAACTGGCATGGCTCCACTTGGCTCATCAAAAAATGAACATATGGTGGAATGGATCCCTGGTCTTCTGGTGCAACGACGTAGTGGTTGCTCGATGACCCCCCTTGGGTGGTGGTTTTCATTGTAGTTGCTGCTGCTTCGCGATTGGAAGAACCAGCTTCGACCTTGTCGGTTTGTTGTGTAGCAGCAGAAGCTCTGGCCAATTTCATCTTGAAACCCTTGCTCACTGGCTCCGAAGGATCCTTGGCAAATCGGATACCATCTGGAGTATCCATCATTCCCAAAGCCAAGGCCGAGTCGGCCCAATACTGGCGAGTCGTTGGTACCCAAACGTTGCTGTTGGCCAAGGCATTGAGCTTGGTGCGGACGTTTTCAGGAACGTGCTCACAGACTTCCAAGTGGATTCGCTGCCATCTCTTGACGGCATCGTAAATTCCACCGACCGATGTGGGAAACGAAATGGCTCCCACCGACTTGTCCTTTGCGGGACAGTCGGTGCAAAACGTGCAGCGAATGCCCACTTGGCCTTCCACCAGTCTTCCAGCGCGCTTGGAGGTGCGAGCCACATCTTCTGGAGTTGCCGAAAAGACTTCAATACAACGGTCTCGAACGAAACAGTTGATTTCAGACAACCATTCATTGTCATCCTTCATGGACAAGGATCGAGATCCTTCATAGAACTTTTGATTGGTGACTGTGGCAGCAGACGAGGGGGCTGGCTTGGATTGCGGAGCTTCCTCAACGCCAATTCGTTCGTCTTCACTTCCACTGCGCAAGCTATGGGCATGGTTGGAAAGGCGATGTCTGCAGATGGCTTCGTGAGAACAGGCACCTTCATAGGTAGCAAAGGCTGCCACATTGCAGTGATCGCAGATCCAGGGCTTTTCGGGGTGCTGCAGTGGTGGCTGCATCAAGCTGCGCGGAGGAGGATACATGTGCGGGTTGGGAGCAGAGTACCATCCTCTTGGTGATTGTTGAAGATGATGAGGATTTTGAGGGTGGTGAATAGAGTGGTGATGTGGAGAATGTGGATGGAACATGTGTTGTGGATGCATGTGAGCTTGACGAGGCGACGGGAACCGAGCGAAACCACTGTTCATTGGACTGCTCATGTAGTGTGGAGGAGGTGGTCTTGCCAAGTGTATTGCTGGTGGTCGAGGAGCCATCTGCCTTGGAGGAACAATCAATCTTCTTGTTGGGTTGGGTGTTGGCGGGGCTGGTGATCGAATACTGGAATCACCAGCTGCATGTGGGGTGGCTGGTGATGGCATGAAGTGCTTGCCGTGTGGAGCATAGTGCACTCGTCGGCTCATGGTAATATCAGAATCTTCCGGAGTAGATGGGCTACTGGGGACAGCAGCTTCCTTGGGTGCTTCTGAGCGTTCTTCCCTGTGACTCGAGTTTCTGTGCTCTGGAGACATGGGAGGTTCTTCGGGTTTTGGGGATCGGGCTTCTTCAAACGTATCAGCCTTCTTGACACTATCTTCTTTATCTTGTTTGCTCTTGTTGTTGGTTCGTGGTGTCGTTGACGTTGAGATAGAGGCAAGAGACGCCAAGGCAAAGGCGGACGCCAATTCCGTTGGATCCACTTTAGTTGATGATGTCTTGTTTTCGTTGACCTTGGTGACTTCGGCAGCAATCACCTTTCGTCGTTTGTTGTTGGTGTCGATCATTGGTCCTTCTGTACCATCTCGCATCCGTTTGTCTACAAGGCTCACTTGGTTTGTCATTCTTCTTTATTTTGCTGTTTGAAGAGAAAGTGCCTGATTGATTTCGACCTTTATCAATGAGGACTCGTTGGAAATTTAGGAATTTGAGGATTTTCGTTGATCAACTGAGATTCAACTGATCCCAAGCCGAAAGGCGCGCTGCGTTTTCGCGTCTCCCACCAAAAGCGCAGTGTCACTATCAAGACTTTGGCGCTGGACGGTTCACAGTAGTAAATCCGATGGACGACTAGGGAGGAAAATATTGTGAGTAGATGCGTTGTGCGCAGGTTGATTGGTGTCGCGGGACCATAGTCTGACCGAATTTTTCAGCTGGCACACGCAACACACGAGAAATCCAAATTCAACGCCCTAATTAATTCAAAAGGACTGTGACCATGCCGGCGTGGAGGAGAGCGCAAGTTTCGGCCCTGTCCTTCGCCGGGTTTTCGCACGAATTTGCGCGTCGGATTCTGCGTGACTGACCATGTCCATTGGATGCATTTCAGTCCTGAGTCCCTCTCCAAAGCCAACACAGAAAATTCCCTTATTTCTGTTGCTTATTGATATTGCACCGTCGGTATCAAAATCAGTATTAGAAGTGCTCAACGTATTGCTTCAGTACCAATCCAACCCTTAAGGATGTGGACAGTCCCTCCCCTAAAAGATGTGCTCGCTAGTTTGGAGAACCCAGAAGCTCCAATTGGAATGAGAATGAGAGCCGCCTACTTTGCCAAGCAAATGTTCACCGACAACAAGGACGATGCGGAAAAGACGGAAGCCATTTTGAAGGTACTGGGCACTCAAGTCATGAACAAGGCACATGGTAGCTTGCTACGTCACGAATTTGCCTACGTTCTTGGCCAAATGCAAACTCCAAGGGCTTGTCAGATTCTGGAAGAGCTATTGCAAAAGGAGGATGATTGTGTCATGGTCCGCCACGAGGCTGCAGAAGCGCTCGGCGCTATTGGTGCTCCAGGTTCCGTCAAAGTATTGAAAACAGTATATGAAGACTTTACGGGTAAGCTCGACGAATTGGCGGATACTTGCAAGCTGGCATACAATAGGATTGAACAACAACAAAATCCTGACGAATCAGATAGCATTGCAGTTGGATGTGCATGTATGTTGGCTCCATACAATTCCGTAGATCCCGCTGATGCTGATCCAAAACACGACGGTTTCTCGACTAAAGATCTAGGAAATCTCTTGCTGGATTCATCAGAGGATTTATTGGAGCGATACCGAGCCATGTTTTCCCTGAGAAATCGAGGAGGGAAAGATGCTGTGCTAGAGCTGTGTCGAGCTTTGGTGGAGGACAAGTCTTCTCCACTATTGAGACATGAAGTGGCTTTTGTACTAGGGCAGATGCAACATCCTTGCAGCATTGATGCCTTGGAGACTTCTTTGGCACGTGTCGAAGAACATGTCATGGTGCGTCACGAATCTGCTGAAGCGTTGGGAGCCATCGATGTTGCTTCTTCCGAAGAATGGAACCGCATTGAAAGTATTCTGAAGCATTATCAACAAGATGCAAAGTTGGAGGTGGCGGAATCATGTATTGTGGCTTTGGATGCTGCGGACTACTGGGGGCACTCCAACACAGCAGAAGACGAAGAAGAAGAGAGTACAGTGCCGACATTTGGCCAACAAAAGAACACTGATCCATCTGTGGATATGCGAAAGCACGTGCTGGACCAACACTTCAACGTACAGGCAGCGGCATAGATTGTTCTTGAGGACTCGAGATAGCTTGGGTCAACGATCATCATTATAGCATGACAGCATTTTCAACTTCTTTTTATTTCTACTGAGATGTATCGAAATACAGACTGACACGTGCACATTCGTATAGTTGGTCGCGAATCGTTAAATAAACAATTTCAAAAATGGCACGACCGCATAGTATCGCTCATACACTATCTGAAATTTGAGAAGTACACCTTCACACTGTAATAGCATTAGCCACCAGCAACTGTATACTATGAAGAAAAAGACGAAGAATGGACAACAGAAGACGAAACTGAAGAAGAAATCGAAAGAAGAAGAGTCATCGTTGTCGGGTGACAAAGCCACACATGGATACGAACGCTTGATGCCATTGGGATATTTGGTAGTAGCAGTTTTGGCAATATGGTTGGCCCAGCAAAGGCAGTCGGCATCAATCCCAAAGGAAACGAAGGGTGCCACCATTTCGCAGCTGGGGCGACTATTCCGGAGGCATTGCCGGAAACCACATGAATACTGCTTAGACACTGTCCAAGTCGATGACAGAGCTCTAAAAGTCAACCAAGGTAAAGTCGTTGCATCTATGTCAAATGATCCATTAGATTATCCAGCACTAACCTCTCGCCTATTTTGTATTGTACAGCGACAAATGCCAACACCCACATAATCACAATATCTCGAAGTTCTCAGATTTGGGATATTGATGCCCTCCGGTCTCCGCTCATTCAAAATCTGAATCTCCTTTCCGCAAGGCACAATGATACTTCAAATCAACCGCTCAACAACATTGCCTACCTTGCTGCATACCTTGCGCTGAGAAATAAAGATGACGCATATTTGCAGTATCTTCCAACTCATACGGACTTTGCAGAGTTTCATCCAGTAGCAATGGAGGAAGACTACCTGAAAGAACGGCTTGGCGGTGAACAGTCTCATGCCTACCTGCTGATTATGCTGATCAAACGAAAGATTCAATCCGAATACAAGGCATTTTGCTCTGCCTCCACAGAATTCCAAGAGCGTGTGTCACAAGACACGTATACGGAAAGCCGAATCAACGTCATGTCTCGATCGTTCCATCTTTCACAGACCAATGTTGAGTTGACGACACATGAACAGTATGCCTTTCAGCATCTCGATACCGTAAATTCGTATTCCATGGTCCCACTATTGGATGCGTTGGATCATCAAAATCCCGGTAACAATATCGCATGGGGTCGCATGACACCAGAAGGGGACATTGGTATCCGGACTACCGAACGATTGAAACCGGGTCAGGTCCTTTACAATAAATACAGTTCCACCGAGTCACAAGACTACATGTTTGCCATTTATGGCTTTTTGATCGGCAATGAACCAGTATCGCAAAGTATCGATGCGTATCATCGGACTGTCGAACCAATGATCGAGAGTCCTGCTGGTTGGCAGAAGCGTCAACTGTTACAGTACTTGGCACATGACGATGGATATTCAGAGTGCATCGAATCCTCGACTCGGCATCCCACGGAATACGCATTCAAACGTTTGAAACTGCTAGTTCTGGAAATGATTGCCAATAATCCAAAATATTGGGTTGTCCGATTGCCCAGTCGTCGAAACCATCCTCCAGCGTTTGATTCGAACCCTACCGATCAAGACTTTGGACCGATCCTACAAACATGTCGCTTGCTAGCCATGACGCATCGAGACTACCAAGGAGACGCACATCAAATACTACGAAACGCACTGTCTCAAGGAAACCTGGACATCATCACGTTGCAGCAGAGAAATGATGATGATGATGTCATGATTGATCTGGAGATTCGAGCTTGGACGTGGATGCTTCGATTGGCTCGACACAAGCGCAACCAGTACGACATGGGCTTGACGGAAATGACAGAACGGATATCGAGTATGGAGGTCATGAGCAGAGACTGGACGGTTGCACAGATTCAGTTTGGAGAGATCCAGTCGCTCGAGTATATCATGGACCATGCCTATGGTGCAATACAAAGGCTCCGACGAAATCTTAAAAAGGGAGACGATGGGGATTCATCCCTGATGATTCGAGAGGATGCTTGTCCATTTTCAACCGTTCTTCCATTGCTAGCATAATCATAAACTTGAAATAGTATGACCTTATATTGTTTCGTATGAATGAAGCTACTGGACTTCAAAAAACAATCTCAATGCTTATTTTTAAGTCCCATCATTAGCAATACGAGCGGCATACTTTTCCAATCCTTGGTACCATTCCTTTTCTCCCAAACCTCTTGGAGTTCGGACCGTCACGGGACCCACATCGGAATCCTCTTCTTTGCAGCCACGTTCGACCATGCCACAATGATCCCCCCAATTGCAGTCGTCAAAAAAGAGCATTCGATCGTATCTCACACCAGTCAGTTTGCGCAAAAATGGAAAATGCGTGGCCGCTTTGTTGCTGGAGAGAGGTGGTTGACGACCAATTTGATTGACGTCCTGGCCATTCCAATCTCGCATGCACAAATCCCAGACCGTCACTCCAGGGACCACCTCGAGCATTTGCAACGAGGCTCTGCCGACCTTTTCGGCAAAGGGCGTATCTGCGGACGAAGCCATGGCAATCTTCATTCCGGGATATTTCTTGTCGTGGTGTTCCTGCAAGCTCAGCAAGGATCCTTGGTGCAAGGAAATCTGGTCACGGCCACTCATGACGCCAATGACTCCTTCTCCTCTTCCATTCAGATCCCCCATGATTTTCTTGGATGGCAAGGAACTCATGGTATACATTTCTTGGTCCCAAAGACAGGCATCCATGTCATAGACGACCAGTTCGGGATACGACGTGGGAGTTGACATTTTCAAGGCCGAGATATTGTTATTGTTCTTATTATGGGGTGTTGTTGTTGTTTGTGAGTTGTTGTTGGCCAATTGATGAGAGCGATGAAACGCCGTAATGGGTATCGCCAGGAAGGAAGTAGTGACAATTGCAGTAGCAGAGCGTAGCAACAATGTTCTCATGCTAAGCTAGTTACCAAACTAGACTGTTTTTCATGTATTGTGTACAGTCCTGTGCTGACGATGACGTTTGACATCTGTTGTGATTTGATGGAGGTGCGATTGTTGACTAAACCGATTCAGGAATTTTCGTATTTTCTTTCTTGATAACACTGTACTATAACAACAAGCAACAATGAATGGCGATAGCCCCGACAATCCTTGTCCTAGCAGATATCCTTTCGTATTGGTGCTAATATCAAAATTGAGACTATATGACCGTCTACTGTGGGATGGACGGGAAGAAGAAGTGCTGAAAGCTCAATGAATGGTGATACTAGTAGTTCACAGCCTTTAGTAGCTACTACTACACACTACAATAATACATGTAATCGCCTCATCAGCATCAGCAAGATGCAACCATCTCCAAATGACATGCAAACGACGATAGTGCATGAACACAACAGGATATGAATTGGCAATGTCCGACTCAAATGACTCCAAGAGAGCCATCCAATAAAATAATAATAATCCTGCTCGCACAATAATCATCATCGTATATTATCCCGTCATCATCATCACATTCGCGGTAGTGTACTCATCAATCAATGTAATGGGATCTGGAAATCATAGCAAGAAGAAGAAAATAGCAGGAAAGAAGGATGATAAGACCCCAACACAGTTGAGAAACGCCAGAAAACGTCGAAAGACAAAATTGACAAAGCAATCATCAGCTCATCGTCTTGTTTCTTCGTCATCCTCTACTTCCGGCGGTGACGATGATCCTTCCCTTCGGTACTTGTCCAATCCTACGGCAGCACCCATCATTCAACAGGCGACATCTTTCTTCCAAGAGCAAGGTCACGCATTTGAAGTCAAGGTAGGGCCTACATCAGGCTGGAGAACAGTGTCCAAATTGGCAGTGCGGTCCCAATCCGGTGTCCTGTGCCTTGGACTGTTCGCCCCTGGCAGTCATCAGCTATTGGAAATACCAAATTGTCAAGCGCATCATCCTCGGATAAACTCTGCCATTCAAGTGCTTCAGAAGCAATGTCGAAAGTGTGACATCAAGCCATATGATGAGCAAACTGGAACCGGCAGTCTCAAGTATGTGGCCATTAATATCGAACGATCGACTGGGAATCAACAAGTATCGTTGGTTTGGAACAAGAATGCCAACGGCAACAGCAACGATGAAAAAGAAAAAGAAAAAGAAGATTCCAAACTGCAAAAGCTTTGCGAGGCACTCATCAAGGTATCCAAGAACAATGATGATAGACTAGTATTGCATTCCTTATGGGTTCACTACAGCAATCTGAACAAATATGCGAACAGTATCTTTGATCGAGACGGACAATGGGAGCTAAAGTATGGCGACAACATGGTGGTCGAATATCTTGATATAAACGGCGCACCCAAAGCTCCCTTGCACTTTCCTCCTCAAGTCTTTCGGCAGGCCAACATTGATGCCTTTCGTAAGATTGTCGAAGAAATTCGGAACTACCTCGAAAGAAAAAAAAATAAGAGCAAACCTAAAAGGTGTGTGGAGCTATATGGTGGAGTTGGTACCATTGGTCTACACATTGCGGATTTATGCGAAACCTTTGTATCTTCCGATGAGAACCCCTTTAACAAAACGTGCTTTGAGCAAACCGTGGCAGCAATGATGGACTTGTTACCGGGTGGTACCACCACCACCACCATGATGATGAAAGAAATTCCATACGAATCCAAGAATGCAGTCGACATGACCTACACCCAGGCTTTTCGTGAATCGAATACCATTATTGTGGATCCACCACGAAAGGGTCTTGACACGGAGGTAGCAGACGCGCTGTGTACACAAGACAAACTAAAGACCCTGATCTACGTCAGTTGTGGTTTTGCAGCCTTTACGAGAGATTATGACACTCTGACGACCAAGGGAAAGTGGAAACTGGAGCATGCGGAAGGTCATGTGCTTTTTCCCGGCAGTGATGCTATTGAAACATTAGCATTCTTTTCTCGATGAGAATGAGAATGCTATTGGTGTTGGCTGGACACTACTGTATGACAAGAACTGAGGGGAGCAGTAGTCATTGCCGGAATGATGAAGGATGGATGGACGGACGGATGAATATAGATCCAAGATGCATGATGTCAGGAATACGTTTGTGCGCATCATCGAAGCAGAGCCGCTACAGTACGAACGCTGCCCACTCAACAAATACCACCACGGGGACAGTATTGTATACTGTACAGTAGTATACAATACTAGCTACCATCACCGACAAGAAGTTCTGCCAAGACTGCGAGAGAATTCGAGAGAGGTGGAAATACCCGCACGATTGATTGATGATTCCGTCAAATTCATTCCCGCGTTATGTTTTTTCAATGGATTGATCGTGCCGGTGGATGAATAATGCACTCATAAAACCATCAACCCAGAATAAAACCATACAACCATCAGCACTACTAGCATGTCCAACCACAAGAAAGAACCAATGACCAAACAAGCCACAAGGAAGACAAAGAATGTCTTTCAACAGATGGCGGGATGTTTCAAAAAGTCGGATCATAAAACCAAGATCAAGTACAACGAACATTTGATCAACAAGCGAAAGCGAGAATTCGGAATCGCTTACATGAATCTCGTTCTCAAGAATGCCAGCGAACAAGTAAGTCACCTTTGGATTGAAAAGATGTTTGTACAGTTGTTCTGCCATTGTTGTTTCTCAAACATCATCTCATCTCATGTCGTATCATTATCCTGTTCTTTTGCCATACCGTTATTACCATTTACATTGATAGGAGCTTCGACTCGAAAAGGAGGGATGTCTAAAAGATATCGATAAATTGGTGAAAGAAATAGAGGAGCTCGAAACAAAAGTGGAGCAAGTGGATGTAGAAACACGATCCAAGATTCATCGGGAGCCATCCACTTCCAATCCCACCATTGAACAAACAGGTGTCTAATAAGCAAGCAGATCCATCCCACTCATGTTTGGTGGAAGATTTAGTTCCATTTGGTGCATCCCTCACTTTGTAAGATAAGATTATAATTCTCCTCGATACTACTATGTACTTCTTAGTTCAATGACCTCAAATGTTTTGAAAGCTATGATATCTATGATCATGAAGCAGCACCAGAATTGAAATACTTCACGATCTTCGCCCAATGAGGACAAGCAGTGAATGAATGAATCAGTCAGCATGATCATCTACAATAACTACTCGTATATTGCACCCTGCATCTCCAGTCAGAATAGTGAAATGGAGACGATAGAGAAAAGGAGAACAATAAAGCATAGCGAATATTTCACGATGCAAAACGGAACCAAATAAACGTGCGATTGACCATGGACCGCATGGCCATATCGTCAATAGGACCATGCTGTATGGCATAATAGAAATCAAGACAATCGTTTCCTTTATCTTTTAGCATTGACATGCAAGACTACTGGAAGACGAATGAGCATGCATCTAGAATGATCTTCCACGACACAATGATGCTTCCGTTTGTTGACACGAGTCATCGATACCACTTTTGATTCATTCATTCCCACCAACAAGCAGCATTCCGAATATAATCATAATCGGTTTTTGTGTTTTTGTGTTCACAAAAAAAAAGAAAGCTCGACAGTCACTGTTCACAAAATCAATCAATCAATCAATCAATCAATCAATCAATCAATCAATCAATCAATCAATCAATCAATCAATCAATCAATCAATCAATCAATCAATCAATCAATCAATCAATCAATCAATCTCAGTCAAAAGAACCAAGAACAATATAAGAATGAGCAATCCTACCACTTCCAGTCAGGAATTCACCACGGTGCCCATTGGCAATGAGGATACCGTGGCTTCTGCCAACAATAATAACAATAATGGTAATAATAATGACAATGACAACAACAACAACAACAACATGTCAAGCAAAGAAAAGGCTCCCAATCGCATGATGCGCACCACCAAGAATGCTTGGCGCAAGGCCGTGGGATGCTGCAAAAAGTCCACCCCTCGCACCAAGATTCGTCTACGAGAACATGAGATTGCCAAGCGCAAGAATGCCTTTGGGATGCAATACATTGATTTGGTCTGCACCCATGCGACAGAAGAGGTACGAACGAAGCAATATACTATTATATTACTATTGTTATATTGTACTCACAAGTCTCCTAACAACAAAATGCCTCTCATCCCTTTTATCTCCATTCATCATTCATTCATTCATTCATTACTACATATATACAGCAACTCCAACAAGCAGTCCAAGCTTGTTTGCAAGACATTGAAGGATTGATGCAAGAAATTATCGACTTGGAAAACAAGATTGAACAAGTCTCGGAAGAAACCAAGTCCAAGATCAAGACCCAACCAACTGGAAGTAGCAGTACAAATAATAATAAGGCCTTGTATGCCAACAGTGGATTGTATTCCGGTGGTGATCCCAGCATTGAAGAAACCGAAGACGAAGACGATGTCAATCATCATCATCATAACAACAACAACAACAACAACAAGAGTCCACCACCCCAAGGAGCCTTTTCCATTACAGAAAACGACGACGACGACAATGCCGATTTGAACAAGGACTCGTGGCTTCCACCACCACCATCCTCTCTACCTCCAGCAGTTCCGGTGGAAGACAAACCCTCAGCATCTGCCTACTAATACTTCAAAGTAAAAAGTGTTGTTTGATTTTGTCGCAATGTGTAGCTACTTCCAAATTGTTGTGGTATAATAGACACTTTCATCTACTGTGCCATGCTTGCTGTTGGTACACTATTATTATTATTATGATTCAAGAGGTATCACATAAAGTTGCATTAGTTTAGTGGTTACAAAAAGAGACAACATGCTATGATATCTTTTTTTTTTCTTCCTTTTTTTTCTTCTTCTACAAGTGTCTCTTTCATCTCGTTTGTTATTCTCTAATCATACCGGTTACCTTGCTCTACAATCCAAAAAGGGCAAAGCAAGGTAAGTATGCTTTGGTTTGTTTTTGTTTCGTTTCGTTAGATTCTTCTTTTTGTCCTTTTTCTGCTCTAATTTTCTCCACTTCCATTTCCCGTAATGGCCTTGGCCTTGTTTACCAGCGGAATGATAATGGCACAAGCAATGGCTATGCAGACCAATGCCAACAAAATGGTCATTTTAAGATTCTTCCATCGCATTTGCTTCTTGAGGTCCGTGGACCGCTTCTTAAAGACGGATGCCTGCTCGTTGAGTTGATTGGATTTTTCATTCAAGGATTCGGCCTTTTCGGTATTCTTGAGCATATTGGCAATGTTGGATTGCATTTGTCCCTTGACGGCATCGACTTGTCCTAGAACCTTGGCAGTCTTGTCCACCTTGCTGGGGTCTTCGTACTTGGAACTGACGGCCTTCATGATGGCCTTGGACTTCTTGGAGAGGCTGTTGGCAGCAGCGGACTTGGTGTCTTTGCCAAACTTGGCCATGAAATCCGTGTACAGTTCGTTGAGGCATCCAATGGCAACTCGAGATTGGTATGCGTTGCCAGTAATGACGGCGCAGCCTGTGACGGTAGGTATTGGAATGTGAGCATCATCATTATTATTCTAATAATAAGCAATAACACTCAATAACTATAATAACACTCAATAACACTCAATACAAATGACCCATTGACTGAATGACTGACTTACATACTCCATCCTTATCACATCCATAAGTCACTTGGTGCTCATCCGATTGAACCACCTTGAAGCCACCGATCTTGTTGCTCTCGGAGATTCCGGCAGGTGGGTCGTTGGAGATAATTCCCTGGACGGCCTCGGCAAAGGCATCGTCGCGACCGGACGCGGCACCTCCGGAAGCCTCGTAGGTGTGGTCGTACTTGGCCAGACAGATGGCTTTGCCGGCCTTTTCAAGTCGGTAGACGAGGACGCAACGAAGAGACGATTCGGACATTGTGTATTATTATTGAAGGGAGGTAAAGTTGGTTGGTTGGTAGAGGTTGGTTGGTTGGTAGAAGGTATACAAGATGACCTGAAAGAGAACAAGGACGCTGCTTGGATCTTTTGGGTTCCGTTCCAGCAACAGGCGCAACAGACGTGGGACTTGGGGAGGTTCACGTAGACCACTAGCTACTGTAGCCGTTGAAAAACTACGAAGAAAAGGATTCGAACCGTTAGAGCGCACCTCCTGATTTGGTCTCGTAGGATTCTACTCGCATTACACTACCATGGTCTTTTGCTGGTATTTTCCGTTATCCACGGAGTCATTGTGGATTGTGGAAGCAATCAATAATCGGACACACACCAAGGACGAACATTGATGTTGGTGCTTCTTATCATTAGTAAAATTAGTAGTATAATATCTACAAGTCAATGTTCGGGCTGGGCCGTTGCCGAAAAGGCAATCGATGGTGGTCTTGGCGATCCAACGTTCCATAGGTATTGCAAGACAGATGGAATGACAACATGGGAACCGCTGATCAATCGTTGATCTGCTTGTTCGATCATCGTCATTATTATGGCAATGTCGCCAGATGCTGCCTTTTTGGCCTTCCACAAGGCTAGTTCCAATATTGTCAGTGATTCTTCTTCTTCGTAACGTTTCATTTCTTGGAAGAGTCGAAAGATACTTGATCTCAATGCTGCTAGATTGTCATAATAGTAGTAGGCTGCTCCTGCTCTTGTAGTGTTGTTGTTATTGTGGTTGTGGTTCTGGTTGTGGTTGTTCAAATTCAAATCCAACTCCTCCACCAATCGTTGCATGGGAGCAATTTGCTGTCTCGCGAGTCCCCAACCGTCCCTTATGCGCTCCATGATGGTCGCTTGTATCACCATTTGCAAAAAGGAAATCACCTTTGGTGTTACATTATTCAACAAGTAATCCATCATGGTAGTATGATTGCCAGCACCAATGATACCAGCCGAAAGCCACGACAAAGGATATCGGCGTAAGAGGGCTCGAAAAATATCATGCCGGAGTTCAGGAGTAGCAATCAACATGTGAAAGGGGGTAATGTCAATGGATGTAATGTGCAGCGGACATCTCTGTGCTATCAAACGGCAAAAGTCTTGCATGGTCACGCCGCGGGAAAAGTACACGGCATGGTTGGTAGGAATGATTTTGGTGGCATCCATCCAACAACCATCATCTTTCAATTGGGGACATCCAGCAAAAGTGGTCGCAGGAAAATCCGTAATGGTACCTTGAAAGGATATGCTGTAAATACCCTTGCACCGTTGAAAGACGTATTGTCCAAATTTCACTCTGGCATTTTTGGTGACTTCCACGCCCAACATGTTGAAACAGTCTCGAAAGGCCCCATCTCCAATTCGAATCAAGGAAGACGGCAAGAATATGGCTCGTAGAGACCGGCAATTCGCAAAGGCCCAATTGGAAATTTCCTTCAATCCTTCTTGCAATTCCACTTCTCCCAGCATGTAACAATGCTGACAGGCGCATGTTCCAATATTGGTCACAGTCCTTGGCACGGTAAGCGTCCGCAAACCAGAATCGTAAAAGGCTTCGCTGCCAATGGTTTCGAGTTGCGTTTGCAAAAGGTCAATTTTCCGCAAAGCAGTACATCCCTTGAAGGCCCCTCGACCAATCCTTTTTAAGGTCGTTGGCAGCCAGATCGTTGTCAGTCCTCGACACCACGCAAAGGTGAATTCGCCAATGTACTCCATCATGGTCGAATGAAGAAGGTTCACTTGGACCAACATGTGACATAGTTCAAAGGCTGACTTGCCAATCGTCCTCACGGTGGAAGGAATTTTCACCGTTGTCAAACTAGAACAACACGAAAAGGCTCGATCTCCAATCTGCATCAAACCCTCTTCATCATCATCTTCATCGTTCTTTTGAAATGTGAGATTGCGCAACGAGGTACAACTGGCAAAGACACAATCGCCAATGCTGGATACCGAAGAGGGTATGGACACATGTTCCAAGGAGGAACAACTGGCAAAGGCGCCTTCTTCGATAGTTAGCAAACCGGCTGGCAATGGAAGGTCCCGGAGTGATTCGCACAACAAAAAGGCATTTTTTCCAATGCTTGTCAACAACACCAACGAAGGAGAAGAAGATGGCAAGGAAAATCCAACTCGTCGCAACGACATGCAGTCTTCAAAAGCGGATTCACCAATTCGTTCCAGGCATGGGGACGACAATTCGACTTCCACCAAATTGACTCGTTGTTCAAAGGAACGATTGGCAATTTCCGAAACGTCATCGTCCAGTTTGACATGAGTGACATTGGAGGGAATCGTTGCAGTTGTCATTCTTGTCCTGATTCTTCCTTGTTCTGCTTCTTTGTTCGAAACGACATCAACTTGATGATCTCTCTTGTAAAGAAAGACGATCCGTTGTCGTTTGGGTTGTCTTGGTGGTGTCGTCATGGTATATATATCACATGAATGAATGAATGAATGAATAATAAATATGAGGAAAGCCTTGTATTGGATTATATGAGAAGCAGCAGTAAAATATATTATTGTGTGTCGAGAAGGTGAGGAATGGAAAATGGAAAATTTAGGATGTGTGAGTGACGAGGAACCATCTCTGACCACGACAAAATGATGACGTCTTATTTATGGGAAGGTTGCGATTCTTCTCTTCAAGAATGTCGCGATTCCGAGATTTCTTCCGAACAGAAAACCCGGATGTGTGGATGATGGATGGCTACCGGTATCACCAGAGCGGTACTATGTACTGTATGGAATTGTAGAAATAGGTACGATAGAATGATAGAATAGTTTAGTATTGTAGATTCTTAGTTTGCTAGTTATTTAGTCAGCAACAACCTGAATGTCATACAGTATGGCACTAGAAAGGTTATAGGACTCATTCTTATAGATTGAGGTACAGTAGACCATCCTCCAATGCTGGACGTGACTCGGTGGAATTATCATCACCACCATCATCATCATCCCTAAGATGCCAGAGATATCCAAGAACTTGAGCAATCACAAAATCGGATCCACAGCTCCATCGACAGTCTACCCGACTCATCATCTCAGAGGACTTGATTTTCATCTTCCACAATGAAAGTTCCATTAATGACGTCACTTCTTTCCGTCCAAAGATTGCCAGTCGCCTTTTCATTTCATCGAAGGAAGCACGTCTTTGCTGTAGCATTTCATCCCAATCCATAGTTGACGACGCAGACGACAAGTCAGATTCTTCAGCAGTTGTAGTAGCATTAGCATGCAGCCTGTGTTCAACCGCCAATACTTCGTTCCTGCCATAGGATTCCACCAATGACGAAATGTCATTTCTCCAATCCAAACGACCCCAATCGCCCATTCCAATCTTGAGCAGCCGTCGAACTACCATTTGAAAGACTGGAATCGACTTGGCAGACTTGTACAGTAGCAAATAATCCAACATGGTCTTGTCGTTTCGATCCTTTTGCAGAATTACATTCAATGGATAACGATCCATCAGCGTTTGCAAAAAGAATTCGACGGTCGTGTCATTTTGCAGATTGGGAGATGTTGCCAAAATGTGGTAGGCGGTCATACCCCAACGATCCACCGCATTGTACTTGTCGGCGTCGTATCCATCCACAAAGGCTTCAAACTCTTGTAATTTCGTGGTCGATGCAGCAGCATGATAGCACATGTTGTGAAGTGGCAGTTTGTAATATCGATCAATCAGAGCTTCGGGAAAGTCACAGGATGGGTAACACATTTTTTGGAGAGAAGAGCACATGACAAAGCACTTCTCTGTACCCAATGGCATTTGCATTGGAATGGACACATTGACCAACTGGTGACATCCTTGAAAGACATTTCGTAAAAATTGGATTCTTGTATTTTTGTTCTCATGATGTTTGGTCGTGGAAGGTATTTCGACTGCCAATAGACTAGTGCAATTTGCAAAGGCTTGGTATCCGACAGTACCAGTTGACTCTGGAAATGAAACAGCACATAACGACCGACAGCCCTCAAATGCCTTGGTATCAATATCCAATGTAGTGCTAGTAATACTTTCATCCTGCTGCGGTAATTTGACTTTTGACAATGCCAGGCACTGACGGAAGGCGTACTTGCCAATGTGTGTGACGGTGCAAGGCAGGGAGACGCTTTCCAAAGCCGGGCACTTTTCAAAGGCACTCGTGCAAATACTTTCCAGGCCATTCTTTGGAAAGACGACTTCCATCAATCGTTCACAGAATTGAAAGCTATTCGGACCAATCGTTTCGACAGATTTGTAGATTGCGACATGCCTAATTGTTTTCTTTTCCACTTCGTCAGGTGGTTCATCATGGTAGACAAAAGAGAGTGCTTCTGACATTTGTTCACATATAATACTGTAGGTTCAGAAACTATAACAGACGCTGGTATCGCACCATTATTGGAAAGCTCAGAAACAACAAATATAATAAGATACATGAATTCTGCAGAATTCATAGATCCATGGACCTGAATTCAGAATGTGATTGACGAACGATGACGAACGACGGTGATGTGAAGTCGACATCGTCGGATCCGAAAGATTTGAAGGGTCATTCTGGTCGAACGCGATACACGTCTCAACGGATTTACTTAACGTTCAAATATTGTGCTGTTATGTATTTTGGTCATCTTCCATTCCATCGAATATTCCACACATAAAACTCGGACACGTGATGTCCGAAAATCGATCTTCTGCCTCTGCCTGCAATCTTATTCGCTTTCGCTTGCATCTACTACTTGTGCCCATGCTGTAGCAACACGCACCCCGCACCCCCCACTTTACATCAACAGTAGTATATTGTCCCTAACAGTTCAACTTCAATATTACATGTTTCAATGATGTCATCCGATTCCGTAGCAAGCGACACCGTTCGAAAAAGGGATAGAATGACCAAACGAATCCGTCGTCGACTCTCCATCGCGTCATCGTCCTCCGTGACCAATAATGCCCCCAATAGGCGAGATCACAGCAATAAAAATGAGTATGGGGATACAGTGCCAGAAAACAACTCTGAAGGAAGGGGATTCATGAGTACCATGTTTGGTTCAGGAAGCATTGATGAATCCGAATCGGTGGATGTCGAAGAAATCAGCGTGGCCCGAAATCAATCCCGAAGTGATAGCTTGAGAAGGAGACGCAAATTCCCATCGCCCATTCCCGATTTGGGAGACGACAATAAGGGATTTTTGAGAAAGCTGGCAACGGTTCCCCTCAAAACGACAGCCTCGTATTTGGATACTGTGGGATTCAATACACACAGAGGAGATAAATCATCAGCAGAACAGGCACCACAGTTGAATCAAAAGGTGGCTGTATCGGATATTGAAAAGTTGGCACAAAAAGTGAGTCACTGATTTTATGACATTATGATTATGAGTTTGGTGGTGAATGGCACGCTTCATGTTTGTCGGTGATGCTGACCTTTCTACTTTTTTCTCTCCCTCTATATTAAATTGTTGTTGATGTCTTAAAATTACACAATATAGTCTGGCAAAAATTCCGCCCAAGAGCGATTTCGAGTCAAGCCAGATTATGCCTACCCTCGAGTCAAATTCAATCGAGAAGAATTGAGAAAGGAAGCCAATAAAAAGTCGAGTTACTTTCATGATTTGCGAGGGCAACCACAAAATCCTGCCTTGTTGGGAAGCTTTTATTTGGAGATTCTTCAGTGCTTTGGAATTCCGAGATTTGGGGACAACATCTTGAGGGTATGTTCATATTCTTGTTGTTGCTGTTGCGGACGGAATGATTGAATGGATTCATTCTCAGCTAACATCACGATTTCCATATTATCTATTTGATTCATTCGTCGGATAGGAAACATCGGCATTCTGTTTGGCCGTGTGTGGAAGCAGTGCCTTTCAGACAGATGTCATGCCACCCGTGGCTAATCCCATGTGGCTTTCCAAAATGCGTCGGGCTTGTATATTTCCACTCTATGAAGGGTATGCTACTGTTTATGTGGGATGCTTTGCTCATCAAAATGTCAAGGATTTATTCATTGGACGGATCGCTGTTGATGTGGCCAAACTACGACAGGGATGTACCTATGACATTACACTGCCGCTACGGAAATCGGGAGTGATATATTCTAAAGAGCAACGGGGTGCCATGCGAGTACGATTCCACTTGGATTGGAAGAATGAACGAAAGGTACTATTGAGTTATTTGCCAAAGGAAAAACCTTCCTTTCGACCGTTGGATCGGGTCACTGTCAAGTGTGTCGACAACAAGGCATTTCAGAACGTGGCCAGAGTGGTGCACGGACAAGACATACCATTAAAGTTTTCCATGAAGCTGGTGAAAGCAACGATGCGGGAACTTGATTTTGTCCAAATCCATCTTTTGCGGTATACCAAGAAGCGTACGATACGGAATCTGAGAAGATGGGAAACTCCACTGATATCCTGCTTTGTGTTTTGTGCCTGGATGCATGCTACCTATCATGCAACACTGAGATATGTTCCCGGGCATATCATCACCTTCGTAATGCTACATTTGGCCAAGAATTATACCCAATTTGTGTTGGATGGGAACTACGACAATGGATTCACGTCACCGACCTGGGAAGAAATGGTCATGGCGTTGGCCATGGGAGATGACAACCGAAAGATTATTGAGCCATTGGAGATGGAACGAAAGGACCCCAATAAAGTTCAGAGTGCCATGACCTTATTGGATGACGACCACGACAATGGACAGGAAGTCCCATTACAGACGATTGCAAGTGCTCTCCGAGAAGGAGTGAAATCTCACGAGCATAAGACTCTCTTTGGGAACCTGGTCACCACCTTTGTTGGAACGGACGCTGTCGACTTCTTGGTGGAAAACGAGTACGCTTCCACACGTCAAGAGGCAGTCGCGCTTGGGGTCCAGCTGGAGAAGCACTGCCGAATTTTTGAACACAAAAAACGGAAGTTCCCATTCAAAGACGCCGACTTGACATATGTGTTTTTAAACTTCGATACAAGTGAGTATGCGTTCAAGACTCACAAGCCTTGGTTCAAGAGATGGATGCGAATATTGGGGTTCAAACGTGTCAACATTACACCAGAAGAAGCGCACATGGAGATGCCGTTTGCGACAGGGAAAGACCACCCACGCTTAACTGTCAAGGATTCACTAGTGATTCGATCGAAAGAGTCTCGTTCGATGCTTCAGAAGGAAAATGAAATGGGTGACGAAGACGACATCCATGATTTTGGTATCACAAAATATCGCAAGACAGTTGAAACTGCAAATCGAATCCCTGGCAGTCAACTTCCGGGCCAGATTACAAATCAAGTGTTGAGTGGTATCGCTGGCACCCCCAAAGCCAAGGCACTGCCCAGACTCTCTATTCTCAATGCCCCCGACGAGGCAGCACTAGCGGCCCAACTAAATGTCGAAACCTATCAAGACCATCGAACTTCAAGTTTAATATTCAGCACCTGGGATACTGAAGACGACGGAACAAGCGTCACGGTGAAACAATTGGGGAAGCCTCCAAATCAAGATATCAACTTTGAAAAAAAGGACGACAAGAAGATTCCAGATGCAATGGCAGAAATCCGTCGCGAAATTCATGACAAAATTGTAAGTCTTTGTTGCGAAGCATTGGGATTCATTGAGACGATACTTGTTCTGATCTTACCGTGTTCTTCTTCTTATTGTGTTTTAACAGGGTAATGTCTTCAACGTTCAGCCTTATAGGCTCTCGTTAGATGGTGCCGAATGGGGAGAAAATTCAACGAAAAAGAACAAGAAGTTGAGGCGATCGCTGACACCTCCCAGGATGACACTTGGGAAGAGTTCAAAATCAAGCGAGACAAGGAGACCCAATTTATACGGGGCATCATCAGCAAAGTCACATAAAACCTCCAAAAGAGCACTCACTAGAATGACCAATCTAACAAAAGTACGAGGAACAAAAAGTCTTGATGTCCATGGACTAGAAAGCCTGGCTCGAAGAAAAGAGGAGTAAGTCAAACATCCAAATGTGTGACATCTGTCTCAAATTTGCGCTCACTTTGTTTTTCTTCTAGATATGACCGGATGCTTCAACTGCTGAAACATTCCCACAGTAACGTGATCATCTCAAAGATTGCTGCAATTCTTGCACCAATGGTAGATGTTGCACAGATGGTTCTCTCTGGTTTCCGATTTTCGTTCAATTTGATGACGTGGAGAGATCCTGTACTGACCTTCTGGTTTGTACTATTTGGATGCGGTCTGATTGTTTTTCTACATCTCTTCCCGTGGCGACTGTGTCTTGGATTAGCTGGCATTGTTTTTGTTGGACCTCAGAATTGGGTCATAAGGATCCGCAAGGAAAAGAAGGAAGGAAAGGAAGTCTTTGACGATGACAAACAGATCACTAAACGGCGACCCGACCGCTCATCTCACCCAACCGAGGATGCACCGTTCTTTTCATCTCTGGCTCCTGACAACCGGGTGATTCGTGACAGTCAGTTTGATACATCGCAGTACAAGGAAATTGCAGTGCCAACAACACCATTGTGCTTCCGCCGATTCTACGATTGGCCACCAGAACCAGAGTATGCCAGAGTCAGCAAATGTGCGCCACCAGAGAATGACCCAACTGCGCAGCAGTTACTTGAAGATGACAGTTTTGAGGTGTATGAAGGAGACTGCGAGTACGATGACGAGTCAGTCGTTTCCGAAAACAGAGGCAAGTATTGGGGAAGACAGGCTCGAAAACTCGCCAAGAAAAGTATACCCAAAAAAGCTCGAAAGATTGCCAAACGAGTCACATCCAAAAAGCTGGAACCAGTTGACGAGCTGGACTCACTGTAACTCTGGTGCCAGAGCTCTCCGTCTTTACAGGCAGACATTGGTTGCAATCTGCAGTAGAAGTGCGATGGAAACCCATTGTGCGTACTTTTAATACAAGGCACTGGGAGGAAAATTAAAGTTATGTTTCTATAGATTGTACAGTTCAGAGTACTTTGTAGTGAGGTATTCGATGAAGTAGTCTGGATTCAATTCTTCCCCGATTTGATCCTTGAGAAGGGCATCAAGAGATTCGTATCTTCGTCCGTGACGGTGAATCTTGTTGGTTAGCCATTCCTTGATCTCTGTGAATTCACCGGACTCGACCTTACTCTCAATGTTAGGGATGTCTTTTGCACAGTAGTGATACAATTGAGCTGCCGTCATGGATCCCAACAGGTATGTAGGGAAGTATCCAAAAGCACCAGCCGACCAATGAACATCTTGCAGACAACCCTTGTCATCAGATAGGACCTCCAAGTTTAGCAGGCTCTTCATGTCCTCGTTCCATCGTGTGGAAATGTCTTCTACGGCAAGCTTTCCGGAGATTACATCCTTTTCAATATTGTATCGCAAAATGACATGAAGAGGGTAGGCCAATTCATCAGCTTCCACACGAATGAAGGATTGGGAAACGGCATTGACGGCTTTGTAAATTTCTTCTGCCGAATAATTGTAGTTTTCAAAGTTCTCCTTTAGGATGGGAGTGGCAAATCTCCAAAAGGGCTTGCTCAGACCAATGTGACGTTCCCAAAAGAGTGACTGAGATTCGTGAGTTCCCATGGTGAAGGAAGAATCAAGAGTGAGAGCCGAAGGGTTCAAGTTTTGCTCGTAAATGGCATGGCCGCCCTCATGAATGCTTCCAGCTAATCCTTGGTACCATTCATCCTCACGGAATCTTGAGGTAATGCGAACATCAGCAGAGCCCATGGACGAAGTAAATGGATGCACTGAGACATCAATTCTACCATTCGAAGAATCAAAGCCAATGGCTTCGACGAGTGTCTGACAGATCTTCTTTTGTTGGTCAATGTCAAAGGTCCCGTTCAAAGGGTCCGTGGATGGCTTGGTTTTGGAATCCATAACCTTGGCAATCAGAGGGACAAGCGCGGATTGGACTTTTTCAAATATTTCATTGATTCGATCTTGTGACATTCCAGTCTCGAACTGATCCAGCATTTGGTCGTACAATCCGTCATCATCGTCACCGCCCTTCTTGGCTTTGGCAATGGCCATGGAAGTTTCAAAGCAGTCCTTCAATGTTGGCGCGAACTTCGAGTAGTCTTTGGCTTCCTTCGCTTCCACCCAGTCTTGATAGGCGGATGCAGATAGTGAGGCAGATTTGGCTGCCAATTCAGCTGGGACCCGCTCGTTTTCCAAGAAGGCCTTGCGTTCAATTTCCAATAGACGAAGGGCATCCTTTTGCTTGTCACTTGACCCGCCAGCGTTCAGCTCCTTTTGAGCTTCATCAATAAGCTTTAGAATTTCAGGATCGGTGCTTTTCTCGTGAACAACTCCAGCCAAGGCCGCCATCTGGGCGCCACGTTGGGGTGCCGCGTTGGAGGGCATAAAGACCAACTGATCGTAACCCAAGACAGCTGAAGCACGCGAAAGTTGTGTGATGGTCTCCAACTTGGCAACGAGTTTCTCGTAGGGGGGAGAGGAAGCTTCTTCCACAGTATCAGCTTTGGCTTCCACAGATGCTGTGCTAGAGTACACGGCAGACGATCCTCCTCTTGGAAGTGTCGTCACAGGAAAAGTTCCTTTGTTAGCCTTAAGAGCATGATGACGTTGGATACCAACCGAAGCCGTTGAAAAGCTGGAAGAAGTCTCCACTAGAGACAGCACTCCAAGAAGCGTCTTTCGTCGTCCAAAGATTCCCATTGTTCTGACAATAATAGGCCCTGATGAGATAATAAATTAAAATAACATGTCGACTCAAGAGTTTGTCATCATCTGTGAGTCAGACATGTTTGTCCGTCAACCGTACATTTCGCTCAGGCCTGAGTAAGGCCTTCTCCATCAACGTCATTCGATGATATTTTGGAGTCAGCTGGATGAGCAAGATCGAAGATCTCGCATCGATGATGATATCTGACATATCTGACGCACTCTTCGCTCATACGAGTATACATAATCTTCTTTCCTAAAACCAATAAAGCCGATACATTATGTCTTTCTCTGCACTCCAAGGAGCCACCTTAATCTCGGCCCACTGCGGGCTGACTAAACTGATCATCAGTTTCACGTACCGTACCTACAATTTCTTCGGACCCAAGTTCCTCGGAATCGAAAAAGAACAGATTGACAAGTTTAACGAAAACTTTCATGTCAAGGAGTTCCAAAAAGCCATTGCCAATGAGTCTGAGTTCGCAGCGTTCTTGGCTGGGCCACTCTTCTACTTGGCATTGGCTGGAGTGGAAGCATCACAGGGGGCCACGCTTGCCGTTCTTGGGCAAGTGAGTTATGTCTGGACCAGAACGGCGTTGGGATACCCGTGCATTCCAACTATTGCAACAGCCATTCTCCGATATGCTGGCATGGCCTTGACCTTCGTTGAATTGTGGAAGGTGGCATTCCCTGCGAAAAGCATCAAGTAAGCAAGGGTGCTTCTTTTCAAAGCCGGCGGGATTTTAGCATGGCTTAGCGGTATGTAACATAACATTTTGAGTCAGTCAGGCAAGCAATCGATTGTCGTATCAATCCGTATCCACTGTAGCATCAATGTGAGAGCAGGGCTGTTCAGTATCCAAAAAAGTCTAATATTAGTATCATTAACCATCCCTGGCAATTTGTGCTGCTTCCTCTTCGAGTTCTGATAAAGCGGCCCAAACATCCTCGACGGATCCAAATGCCCCATCTTCTGGATTCACTTCTTCTTGAGACTCCTCGGCTTCCTTCTGCGCTTCAATTTCAGCTTCTTTCACTTCTGCTTTCTTCGCAACCCAGTCATTGAACAAACTGTCTTCTTCCCCTTTAAGCTTATCATATGACTCAGGATTTTTCTTCTTGGCCGCCCTAGTCTTTGAGCGCGCCTTGTTCCACTTTTCTCGCAGTTCATCAGCCTCGGTCTGGGTACGTTTCAGTTTCTCCGCAGCAACTTTCTTCTTTGGCTTTTTCTTTTTTGCTGGACTACTGCTGAGCTTCCGACTGGACGCGGCTTTCGACGCTGCCGTAAGCTTGTCTTGTCGCTCTTTTTCCTTTGCTTCTTGGGCAAGTTCCCGCCTGCGTCTTCGAGCAGCTTCTTTCTCAAGCATCCATGCCTCTTTTTCAGCTTCGCTCTTTTGACGCTGCCGTTCTGTTTCTTTCGCAATCAATTCATCTTGCTTTTCGTACATCTTATCCATTTGTTGCTCCTTCTCTTTGAGAATTTTGTAGAACAACTCCAAGAATGCCTTTTCGTCTTCCTTGGCACTGTCCTTGCCAAACTTCTTCTCGTATATATCATGGGCCTCCTCTAGTGCTTCCTCTCGTGTAGAGTCAATGAGTGTGTCCTTTTGTCGGTGCAAATCGTCCAAGTAGGAATCACTCGCCTGTGACGACACGTTTGTTTCGTGGTCACTGTAGTCCAGCTCGAGCTCATTCGACATTCCCAGTGACTTCAACTGTTCCATCAATTCTTCCGAATTTTCATCGTCACTTTCACCGACTACCACCTTGACCTCATTGTCACTTTGCTCTTCACCAGTATCCGTGTCCAATGTTTTGCTCTTCATGAGCGGTCGCGACAATGACCTCCCAAGGTCAATGCAATTCCACCAAAACTTGCTTTGCCGCAGGCAATAAAATATCATCGAATGATCGTCATTGACTGACTCGAGCAGTCGAATCCAATCGTCTGCAGTGGAATGCTTTTGTAGGAACAAATGGCGCCCAGCCGAGTTGAGTTGTTCGAAATACTGCAAGGTATCCATTTCCTGGTCCGTGGAAGTGGATATCGAAATGCTGGTGAGAGTCGTATTGTGTTTCTCTAGCACGTGCCGCATCAGGCTAATACAGGCCGGACTGAGCTGGCTCGTCTTTTGAAATGCCTGAAATGTCCGGATGGTAGTGTTGGGTGTGTCAAGGAGCATTCTAATAATCATTTCAACACCAAGCTCTGTGTTGAAGTTCTCATTCAAGATAAGTTCTTGTAGTGTGGGTGGCTTCTTGGATAGTTCTTGCGCAATTGCCATAAAATGTTCATCCCCTAATCCCAGGTTTGACAGATTGAATCGTTTCAGCGATAATGACTGGCACAAGCTTCGCAAAGAATCGGTTGAGATGAGCGGCTTTCCTTTAGTGTTTTGTTCGGAATCACGGCAGCTAATCTCAAAGGTTTCCAAAAATTCAAGATCTGGAACCGCCTCCAGCAAGGGATCGAGAATAGGTTTCTGCGATCCGAGTGCAAATCTCCCCAGAGATGCCATGGCATTTAGTCGCACTCTAATGTTCAGCAAGGAAATCCGTTTCAGACTTAGTCCATTTTGCTTCAGAGTAGCTGCAAGTATGTCGCAATCTTGTAGACTGTTAATTTCCAAGCCAGAATGCACTTTTAACTCTTGTAGTCCAGGATTAATGGCCAGCGGCAACAATCTGCCGGGAATTGCAGTCTTCTGAAGTGACAGGTAGACACCCTGAAGCGACCACATCTCACTTATTTTCGATAGGATGGCCTCCAACCTCTTTTCTGTTGGTCTCGTGTTCTGAGTATCGAGAAATTCTTCTGTTATGCATAACGAATCCAGTGATCTTCCTTCATCAAGGGCTTTCTCAAAATCCTTGTGGCTGAAGTCGAATTCAATAGAGTAGTCTCGCTGAGCCATCTTGAGGACGATTTAGAGCCACTTTGGAACGGAATGCTTGGTGAATTCAATTTGAATCTGATATAAGAGTAGCGTATGTAACGAGGTGGAAGAGGAAGCCAATAACTCAAGTCATCACCACAGGGTCTTATCAGCATTGAGATTTTTCTTGATATGTCTCTTGAATTTGTGCCTAACTAAGCTCCGTCCGTTGAAGTCCCTATAAAACTGCAAGAGTATTTTATAGCATACATGATGGTTGGTGTACTATTGCGAAAACCGACACACTATAGCAAAAGCATATTAGAATTATCTATCCTGCTTCATCATGTTATTGCTCGTTGTATGCTTTTTGATCAACGTAGTCTTCGCATAGCTCTTTTGCGTCTCTCCATGTCCCACAGAAATCACTAGGCATGTATTCTTCATAGCCTTCCGTAAGGTATCCCCCTAGTTTCGCCTCTTTGATTAGATACACGATCCTAGAAAAGCTAAAAGGTAGTGACTTTTTGAGGACTCTCCATACAGTAACAAAGTCTTTCGGAGCATCAGTGATTAGAACCGCCTTGACCTTGGTTGGAACAAATTTTCCTTGCAACGCTTGCAGGAATCGGTTCCATACACCTGGACCGAAGTTTTCAGTACTCCATCCATTCATGTTGATGACCATCGCAACACCATCTCGACAATCGGCTTCAGATTTGCTGCAGTCGTTCAGAGTATAGCAAATACTCTTTATCATCAACTCTTCATTTTCAGGCGAAGGCTGATATTGAGACGGGCGCATGTAGATGACCCTCGAATTATGTTTTCTTGTTCTAAGCTTTGGTAGGGCGAGGAGCAGGCTGGATGCAAACTGCTCTGCAAGTTCTTCGTGCATGCGAAGATGCAAATACTTGTTGTCAGCACTTTTCTCAATAGAAGCCTTGGCATCCTCACAGTCAAAGTCGTGGAATATGGCAATGCGGAAAATCAGTTCCGAAGAAATATGGTATCTGTTTTCGGAGCAAAACGCTTTGAGCTTGTCCAGGCAAGTATCTTCGTCCTCCCAGTTCCCCATATCCGACATCAGACTTCGTGAGGATGATGACAGCAACGAAAACGCCGACGATGAGAGCGTCGAATCTTGCTTGAACAGCATCATTTTCTGGGATCTCAACCTCTGGGATCTTGTTTTGGGCAAGAGGGGTCGTAGTGCACATATGTAACTATCTTCCATCTCTTGATCGAAAGTGTTGGGCATCGTGGCTATAGCATAAAAGGTGGTGAAATTACTGTGGTTTGCAACAATCGAGCGAAATAAGATGGATACCGGTTTGCATGCGTGGTAAAGAAGCGACAGTGTGTGAGAGACTTAACGGATTGTGTAATGTGCCTCCGCGTTCACGGGGTTTCTCGCCATTTTCCATAAGTAGATACGCGAGAGAAACTATCCCTCGAGACTTGCGTTCTAAGAGATGAACATCGAAATGTCTTTCTTGAGTCACCCAATTGGAGAAAAGGGACAGAAACGCTGCTCCACCAACAATAAAGCCATTGCCAAATGAGCAGTTGGTACCGGTAAGTAGAATGGCAACGGTCATGTGTCTTGGCATACCGGCACCGGCACCGGCATGTTATACCACCTTGCTATTAGTCATAGGAATGTATAAAATGGAATCATTTAAAAACTGGTTTCATGCTAGTACTTCTAGATCATCCAAGAGCATCCACCAACTGCCGGTATGATACGGCTGCTACAAAAGTCACGCCACATAAATATTTTTGTTTCACAATGATACTGAGTGCAGTATTGATCGGACGAACATGGTGCATCCTTTCTATTCCCCGATGCCCCCGATGCTGCTGCATCATCATCATGCAAAACTTCTTCCTTACACCACCATTTGAGCGTCTTTGTTTGTATCCATCCTTCTCATGATAATAACAAATCGACGGGCACAGACAGAGGAATGAAGCTGAGGTAGGCGAAGCAGGGCGAAGCTTAAAAATTGGAAGCATACAGTATAAAAGCTAAAGCTACAGTAAAGTAGTACACTACTGTACCAGTAGCCGCTATAGCTGGTATGGTGAACTCCTGATAACGGACTTCTTCGACTCCACCGATACAAGACGACCAAGTCGATCATATATTCTGTAACACTACAGTAAAGTACTGCTTTGCAATAACGACAATGACCCCCAAATGACAAACTTCCGCTCCCATATATCTCCTGTACACCGCCAATTTTGAATTGACTATTGTCCATTTGCTTCCAAGCGCCACTCGCAGCGAACTGCATACCTTCTTACTTTGAACTTACGTCTATATCATTGATACAATCAATCACTGAATCCCACGCACTTCGATACAAACAAGATGGAGTTTGAAGACTGGGATTCGTTCATGGAACCTCAGCATTTTAGCTTTGGTGAATCATCCGTCAGGGTTGGAGAAATTAGTTCTCGTGGTGAAGCAAAATCTGCTTCCTTTGTGGCGAATGTTGCTACCGTAGTCCTTTCCTCGGCAGCAAAGGCCGCCATTCCTGCCGCAGCCGTGTTGTGGGCTTATCAGAACGTTTCAGACTCTACCAGTCTTTGTCATTACAAGGGATGCTGTCACTGCGAATCGGTTCAGTTTGAATTTCAAGCACCCCGCCGACTCAAGATTGAAACGGGTCAAAAGCAAAGTCGCTACAATGACGTCATGCATCGCTTCACGAAAGTCAAGGTTGCTAATTTTGAAATAACGAACGGTCAAGAGCAACTGAATACGTTTCAGGTAGAGGCAGCAGCTACCGTGGCATCCTCTGCTTCTTCGGCTGTCTCCATGGGAACAGCTCGATCGTCTCCTGTTGCTGATGATCAAGGGGCCCGTGCCTTTTGCCGTCGCTGCGGGGTTCACATCCTTCATGCACCCAGCAAGGATTCCAAGTTCATGAAGATCAATATTACTTGCGTTTCGGATCCTGCTACTGTATCATCTGGCACGTCGTCATCTCAAGCCGTTGCCAAATCGGCATTGACATTTGCGACTCAAACTGCGGAAACGGTCAAGGGTGTTGCCTTTGAAGCCGCTCTTTGGATGACTCGCATAGCGAAAGACTTACTTCAGGGTGGTGATGCGTACAAGTCACATCCGATAGTGCAATCGTTGTTGGGGGTAGGGAATGCCATTCTACAAATCATTCACCCTTATGCACTCGGATCGGAATATCACAAAGGTGGTGGTGACGGAAGTGGTAATCCTGCTGCCGCTACCGCCGACAAACAGTCGTCTCTTCTCAAAGCACAAAGGAGCAGAGCCATGTCTTCCATTTCAGACGACTTGTCGTCGGTAGGTTCCTTTTCTGCTGCTGCTGCGGCTAGTAGTCAAGGAACTTCCAGCAGGCATCAGCTCTTTCATGCTGCGGCGACTCCCAAGCAGGCCAATTCTTCTACACCCTCTGTGTCATCGCACATTGATCGCGATGCTACTATTAATCTTTTGCCAAGCCTGCCACAACAATAATAATATGATACGGAAAAGGCGCGCGGGCACAACTCGAAAGAAACAATATCTCTGACGCTTAGAGGTCGTAGTATGGAAAGGTGTGGCTCTTGGTTGGCAACAGCCTGGTTGCCTTTCATGTCATTTCGCAGTTTCTTGGATGGTTGGACTGCTGCCTGGACTTTTTGGTCCGCGTGACGAAATTTGTTTGCAGTCCTATTGCGTACCTACTACGAAGAAGGATCGAGTCTATTACTGCATAAAATGAATCGCTATACTTTATAATAATTAAATGTATTGGTATTATAATATTATTGTTTTATTATCTGACACTCTTCGCCGATTTAGATGTATACTAAGAGTACTGTATCTAAAGGTTTTGCTCATGTTTCGGATGCTTCGATGTTGTCTTGTAAATTGTTGGTCTTCTTGGTATTATGTTCATCTTTCATCAGTCAAAGACCGATGGGTTGATGTATACCTACAGTATTTTCCCATTTTCGTCATGAATACCTTTTTTTAAAATTCGTCTCACAAAATCTCATCGGTCATCTTTTGACAGGCCGGCGCGTCATTCAGAATCCATTGCGTATTTTCGTTTTTAGGATTCTTGAAATTCTTTTGTTGTATTGCAAATCATCATCACGTACACATAGCAACCTTCGCCTCACAATACAATATAATACAAGAAAATATGATATCGAGCGAAGCACCGATTACAGCAATCACCGACAAGACTGCAGACGATGATGCGTCGGATGTGACTGTGGAAAGTATTCTTCAAAATGTCCCACTGGAACAAGGACTTCAGCAAGGGCTTCAGCAGCAACAACAACAGCAACAGCAGCAACAAGAAGACGATGAAGTACGATCTCAGTCGTACCTTCCTCAACAACTTCAACAATCCAAACCTGCTGCTCCCAAATTGTCTCAACTACAAGAGAAATGGAACCAATCCTTTGCAAGTTCCGTTGGTTCGGTCCAATCGGGGGATTCGCCAGTCGTCTATGCCAGGGCTGTGAACTTGCCGACTGTTCGCAGTTCCTTGCCCACCACTACTACGGGTACAAAAATGGACAATACTAAAGGGCGACCGCCCGTCAAGGTTCGTGTGACGACCACTAACACGGGGAAGCCCATTACTCCAACTCGAGCCGCTACTTCCAATAATACTGCTGCCAATCGAATACTGTCAAACAGCAAAGCACCTCCCAGGACTGCCAACAAAACACCGCCCAGGACTGCCAATAAAACACCACCTCGAAAGAGCACAAAGTCGTCCAGAATGTCCGCAGCACTAAATCATCAGCATCAACCCACTCCTCCTCCTCCCGATATGAATGCTGGCCTGTATATGTTTGCCCAAATGGGACCTGACGGTTCACCACCCAAAGCAATCATTGAAACCTTTCAGGGTTCTTGTCAGTGCGGCGAAATACAGTTGCAAGTCCGATTGCCCAGTCATGACGACAAACTTTTGTTGGAAGTCGAAACCACCCCGGAAGAGATCGCGGCCGAAGAAAAGATTTATTATCGCTACATCAAGGCACGACAAAAAGATTTTGACATTACCAAAGGACAAGCCCGCATGTCAACCTATTTTGTCACCATGTCGGCGCCTCCCATTTTGGTATCTTCGACTGCTGCTGCTGCTTCCACTTCTTCTTCTTCTCCATCCGCTGCCGCTGCTTCTGCTGCTTCCCAAAAATCCAAATTCTTCATTCGACCCAACCAGGACAATACTTCTCCTCGATCCCATTCGAAAGGCGCTCGCGTCTTTTGTCCCCAATGTGGCGTTCACGTGTTGTACATTCCCGGCAAGAATGCTCCTCATTTGCACCTCAACATTAATTGCTTCCCCACCTTGGCCAAACAATATCCACCGCCGCCACCACCTCCCAAATCACGCACATTGGAACGAGAAGCTTGGTTTTGGGATCCCAAGACCTATTCGAAATACTTGAAGAGCACCAATACTTCGGAAGGACCTACTGGCATTGCCTTCTTGGATCGGTGTTGGCAATTGATCCAAGAACATTTGAAAGAGTACTTGCCATCGGTACAAGACTTTTTGGCGAACGTTTTAATGCCTCCTCCATCGAGTACTACTACTACTACTACTACTACTACCACATCTGCCAATAATATTATTGTTGACAATAAGAGCATCAAAGACAGCAGCAGCAGCAGCAAGGGAGAAGAACCGGATACACCTCATAGTATTAGAGAAAGCGTCGTCATGGCCTTTGAAGGGATTCCTACTCCGGAAAGTAGCTTTTTGGAAGACCCTGAAGATATCATTCTAGATGGTCTATCAGTAGAAGGAGCAATGACAGAAGATGGAAGTTTCAGGATAGACATGATTGAGATGGATTCATTGAAACTGGATGTGACGGAGTGAAGAATATGAATCCAAACCAAAATGGGGGAAATTCGTGCTTTCCCGTATTAATACAAGCAAGCAAAAAGAGCAAGACAACCGCTAGCTATATCCGATTTCCATGGTGGCACAATAAAAGGCCGGATGACCATCATGCAGTCGAATCGACTAGGTACGATGTTGCACTTTTAAATTATAATATTGTTATTACTATATATACCTAGACAATATTGAATCAGGACGCATCTTTCATCCCCAAAATACCGAAAATAGATTTTTTTAAAATGAATCAATCAATCGGCCACTCCATCATGCTCTACTGTATCCCCTCTCTTGACCACCAAATGCACCAAATGATACTACAGCAGTATATGGCTTTATCATATCAGCCCTCATAACTACTATCAAATATCATTAGTACGAGATGACAAGACTGACAGCCAAGTCTTGGTGTCGGCTCCATCTCGCTGCTTGACAGCAGCACTCAATTCCTTGCCACGGAGACGAGGAAGACAAACCTTGCTTTTGCGGATTAGGAGTATAGCTATTGGTGGTGCAACATACTAGTCATGGTGGTGTATATAGCTGGAGTTGCAGTTGTTGCGTAGCTGCAGCAATAGCGGTAGTAGTGCGGGTATCCGTCAGCAGTGTGGAAGCCGATAGATTGAGATTCATGAGCTTTTTAGTGATCATATGAGCAACTACATATCTACGTTTCCTTTCAGGTTCCATATTTACTTTACGATCTATGATTCCATCCGTACCATGCATATATTGAGATTGGTACCAACAGTTGCTATGGTTGGGGAGCTTGTTTTGCGGCTGGCCTGGAGGCGCCTCTAATGTCTTTCCTAATCCTAATAGAGGCGGTGACACCATTATTGGAGACAACAGCTGTCATGGTATCATGACATGTACCCATCTCGGAAATAGAGAACGGCTGGCAAGAATTGGACACAACTCCTGCAACTGTGACAACTGCTGTCGTTGCCTAAGAATCGATCAAGAAGAGGTGTATATTCCGGACAACTCTTGCAATGAGCTTGAAACTGACTCCAATACCCCCCAGTGTTGCAGTGGAGAAAACACCAAAGGAAGCTTCGATACCACGACTCCTACCACTGTCACTCCCACACCACCTTCGAATGCAGCAGTAAGTTTCGTTTCTTTCAACCCTTCGGTGTTCAATGAAGACATCGCTAATGTTCCACGTTTCTCACCGGACCATTGCTTTCCTAACTCTTGAATTCTATAGGGTGGATCGGGTGGTGACAGTGGTCCGACTTTCAACCTTCAAGACTACACAGTCCCAGCACCCGTTTGCGCCATCACTGGTGATGACAATGTCCAGTGCGACTTTACCGGAATCGTCCCTGCTACTGGAAAGCTTGCCTACTCCATCACAGACTTTGAGACCTGTGAAGGAGACGCCGCTCGTGCCACCGACATATCGATCGCAGGTACTGCTACTACAACTGCTACCGCAGGAGCCGACACTGTCACCATTGACCTCACCACCAGCTTCAGCTTGGCCGACGGGGCGTCCGAAAATTTTGTGTTCTGTCTCTTAACAAGCTTGAGCGACAAGAACGGCAATGAAATGTTCTACCAGGGCCAAAAGATCGTCGCCACCTTTGCCGCTAATGGTGCCTTTACAGTATCCAACATCGCCTCCGAAAAGTTCGAGGGGATTAATGACCAGATCAACAACAATGAAAAGACTTTTGGAGTCACAGCCACAAGATGCGATGTCGACCGAACTCCCATCACGGGGTCTGCATTGGCTGTTGGTACCACCTTGTTCATATGTATTGACTCCACTGATAACAGTACTGTGATTTCGTCGGTCGACAGCTTTGGGGCCAAAAAGGGCACTAACGTCTCCGTCACCGACTTGTTGTTAGGAAACACGGAAATACAAGGACTCGGAACAGCTGCAGTGATCATTGGAACCCGTCCATTTGCCAGGTTCTTTGCTGATACCACGGCCTTGGACATTTCTGGAAGCGTTACTTTGGACGTTACTGACAACGGTACAACTCGTCGTCGTCTATTGGCTCGGATCTTGCAAAGCGGAGAGACGGATGAGTTTGAACTTCAGGTTGAACTAGAAGCCGTTGAGGAATCTTCGGCTACTGGTTCAGGAGTTGGAACTGCCGCTGTTGCCTGTTGGGCGCCGTTGCTGCTGCTGCTGCTGCGATGTAGCAACTACATTCATGAAGAATATGGTCCTATAGTTTTCAGGTATCAATATAACTTACAACAAGAGATGTCCAAGCTTGTACCCTGTGCTGCACTATCGAATTATAATATAGACGAGAACCAAGAATGGATTTTATTATGAATGAATGAATGAATGCATGAATGCATGAATCAATCAGCCATTCCATCCTTGCCAAGATACTCTACTATATTCTCCCCACCATCGACCCCTTACTTGGCCATCAAATGACAGCATATATCTTTCGCATACCCCCCGCAAGTATCATACTAGTTCAAATGTCATTTGGACCAGATGATGACGACGACACTGGCTATTATGGCCAAGTAGTACTACTAGTGATGCCTCCGCCATCGTCTCGATGCTTGACAACAACACGCATTTCCTTGCCACGGAGACGAGGACGATGAGCCTTTTGGGTAGTAGTAGTAGTTGTAGTTGTAATATCAGTCGCTTTCGCAGTATCAGCATTCGAAGCTTCTGTAGTTGCTTCCGTAGTTCCCGCCGTGAGTTTGGAAGCCAATAGATTGAGATTCATGAGCTTGGCATTGACATCATCAGTCTTCCAAGTAGAATGATTATTGCAAGTCGTCTCATTGACATTGGATTTCTTCGCCCTGCTGCCATTTTTATGAGACATGTTGACCACCACTTGGGTCCATTTGAGAATGTAAGAACAAGTCGCAATCGCTCCATGACAGTATCCCAACAAGAAGATGTCCTTGGATTTGGTAGAGTCGAAAAAGACAAGGACGGCTTGCATTGCTTGATAGGCTTCTGGTGTCAAGAAGGGTCGAATTGGCTCTAAGAGTGAAGTCACCTTGTCGCAAATCTTCATCATTGCCACGCTGGAAGAGGATGACGTAATCGATGACTTCTTGTCGTTGTCGTTGTTGTTTTTCTCCTTATCGGGCCCTTGCAATTCGACATCTTGAACATCGTGAATGGGCAGATCAAAGACTACGGTTCGCTTGGAAGCATCTTCATCTTCATCCTTGTCAGTGTCAGTGTCAGTGTCAGTGTCAGTATCAGTATCAGTATCATCCTTGTCTGCATTGTTGTCAACAATATTGGCATTGTTGATACTGATATTGGTAGTCGTGTACTTCAAAATGGCTTGCAGTGCATGTTGCAAACTTCCGAAATGGTCATGAAGCGCTAAAATAGTACGTCGCTTGGAGGTAGACGAAATAATCGGTTTGCCATCATCATCGTCGTTGGTTTGTGTTTCCAACAACAAGAGAGACTTTTTGTCGTGGTTGCTATTGTAGCTGCTTTCGGAACCCTCTTCCCGCTTGTTGATGTTAGAATTCATTGCTAGTAGCAGCTGACTAGATACGTCAATAGAACCCTGACTGTAACCTTGATACCACGGTTTGTGTCGATCTTCTGTTTTGAGGAGTGGCTTCTTGTTGTTCTTGTTGTTGTTGTTCCTATTGGCTTGTTCCTCAAAAAATTGAGGCCGAGCACAAGTGTCACAACGAAACAAGACCAAATCACAAAACAATTGCTCCAAATCTCGTGGTTGAAGTCGTTGTTGGCACAATTCAAAGTAGGGATCGGCAGCCAAATTCAAACTTTCATCGGGAGATTCTCCCAAACGAAGCAAGGATTCGTAATAGAACTTTTTGTAACACAGGTTTGTTTCCAAGTGTGTCCACAAGGCCTCCAATGTCATGCGTTTGGGCTGTAGCGACTTTTGTTGCTTCTTTCGAGGCATGACGATAATGATGAGAACGATGGTTTGCTTACTTGTCGATGTTGACAATATAATGATTTTCAGGCTCTTTTTTGAATGTTTTTTGTGTTGTGCGCAATAAAATGTGGCGTGAAAAAATCGGCTCAATTCTGATTGGCTGACTGATCGTAATCACTGTGTTTCGACTGCTACGATTCGGAAAAGATGATCATGCTGATTTGATGATTTGACTCACTCTTGGACGTAAAAATAGTGCCTGCAGTAAGTCAAATTCGTGTCGTTTCTGCTGTTGCTTTCTACCGCCGTATTGTTTGCATAGTCTACAATTCCAGTACTTGCTACTGCTATAATAATATTAGTAGTACTAATAGTACTAGTAGTAGTAGTGTTATCACGTTCTCTGCTTGTAATGAAAGGCTTTCATCAGTTCGGAATCCAAATGAGTTTGTGCAAATTCCAAATCGTCCTGGGTCATGTTTCGATACCGTCCCTTTTCGGTACCATATTTCACAATAGCCGACACCAGATTGTTTTGAACATGTTTGTGTTCAAACTTGGCTTCGTCGACAATCGGACGAAAGGCACTACCCATTTGATGTTGTTGTTGTTGTTGTTGCTTGGCAGTATTATCATTTGTAAATCCAATATTGATTTCTCCTCCATCGTCTTCCTCCTCATCCTCATTGCCCGAAAAGATGCCACCACCACAGGCACATACCAGTTTCATTACCGTCTTGGCATGAAATAATGTATCTTCGAATCGAATCATCAAACGGGGGAAATCCTCTTGATGATTATTGTTTGCAGTTTGATGATTGTCGTTGTCGTTGTTGCTATTGTTGTTGTTGTAATAGTACGACCCATACCAATCGTTCCAATAATGTACCAACGAATCCCAATGAGGACCACTTTCATAACTTTGCCCCATCCACACGGGTACCGAAGTTTGATTCAAAGAGGCGTATCGCTTAAATCGTTTTTGATCGTACTCATTGGGGACTAAATTCGGACAATGTTTCTTGGCATTGTGATCCCATCGTACGCCATATCCCTGTTTGCACATGCTTTGCATCCAATAATAGGGATCCCGTACCAGTACTACCGGCAAGACATTTTCTTTGGGTATGGATTCGTCAATGGTATGACCAAAACGTTCTCGTGCCATTTTGTGTTTGGCCCAAGGGACTTGATTCAACATGCCATGAACATTGGTGACAATGTTGCCCGCTGGATTCTTATTGTTTCCTTCCCCTGCCGTTTGAGTGTCACGATTATGACGACGATTATGACGACTATGACGACGATTGGGAAATCGACAATTTTGTTGCAACGAAAGTCCAAAGGCGGTCGTTCCTGAATTGAAACTACCCGCCACGCCAATGTATCGATCCTGCAATGGAACTTTCGTCTGATATTTGAGACAGGTATCCGTACCGACCAGCATCGGTTTGGAACCATACAAGTCTTGAATTTCGGACCACTTTGGCAATTGCAACAGTTCGGTAGTCGTCAATTTGGCCAATCCCAAGTCGTGTTCCAAGATTTCCAACAATGGTTCTCGTCCTTCCTTGGCTTGTTCGTACGTCAAGGAGGATGATGAGACGTCTTGTTGTTTTGTATTGTCATTGTTGTCGTTGTCATTGTCGTTTGGTTTATTGACAAAATCCGAAAATTGAATGCTTTGACGGGAATCTCTCACAAAAGAAGCCTTGTTCTTGGTGTCTTCCATAAACGTAGCACTTTTTGTTGTTGCTGTAGCATCCGCCTGTTCCGACAAGTGAACGTCTCGATGGGTAAAGATGATTTCAGGATTCCACTTGGCATTTGGATTATCATTACGATTATTGTCATTCATCTTGGGAGACTTATTGTGATTCTCATTATTCGTACCTCCTCCTGCTCTGAGATTGTTGTTGTTCTTATTGTTGGAGGCCGAAGAGGGTGAGGATGTCCCACTCCTGTTATATCCTCCTCCATCATATACCAGCAGCTCTTCCGTCCAATACACATTTCGAAATTCACTCCATTGCCAATGTTCATAAATGTGCAAGATTATCAGGCAGGTACCGACCAGGAGAATCACATAGACTTTGGTCTTGAGGCGCCTCCGCCGTCGCCGTCGTTTCAGAGGATTCTTGTTTCTCCAAAATAAGGATGATGATGATGGAACAATATTCATTATTCATTTATTCTATCTTTTGTACGCAGTGTAATTGATTATTGATTGTTGCTATACTGATGATGATGATGATGATGCTGAGGGATATCCGCATGCTCTTATTGTCGTGGAGCCGCACTATCTGCGATGGATTGTGGTTCTGAAATTGCGACGTCTATTTCAGTACCTACATAATGGCGTGAATGAGAATTCAATCAATCCCACCAAGAGCCTCTTTCACCGTTGCGACGACGCCGGACGAGCTTTTCACCAGTTTTCTTACAACGGCGTTTGGATTAAAAAAACCCTTTTTCCAGTTGCAACTGCAAAAGATACCGAACGAAAGATACCAGATATTGTATTATTGGCGACAATACAAGACCTGACTCCGATTGACTTGCACGAACACTGGTGTAGTGCCAAGCTGTAGATAGATACTAATAGTAGTGTAAGTGTGTCATGTAATATGGTTGTTATTTAAGAATAATGATATCAACTCTTTTTCTTGATTGATTAGTAGTAGTGTAGAGTGTGTGTAGTGATGTATAGTTCTATTTCTAATATGGTTGTTCTCCCCCCATTCATTTGTATAGATCATAGATGCAGTTGTTTCCAGTGATAGTAAAGAGTTGTGATGACCTCCCATTGGTTATGCGCCTTTGTATTCATAATATAACATGTAGCTTGTATATTCATTCATTGATGCAATCATGTAGCAGTGTATAGCTTCCGTCTTGTGTCCGTTTGTGTGTGTGTGTGTGCGGAACACATTGCAAGTCTTCCTAGTTAGTACCCAGCATAATGGGCTCCAACCTGTCGGAATTGCCTCATGCCTTCCTTGATCAGACCTCGGCGAGACTGTTTTTGCCTACGACTCCACTCCTTGCGGATCAGAGTATCGCTGTAGTCACTCAACTTTTCACGTCGCTCCTCGGCCGACAATTTCAATTGCGAATTGAGGTACTTGAAGGAAGCTTCCATGGGGGAGTGTCCACCGTACACTTTGCGTCGGTGTTGGCTTGGCGATTTCAGGCCCTTCTTTTTGCGAAGAGGTTCCCGAATGGTTTCGTAATCGTCCACAGACAGAGCCTCTTCTCGCACCACCTTCCATCCCAAGGCCAGCGGACATCCCACGGCACACAAGGGATGATCGCCCAAGATTTGATTGTAGGATCGAATCGAACAATGGCTGAAACTGACCGATTTCAAAGTTTTGGGTTTTGGTGATGATTCGGAAGCCTCCAATGTCACAGCTGTGGTGGCAGCAGAAGACTCTTCCGCTGAAATGTCATCGCTTTCCGTAGAATAACTGAGGCAGCTCAAGAGCGGAAGTTCATCTCGTTCTTCTTGCTCTGTCTTGAGATCAATCGTGTTCTGATTGTTATTCAAGGACAGCTTGCATTCGGTGGAATCACAGTCTCCCACCGCAATGTTTTGCACGCTGTTAATGTTGGCGTGAGCGTTTGTATTGGCATCATCGTGTGAGCCTCCTTGGATGAACTCGGATTCTTCTAAAGTGGACGTTCGTTTGTGCATGCTATTAATGTGATGTGTGATGTGATGTGTGTAAGAAGTGGCGCTTGTGTTTCTTATCTTGCCAAAACTAAAAAAAAGTCTTCAATCGTTTATGTTTCGTAATGTAATCGTGCAGTGTCACTAAGAACGAGAAGTTGCAGCTGTTTCTAGTGTAGAGGTGATTATTGTTGATGCGAAGAAGCCTTTCTTTGATGTTGTAGCCCGTTACTTCAATCGTGCACAATACAGATGAGAATGTTGCGAAGCTTGTTGATGTTGTGATAACTTGATTTGTGAATTGCCCGATCCTGAAAAAAAAGGAAACCGAATTGCCGTGATATTATGAGAACTTGAGCTCCCATTGGCCTCCCAGACCTCTTGCGCGATCACTTTCGTCGAAAATACCCAAAACGTAGCATTCTACGTGCGTGCTGGCCGCAATCTTCCAGAAGTTCGCACGAAGTGTGTGCCACTCCGACTAATACTGACTCCAACGCACGGAACGCCGGTAAAGTGCGGTTGTGGAGAACTTCCAAGATCAGTTTCCATGATTCCGTATGGTCACAAGTCACGAGTACTGCTGATCGCGGGACTGACACCAGTCAACGTCCGACCAGCATCAGTCAGCGATCAGTGATGGTGCGGTTTTCAATAGATTTTGGATCCGGGAAATAATCTCGCATTCGGAACAAAAAGCCACAATGATGGAAGATGCTTCATTATTCATTCAAAGGAAAAACAGAAAAGTGAAATAAAAGATGTAATGAGAGAAATCTTCCAGTTCCAACTCTGATTGGGTAGTATCGCCAATGGACCAAGGAATACTCCCTCCCTAATCCCAGAGTACTTTGGTCATTTCGCTCTTCTCATGACAAGTGCGGCAAGTGATATATGAGAATTTATACTGTCATCTTGATTATCATTGTCATCATGTGGTGCGTCCTCCATATTGGAAATGAAAGCACCTGTAGGACTATCAACCCCATCATTGGAATCAACTTCTAAGTGTATCGTAGCTAGCACTGTTGGACTCATCGTTCCGTCGCTAGTACCCAGTGCCATTCGTTGGCCATGATGTCTTGTGGCAGAGGCCGCATCATTGGCATCATCGCTCTAGCGAACGATGGTCTATGATTTGGTTCGTCTTTTTCCTTGTCGCTGTTCATATATAGAGTTGTTGAATCTCATGAATAAGAATTATCATTGTACTCTCTACTAAATGATCCCACTTAGTGTCGTTTCGTCTAGATCTTCCCAATCTAGACGTCTAATTTTTGTCACAATGCGACTCAAACGTTCCATCCCGACTCGAAGAACATCGGGGGATACCCATGCGTAGCACATACGAAACATTCCTGGCGTTGGATCTTTCATGGAATCACCAGGGGTCAGTATAACTCGGGCGTGCTCAATAAGTAATTGACTGAGTTTGGCTTCATACTCCTTTGTTTTCTTTGGCAGGATTGAACTAAAGTCGACATAAACAAAGATACCTGCCTGTGGTGGAATAAATGGCAAGCCCCTGCATAGCGAAAAAATGTGAGATCAGACTGGGATGTTGTAAAAACGTAACCCAATCGATATTCGTTTTCTCGTCTTACATTTCTACAAGCTTCTCCACGCAACTTTCGTAGGATTGTCGCAGTCGGATGCTCGATTCCTTCAGGTAGTAATCAATGAATGTATCATCAGTCAACAGCTCGGCAACCATTGCTTGAGTAGAGTTGCTGACTGAGCTGAAAGTGTTGAGGTGTGACATTGCCTGAAGAAGCGTCTCGTTACGACTGTAAACAAATCCCACTCGCAATCCACTCGCGCCAAAGTCCTTGGACAGTGCCCAAACAACGTGGACATCGTCTCTGAGATCGTTGTCAAGAATCCTGACAACGGACTGAAAACCATGACCAACGTGTGTCGATAGAGCATAGATTTCATCCACAATGATATGAAGCTTCAAGTTTCTGGCCCAAGCTACTGCATTTCGAATCACTTCTGGAGCATATACGCTTGCGAGCGGATTATTTGGATTGTTCAAAAGCAGAAATCTTGGCGTCAGGCCCTTTGACTGGGCGTCGTTGAAAGCACGATCCAAATCAGCCTCCGTTGGGCCCTCGGTTGGAGCATCCAACTCGAAGCCAAAAGGGGTTATCTGCGAGACTATGGACATGTCGAAGTCATACCCTCCATAGTATGGGCGGGGGATGAGAGCGACATCCCCCGCGTCACCCAATGCGAAATAGAGGCTGTTCATCGCACCAGCTGCCCCTGAAGCTATACCAATATTTTTCGGATCGACGATGGAATCTTGTAAGGCATTCGATGAGAGAAATCGTTTGGTGAAAAAATGCGAAGCAGCTTGACGGGCAACAGGAAGTCCCAGAGACGAGGTGTAACAATACAGACTTTCATCTGCAAAAGCCACTTTGGCTATATTTGGGTCCGCACCAAGGCGCTTGGAAAGGATGTCAGTTACCAACTTGTTTTCCGCCATACATAGTATGACGAATCCATCGGGGTTTTCTTCATCGCAAGGATAGTCGAGTGCCTTGCAGAACGAGCCCATATATGGGAGGGGAGGAGACAACGCCCTTTGTTGGCAGCGACGGGACACTCTGCCAACCGCCGTGTCAACATTAGTTGGAAGAGATTCAAGGCGCTGTAACAGTTCGGTGTTGCCAAACCCCCCTGCTAAATGATCTTCTCTTTGGATAATCATGATTTTGATGACTTTTTTGTATAAAATGTGAATAATGTGGAGTGATCGAAAGTGAAACGCGACTGCATGTGAGCTTGAATCTAATCAATCGTTGATTTGAGAATCGAATCGACTGACTCAGTCGACTTCATCGAATGCCGATGGCAGTATCATTTCGATGACTTTCGACTGCCCGCTGGTGGCCGCGGCAGAAATCCTGAATACGAGTAGTAGGTACACAAAAAATGTGTTGCTCGTCAATTTGCATGTTCCATCTTCAATCTTGTAGTTGATTGGTGGTACTCGTCAATTGAGATTTTGTTCCAGTATCTCTGCTGGAGTAGAGTGTGTGGTTGACACGACACGACACGCCGCACAACAACAACAACTCTGCAGCTGGCTGACATCATGATTGGTGCCTGGTCTTCTGGGCTTGTGACACAGCCAAACTGGAGCAGGTCCAAACTTATTTGTGCTGAAATCGATTGCTAGTTCGTCCGTGGCATAACCTTGTTTAGAAATAGTATCGCCCTCACTACTTTGCAGCCAATCGAGGGCACTTTCAATCCCGTACGCAGTACAAGTGTACTCGATCTTCAGGTGTACTATGGAGAATCGGAGGGAAGCATTCATTTTCAAAGAAGAACTTTCGGTGTACAGTAACAGGTACTGCGTACAGTACAGCAACAGGTATTTTTTAAATGCTATATCTGGTACCGTTATTTAATATTAGTGATGACGCATCGTCAATCATCGTAGAAGCATCAGATGGCGTTGCAACAACGTTTACGACATGACCAATTGAAGCGAACAGATTTGGCTCTTCGTCTAGAGCAACTCCAATTATCATTGGAATCTTCGCGTCTGGGTTTCGTTTCCGCTTGGGAGATGGTGTTCGGCGTCTCCTTTGAGGCCTGCTCTCACGCGAAGAAGAAGACCTTGGACTTCTCTGTGGCGTACTGCTGCTTTCTAATGGTAGAGAATCATTATCATTCTCCCAATAAGTATTTCGTAACCAATCAAGATTGCGTTCTATCTCCTTGGCACGGTCTTCACTTGACTGACCTTCTTTAACCTCCAAAATCAAATTAAGCTTACTGAAGTCTCCTGTAGGATCCGTGATCTCGTCATCAGAACCCCTCTCTTGACGCATCCAAAGCATGACATGATCCAAGTCCTTTACCCGCTCTTCTGGAGTTCGTCGTGAAACATGAAACGACTCAAGCTTTTCAAACATCAAAAGCTCAGGCAAACTGGTTGCTCCTTTGGGTATCAGATCTGAATTCCTAATCCAATCCATCACCCCTTCCATTTCTCTTGCACGATGCTCCAGCGTCTGTCCACGCCGCTTTGGAAGAAGCTTATCCAGTTTGCGAAAGTTCCCATTTGGATCAAACTTGCTTTTCATTCCTTTGCCTTTATTCCGAATCCAGGTCATAATGCTGCGCAGTTCTTCCCGTCGATCTTCTGGGCTTGTGACACAAACTGGAGCAGGTCCAAAGTTATTCGTGCTGAAATCGATTGCTGGTTCGTCCATGGCATACTCTTCTATAGAAATACTATCTCCCTCACTCCGCAGCCAATCGAGGGCACTTTCAATCTCATGTGCTCGAGCTTCGGGTGTCGCACCATTTTTTTTCTTGGGCAGCATACCATCCAGCTTGCGATATTCTGTTGTTGGGTCATACTTGTCTTCGCGTCTCCGGCCTTTTCCCTTTCCTTTGCGCATCCATTGAACAACCCTTTCTCGATCTAGCGAGCGTTGCTTTGGTGTACGCCGACCCTCGAGGAAATTTCCGAAAGAGCCATATCCGCTTCCGAGCGATCCAATTATGTCGCTGCTAACCGATGTTTCGTCTTCCGCAAGAACATCATTGTTGCTTTGCAGCCAGTCCAGGGCACTGATCGTCAGGTCAACGTTAGAATCTTCGTAATCCTGATCTATGGATCCAGCATCAGAACTATGACTAGTTGATTCGGCATACACATCGGATACTGGGTCCCCTAGTGTGTGCCCCTCCATATTGCACAGAGGTGATTCACTCTCGTTGTTTTTATCAGCAGCTGTCCACAATCTCAAAACGGCACTGAATCGACTTCGCTGAGTTTCTCTTTCATATGGATCGCCAGGCTGATTCAATTCGTAATCTGATGTATGTTCTAGTGGCAAAGCTGCCGACTTTATGACTGCATCCCGTGCGAATGGGCTTATTCCCTCATGGTCCTCATGGTGCGAACCATTGTCTGATTTCGGACTACCAAGCTTCAACCAACCAGCTATTGTTCTTGAGAAAATATTTTCTTGCTTCTCGTCCTCTGGAAATTCTTTCTGTTCATTGCCTTGTTTGCCATGCTTGTCCCTTTCTTCGGAATGAAAGGAAATGTCCTCCCAGCAATAGTCGTCTTCGTCGTCATTTTGAATACTATCGTCATAAATATTTGCATCTACAGTGGTAACGAAAGCATTTACTATGTCAACCTCATCATTGGAATCAGTTGCCAAACGTATCCTTTCCCTATGCAGACTAATACCAATGTTGGAATCATCGTTCCGACGTTGGTATCCAGTGCCGTTCATCGTTATTGGTAAATCTTGTGCCAGAGGTCCTTCATCTACTGTCATTATCCTGTCTGTGGCAAACAATGGCATATGATTTGGGTCGTCCTTTTCTTCCTTATCGCTGCTCATAATGATAGATTATTGGTTAGTCATCAATTAGATTGTCGTGGGTTCATGGAATATAGGCGCATGGTGGTGATGTCTCAATAGCCACTATGGTATCATCTGGTGTGATGGTGATGATGAATCATCGCGGAGAAGCAATATAATAATAGTCATCATGCGAGCGACCTCACTCACTCTCGCCGCGTGAGAGCGCACGCATGCTGAGAAATTTTGGATCCGCTTGAAAATTTTATGAAAAATTCAATCACACAAAATTTGACGTGTGCGTGTCCACACATACAACGGACCAGCAATCAATCATGCATCCAAAACGAAGTTCTATGTTCTTCCCATAATGAATGAATCTCAAAGCAAGAACAGCCATGGCAACGAACCACGATGTCATCTTTGGTAAGGGAAATGGTCGGAATCCTGGAAACCAGTATTGGGTACACCTTGTGAGACAACATTTGGAAGAGTACAATCAAGCAACGAATCGAAACGAGACACGGTCCATCGCAAAGTCGGTCATCTACAGTGTACATCAGAATGGCGGGCGTTTCTTGAAGAAGGATGGCAAGAATGGGGGATACATGGAGATGACAAAGGAAGAAAAATTGCACAAAACAAGACAATGCTTTGTCGATCTGAACCATCGAGGTGAAAAGAACCGAAACGAAGAACCGCCGTCATCGATTCAACTCGCACCGGACGAAGTTGCTGTAGCACCAGACGCTTCTACTATTCTCCTTACACCAGAAGAGAGATTGGATCAACAATTGCACATTCGGCGCGAGACGCAACCAGAAGAGGTGTCCAAGACTTACAATGCCCTTGCAGGGCTCCTTTTCAAAGATGGAAAACTTGAAGAGGACCAAGAACTATATCAGGCAGCCATCCGACAATACCAAAAGGTACTTGCCATCCATTTGAAGGTACACGGCCCCGACCATTCCGAAACTGCAGACACATATCACAATATTGGGCACGTCTTGTGCCAACAGGACATGTCCGAGGATGCCATGGACCAATATAAGAAAGGGCTTGAGATTAGATTGAAGCTACATGGGACTGATCATTTGTCAACTGCAGACTCTTACCATTGCATGGGAATGGTCTTGTTCAATCAGGCCCAGTACGAGGAAGCTATGCAGCTGTATCAAAAGGCGCTTGCGATCAAAGTGAAGATGCAGGATGGACCAGAAGATTCCTCCATGGCAGCATCACATTACTGCATTGGAAACGTCTTGCGCAAGCAAGGAAAGGAAAGGGCCGCACTAGAGAACTACCACAAAGCGCTTGCAATCTTTTTGAAGGTTGATGGGCGGCGGCATCCATCGACTGCGTCAACATATCACTCTATTGGAGAAGCCTTGTGCAATCAGGGCAACTATGACGATGCGATGGACCAATTCCAAATCGCACTTGACATCAAGTTCAAGCTCTACGGAACGACTCATTCCTCGACTCTTTCAACATACCGTTCCATGGAAAACATATTGCGCAAGCAAGCCGAGTCCAAGAATACGCAAGTCAATGCTAATGTTCCTGAGCCAAGCGGTGATACCACTCCACAAAACGGCAATCCAGCTCGTCGACCGCTGCCCACTCAGCAAACCAACAATACTGTAGTTCACCAGCTTTTGCAAGCTCAGCTAAGCATCCATAAAGCCCAACAGGATTTGCAGACTCAACAAAGCACGAATCCATCCGAACCGCTCCAAGCCCAGCAAACCAACAATACGGTCCTTCAACAGCTTTTGCAAGTTCAGCAAGACATCCATAGCGCCCTTCAACAGCTTTACAGTGGATGATGTTTTTTTCGGTCAAAGTTTGATTTAAAGTGATGTAGAATATAGTGACGGCGCTCGAGATTAAAGCAAAAATCCTTCAAAGGACATCCAGTTGTCAATGAGCTTTTGGTTTCGAGACAATGAGGATGAATGATATCCTAGTAGCACGACCATCCATTGGGAAGCATTTCGAGAAAAGAATTCTATTTCTAAGAGTTATATGGTAAAAGCTAGAGAGAACAATTTACAATAAAGACTTGGGAGATGTGGTTGTCTGCAGTAATGACTGGATACATACAGAGAGACTGATAGAGAAGAATACTAAGAATGTGCGATGAATAGGAAACGAACATAAAACGCATCGAAGCAACAATCGATTCTTATTCTTTGGATCCATAATATTGTTCTGTTTGCCGTTGTGTGATATGTAACTGTTCGTCCAAAATGTTTGCAAAAACCATCTATGTAGAACGGATTTGTTGTATCATGGTGCCGTGCGCCGTGGACCCAGCGGAGAAATTATATTGAACAATGAAATAAGTGAATCGATGATTCATTCAATCGAAAACATAGTATAGAAGCCCAGTCAACTGTATCGCAGGCTCCATTAGCGACAATAAAATTTTTATTGTCGCTGGTGCAGACTTTAGAATGCCGCGTCTTTGAGGATTCTCATCCATTCATTTCAGCTCCTTCGCCAGCATTTATAAGTTCCATATCGACTATTACTGCTATTACTACTACTACGACATGTTCGATCCTGCACATATATGCCTTGCTCGTGGTCGAGTTTGTCGCTATGATTAGCGATATTCTTCATTTTGTGTCACTTGGTTGTTCTCGCCATTTCCTCGAAATTCATTGAATACATCCAGTACATCCTCATTCACTGCAGCCAGCTGTTGTGGCTGTTGTTGTGGCTGCTGCTGCTGCTGTGGTTGTGGCTGCTGTTGTGGCTGCTGTTGCAGAATCTGTTGAATTGCATTGCTGTGTCTTTGCTGACCTTGCAAAAGCTGTTGAAGAGTTTGCAGAATCTGTTGAAGGACGGTATTCATTGCCGGTTGCAATAATTGTGGATCGGGATGAGGGTTATTGATTCGTCCAGCATGACGAGGTGCTTGTTGATTTGCATTATCGTCACCAGGATCTGCATTATCGTCACCAGGATTTGCATTATCGTCACCAGGATCTTCATTATTGTCACCAGGATTGTTTTGTGGTTGCCTTCTGTTTTCCCTATATTTCATACCGTCAAAAAGTGGCCTAGTCTTCTTTTTGATCTCTCCATAATCTGTCATGACCGAAAACTGTCCATTTTCATTTTGCTTTAGGAAACGCCCGCCTCTGTCTTGAATCTCTTGGATGACCAATATTACAATAAAACGTCTGTCCAACTTCGTGGTATCCTCATGCCAAAACTCTTGAAAACTTTCTCTCACAAGTTGTAACCTGTCCTGGTTTCCAGGATGATCATTGTTGAAATTTGCAAGTCGCCGACCAGGGTTGTGAAAATGGAGAACATCGTTGTCATTCGGTTCAACCGCCGCCATTCTTTGTATCTCCACTTTACCTTTGAAGTGACTCAACACGAACTGGTTTTGGGTACTACCTATATATGTAATGATATACTATCTACAGCAGTATATAATATCAAACAAATACTGTAGGGGCTTTGTGCGACGGGAGATGATATAATGCGAGAGCAACGACGGCGGATTGTAGGACGCGACGTACTTTTGATAAAAATGCGGTATTGAAAAATACTGGTAGGTGTATAAACGTACGTACATATTGAGCGTGCAAACTGTACTGTAGGTGCATGTGCCATGCAGGCGACTCTCTAACTTTTTAGCCAATCCTGATCGTGATTTCGAACACTCGTAGAACAAGTACTGGCAGCTAGAGCACAAAAACACGACAGCCCCATGAAATGAATTCCGCGATTGAAATGAACTACAACGTAACATCTCTACTCATACTATACCGTATATTGTAAGAACCCAAAACACACACCTTACCTGCAAGACTAAAGGCAACTGAATGCATCAACTCCATTTCCAAATTGAAGTTTAATTAATTGACACGATGAATGACAACGCTGAAATCGTTGACCCAACGTTGATTAATCCAAACGATGTACTATCCCACAGGGGCAAAGGGAAACATGAAGGAAACCGCATCCTTCGGGAGACCATTATAGCAAGGTCTGCTGAGTTTCATGCCTCAAGCTTGGAGAGAAAGAAAGAGATTCTTGACGAGATCGTATTGGGCCTCGATGGCAGATTCTTGAAATGGGATTCGGAACATCGACGGTACTTTGTGATGACCAAAGAAGATGCAGTGAGAATTGTAAGAAATAAATTTTTCTATTTGAGGAGACCGAGTGCATACAAAGCTTTTCCATATATTGAGGCACGACCGCCAACTGCAAACTATGACGACGAGTTGAATTCTAGAATGGAATCAATGTCTCAGGATAGTGAATGGAGTGGATTTGTGGACCGGACTGATATGGACGAGATGTTTGATGATGAGGAGACGGTAGTAGATGGCAACAAAGCTCTCCGGGACGAAGATGACGATTCGGCAAAAGATAGGCTTATGGCACTATTGAACGACGAGGGAGGTGAACAACTCGCGCAAACCATTCTGTCCATTGTGAACAGTGTTGACAAAGAAGAAGAAGAAGCCACATTATCGATATCTAGCAGCAGCGGTAGATTTGGCTTGGACGATCAAGCCCAAGATACGCTAAAGGCAGCAAAAAGATCCTTGCAGCAGCAGCAACAACAACAACAAGGGAGGCAGACAAAACGTGCTAGACGAAATGCCCCCAAAACAGCCAAAGAAGGTGAAGAAACTAAGCCAGCAGCCGAAGTCATCGAAGCTAAAATGGTGGAGGACGATGATGTGCGATCCGTCACAAGTTCTCGATCAGATGCCACTTGTGAATCAAGGCGCGCCTTCAATGTCGAAGATGACATGCCCAGAATCAAGATTGAGGAAAAAATCAAAATGGGACGCAAGAAAGCACGCAAGACAGACAGAGAATACACTGGTACAACCTTGGACGGCAAGCCCCATGGCATTGGTTTTATGACATACGACAATGGTAGACTCCTTGGCGGGCACTGGTGTGTATGGATTGTCATTTGCTTTCGTTACACTGCGAGTCATCATTTCTCACTCACTCACTCACTTACGGTTTCTCTTTCTCAGGCTACACGGAGTCTTCCAAGGCCAAGGTTTTGCAATCTATGAGAATGATGATAAGTGTTTTGGATCCTTTCTGAAGAACAAGGTTCATGGTATTGCGACTTACATGACAAACTCCACAAAGTACGTCGGTCAATTTCATAAGAAACAACGGCATGGAAAAGGACGATTTAATGACGTTCAAAAGGGCACATTTGATGGTGACTTTGTGGATGGTAGGTTCGAAGGCCTCGGTGTGCACACGGGAATGAATGGGGCAATCACGCAAGGACGTTTCGAGAACTGGAAAATCAAGGAGCACTTTAATATCGTGCCAATGGATGTTTCCCATTCCCACGAACCACAAGCGATGTTGGAACAGCTGAATATTAATCGCTCGCCGGATGAGTCCGACACGATTGAAAAGACAGGAGACCAAATTGTTCTAGATACGGCAACCGTTCTCACACCAGAACAGAGACTAGATCAAAAACTGCAGGCAAAGGGCGCTAGGAATCCAGAGGTTGCTTTGACCTACAACTCAATTGCAAGGGTCCTTTTGAAAGATGCAAGGCTCGAAAAGGACCCAGAACTCTATGAGGCAGCAATCCGACAATACCAAAAGGTGCTTCCGATACATGGACCAGAACACATCTCGACTGCAGGAACATATGACAACATTGGGAATGTGTTGCGCGAACAAGGCAAGTCGGAGGAGGCAATGAAGCAATACCAAAAGGGGCTCGAGATTAAATTGAAGGTAAATGGAGCCGATGATATTTCAATTGCAGAAACACATGACAATATTGGCCATGTCATGCGTGAACAAGGCAAGTCCAAGAAGGCAATGGAACAGTACAAAAAGGGACTTGAGATCAAATTGAAGGTACTTGGACAAGAACATTCTTCTACTGCAGACTCATATTTCTGCATTGGGGGTGTTTCGAGCGATCAAGACATGAATGAAGTTGCACTGGAGAATTACGAACAAGCGCTGAACATTTTTAAGAAGGTGAACGGGCCAGAACATCCATCCATTGCATTGACGCATCACGAGATTGCAAACGTCTTGTGCAATCAAGGCAAGTGGGAGCATGCCTCCGAGCGATACTTTAAGGCACTTGTAATCAAATTGAAGGCACTGGGACCGGCACATTACTCAACTGCAACAACATATCACTGTATTGGAAACGTCTTGTGCAATCAAGGTCGATACTATGAAGCCTTGGAACGATACCAAACCGCGCTCGAGATCAAATCGAAGGCATGTGGACGCGAGCATTCCTCTACTATTTCAACGTATCAATGTATTGGGAATGTCTTGCGCAGTCAAGGGAGGTACGAAGCAGCTATGCATCAATATGAAAAGGTGCTTAAAATCCAGTTGAAGGTGTATGGACCGGAAAATGCCTCAACTGCAGCAACGTATCACTCTATTGGAAACGCCTTGTACAATCAAGGCCGATACGATGAGGCCATGCAGCATCACCAACGCTCACTCGATATCAAATCAAAGGTATATGGACCGGAACATCCTGCGACAGCTTCAACATATCAGGAGATTGGAACCATCTTGAGCAAGCAAGGCAAGACTGGGGAAGCGATGCGGCAGATCCAAAAGGGACTCGATATTTTCTTGAGGGTCAACGGGTCAGAACATTCATCCACTGCAGCAGCGCATCAAGCATTTGGAGAAGTTCTTCAGCAACTTGGGAGAATTGAGGAATCAAGTGTTCAATTCGAAAAAGCTCTTTCTATTTTCCGCAACAACCTTGGAGACAACCACCCTAGAGTCGCCATGGTCTACAATTGCATTGCGAAAGATTTGGCTCAGACAGGTCACCAAAACAAAGCGGTGGAACTTTTGGAGAAGGCGGTCAAGATTCAGTTGAAGAATTCAAGAGATGACCATCCTGATCTCGCCAAGATCTATGCCACCATGTCTGATATTTCAAATACTGAAGATTGGGAGCGCGATGGAAACCAAGCAGGTTTTCAAGCTCTTGATGATGTCCTAGAAGTCCCAGAAGAGGTACCCATTCTAGAGGTACCCATTCTAGAGAACCCGATCTACCGTCCATTTGGAATTTAATGAAAGTTGGGGAAACAAAAAATCGTAAAACCATGTAAGAAAAATACTTGGATATATAGTCTAGACCAGTTTTTCACGTAGATTTCATTGGAACCATCAGGAATCAGCAAAAACCGCGGTAAAACACTGCAATTTGCATCTGAAATTTTGTCCGTGAGTTGGATTACTTAGAGTTGCGCACGTGCCAAATGTGTCGCATCAACGATTTGAATAAAAAATTCGATATTTTTCGCTCACATTTTACTGACAACAGACAGACCAATCCGGATTCTTGCTTCGTCGTTTTTTTCAATTTTGAGAAAAGCTATGGCTCACCATGGTACCAAAGGGAGTTAAAATCTTATTAACCACTAATGCTTCTATAACTAGTAGAGCTATTAGTATCAATTGTGTTGAATTGCTAGGGCTTTCTTGATTTGAGCAGAAACTCCGTTTTTGCCAGACCATATATTCGATGCAGATCCTCTTGGATTCGATTTGCTTACACCTGATATTGGGATTATCAAGTAGACCCTTTGGAGGAATATCTCCCAAGACAACATCCTCAAATTCCAATTCATTGACAGGCGCACCATCATCCTGTACTGCTGTTGTCGCTAGGTCACTTGGCTCTTCGAGCGGCGGTTGTTCATGGATGGTTGGATTCGTTTTTTGTGGTGGTTTCAGGACACCTGGTTCTTTTTTCTTCTTTTTTGCTGGTTCACCACCTTCTTTTGATCCGGAACATTTCCTCCTCCTTGCTAAGTTCTTCGACCTGGCCTTCTTTGGCATCTGGACTATATGTATATTGCCTTGTTATGGCAGTCATCTTGGTGTGGACGGTGGCTCCGGAGAATTTGCAATTTTGATTCGGAGCCTGGAAATTGGTATTTCACGTAGACTTGGTACTTAATATCTTGTGTATGTACAATGTACGGGAAAGAAATTGAGGGCGGAAAAATAGCGCGCGCGCCGAGCATACGGTCATGAAGATAATATAAATTACTTAGGCAAACGGTAACCTTCGACCTTAGATTTGGTATCTCCTCCTGAGATATAGCAATAGTCTAAAAACTGAATAGCCCACGCCACAGACAATAATATTTATTGCGGCGTGGAAGAAGAATTATCGGAAAAGTCGATTTTCTCATAGATCCTTTGCACTTGCCGATTCTGCTTTTGTTAAATTCCAAACGGACGGTAGATGAAGCAAACGCCGCTGTCCCGCCTCAAGTATAAGACATCGACATGAATCCTTTTGATGACGTTGCCAATGTGGAACTCGGGAATCCTTTTCCTGATTGGCAATTCTCAGAAGTTCACCTTCGTGGAATCGAACAGCTTCCACAACAACCAGGGTTTGAAGCTGCTGGCCATCAAAATGAAATAGTCGTCACCGACAACCAAATCGTCGAGGCTATGGAATTGCTGTTGCAACCTGTTGATGCTCTTGCCCCAAATCAAGCATTCGTCGCCAACAACGACATTGTCCACTGTATTGATTTCTTGTATGATGATGTTGCACTTTGACATGCCCAATTTTGACCTCCTCCTTGGAAATCAACAGACCGCCTAGCCACAAGAATAAGTATACCGGTACGTCGAGAGCTGCTATTATTGCAGATGTATCATGGTGAACAGAACGTATTAATAATAATAATAGTATTAAAACGCAGATGTGAGATGTATGCTGCAGGCCCCTGCTTGTTTTGTTGCGCGGTTTTTAAATTTTATTTTCAATGAGTAAACATATAGTACTGGTACACGTACCAGGTGCATGTGTACATGTATCGGTACGTGTACACGTGTACAGTGTACAAGAGACTGTTGGTTACATAACGGGCGAACGAGCGAGCCATCTGAGCGAAGCACGGATACCGCGTGATATTCGAATAAATGCTGCAATAAAATTTGCCGGCAGATATGCGAACGCAGATCGTAGATCTCACGACGCATCACGCATGCTGCATGATACTAATATACATTATTGCAATCAGAAATAGATATGCAAGAGTCGACTCGTTGTGCTTCAGATCATCCCCATCTCACCATCACTCCAGTAAAGCAAGATGTCAGATTCCGCTGAAGGAGAAAAAGAGCAAGCAAAATCATTATCATTGATAGAATTATTAAATGTCGAATCATCTTGGTTGTCAGATTTAGATTCGGAGCTGAAAAAGGATGCTTCGGTCAGTGAAAAAGCCGAAAGCTTTTACACGAATACTGTTGGCTTTTTACAGTCCAAAGCTCTCCTGGATGAAGCTGCGGCACGAAAACTTCCGCGCAATTTCATGGACTCTGTTTCCTCTTTCAAGGCCGAACCCGAATCCTTGCAACTGCAAATGCCCATGGATGCCTCCTTGGATCCGTTGGAAATGGACCTCGACGCCGTCTATGAGATTGCGTCATTGACGTTACCCAAATTCAAATCCATTGTCACGGATATTGTGGTCCAAGCCGGCCTGGATCCGGAAGAAGCCATTCAATTTGACAAGGATTTGGACATCCAGCTACGACACTTGGTATTGGCCCCGCTGAAGGGACGTGGACGAGCCCTAGAAAAGATTCGATCCGACTATGGGGGCAAGAATGCCAAGCTATTGGATGTCGTCCGTTGTTCCATCATTGTCCATACGGAAGAGGAGCTCTTCAAGGTGGCGGAAGCACTCGATAACAACACTCAACAAGGTGATTTCACTGTGATTCGATGCAAGAATCGATTCAAGGAACCTCTTTTCAATGGATATCGAGATGCACTTTATACGATACGAGTTCCAGTAACCCAGGCGGACAACAACAAAATGGTGGAACATTGCTGCGAGGTCCAAGTCCATCTATCCGAATTGGTCTTTCACAAAAGTACATCGCACATTTATTACGAGTACTTTCGGTCCTTTTTTTCGGGCAATGTGGCGGCGGCGGATGAACGCATGGTGGTCTTGGAACGGGTGGTGGGTAAGGAACCGCATGCTACCTTGCACGAAACCATTGAATCTTCGATTGCTACGGACAATACGACTCAGTTGGAGGCTCTGCTGCAATTGCTGGGCGAAGACAACATGACGGAATATACACTCGCTTGTCGCGTGGCACATCGGTTGGTGACATTGTCTCTCGAATATCTTTCAGAAGACCCGTCACTCGATCATTCCATCGCCTTGTTGGTGCGTTTGGGACGTCTCCTACGATTGGCCTACAAGTATGAACAAGCCGAAATCGTTCTGTCCAAAACTCGGCATGCTGCTTCCAGTATATTGGGTCCAGAACATCGACTGACCTTATCGGCTTGTGAAAATCATGCCATTCTCATGGCCGAAATCCGACGATACGATGAATCCAAAACGTTACATCGAACCACTTTGGAAATTCGAGAACGAGTCTTGGGACCAGAAGATCCGGATACCCTGTCGTCGTGCCAAGTGCTGGCCATTGTTCTGGACAAACCGGGACACTACGAAGAGGCTCGGCCGTACTTTGCAAGGGCCTATGAAGGGAGGCGCAAGGCATTGGGTCCGGACCATCGAGATACCATGGACAGTGCCAATGGACTGGCCGTGATTGACATGATGAATGGGCAGTACGATTCGGCCGAATCTATTTTTCGGGCCACCATCAAGACCCAAAAAGAAAAGTACGGCCTGGACCATGCCAAGACAAAGTGGACAGGAAATAATCTTGCTGGATTGTTAATGATTTGTGGGCGAGATGAAGAAGCTCAACAATTGGCGTTGGAAATTGGACTAGATTGAGATGTTGTTGTTTGATCTTGCAATGATCGGTCAAAAACTATTTCGCGGAGCAGCCGAAGGTCGCGGAGCCAATGATCAGATGCCCGAAAGTAGCCAGGATATACAAGATGATGGATGACACTACAAAATTGCTAACCTAATCATTCAACACCATACAGTAGCTACTTGTTTTCACAAGCTTCCTCATAGCGAACAACAAATGAAACTGAGAACAGTAGACAAAGTACAGATTGATGATAACAGCTGCCAGAGGCAGTTGGCCATTGTGATGTGGTTTTCTTGTAATCCAACAAGGTGAAGCCACAGTGCTGGCGAGCCTTGTTACCCAGAACCAAGCCATCAAATGATGAAGAAGACAAGATTGGAACTGAAGCAGAGGAAGAAACATACGTTTTGCCAACAATCTACCGCCATGGGGACTGGAACAAAGGAGCTGGATACTACTGGAGTCAGTGTTGCCCGCAAGGGGAATAATATTGTTTTGCTATCTCCTTGCTCGTTGCTTTGAAGATTGGCATGAGTGCTGCCGTCCACTGTGCAGACTGAAAGAAACAAGAACATCTGAGAATTCCAGGTGACGAAGCACACTCTTGCCAGCAAATGGAATGAGGTTGTTTTGTCAATCTTCTAGTTGGCTTGCAAATTAGCATGGGTGCCACAGGACTTGCATTTGCCCAAATGTCTGCCAAGCAGGGCATCAAGAAGTATGACAAAGAGGCGGAACTGAAGCTAATTGCCAAGTTTGCTCAGTTACTGGAATTCCAAGTTTTCCATGGAGTTAAAGCAGGCAGACCTGACGGCATTTCTTTAAGAAAAGAGAGGACGAGCCTGAGGCATGATCAATCGTATTGAGGAAAAGGTCAATAGAGGACACACCGGTGAAAATCCAGTGCTAAGAGCTAGGAGTGTTTTCAACGGTAGAGTTCAGAGGGTAATCTACACCAAGGACGAGACAGCTTCTCCAACTGTGGATCAATACTCACTTTTTATCACCTGCATTGTCAAGGCGATCGAGGGAAGGTATAAGGTCACCAGCAACGCCAGAGGAGCGTACCTAAATACAAAGATGACAGATCGAGTAATCATGTGGACTTGATCCCAGTCTCAAGGAATCTGTCACCATCACGAAGGGAAAAAAGTGCTGTAGTACGTACAATTGGACAGAGCATTATATGGGTGCGTAAAAAGCTTGATTTTATGGGATGAGCTTTACTCAGAAACTCTCATGGATATTGGTTTCAAGCTTAATCCATACAATCTGTGCATCTCCAACTGTGACATTGATGGAAAACAATGCACAATTTGCTGGTAACTAGACAATAATAAGATCAGTCATGTGAAATTGGAAGTCGTACAGGATATTATTGGGAAGATCGAAGCCAAGTTAGGAAAGATGACAAACAAGTGTGGCAAAGAGCCTGAGTTTTTGGGAATGAAAATTACATACAAAGACGGAAAGGATGAGATCAGCATGAAGAAGCATATCCAGAAAGCAATCCATATATTCATGGATGACATCAATAGGGAGGCAACTTCACCTGCCAAAGCTTCTCTATTCAACCTGAGAGAAGGGGCAAAAGATATGAACAAAGAAAGAGCTGACAATTTTCACAGCGTGACAGCGTCACTGTTGTACATCTCAAGACAATGCCGTCTAGACATTCAAACCCTGCACTAGAGCTGGGTGCCCCAACGAAGATGATTGGGTCAAACTTAAGAGAGTATATATATATCACTGAATCATGAATTGGTATTTATGCTACTTCTAGAGTATCCAACTGCCGGTGTAATACGGCTGTGGAGGCCAGGAACTAGGTTGCTTTTGGTCAAACTTAAGAGAGTCTTGCAGTATTTGAAAGGTTTGATAGACTTGACGAGATTCATTGGTGGAGGCATGGGTGGATGTTTTGTATGGAATCCACGACAACTGCAAGAGTCACACTGGAGGATGCATTTCTTTTGGTTGGTGGGGCGTAATTTTGGCCATGTATAAGAAACAGGGCCTTA